CCAGTGAACTCACCTCCTAAATCGGAGTGGAGCTGATTGACAAACATGCCTTCACTCCTCAAGGTGAGGTAGGCATCGATCAGGGCATTCAAGATCGTGATGCCTCTCTTGTCTGGCAAGGGGAATGCCAAACGGTGCACTTGTATTTGTGCCTGTTGCTCTTCAGGGACATCTGGTGCTGGCACCTGTGGGAAAGGGTCTTCGCCCGGTTCAGTGGGCTCATATTCAACATCGGGCGCCACCCGGGTCATATAGTCCCCTTCCTTTTCATCATCATCTTTCTTCTGGGGGTCTGCAGCCTCCTTCAAGGGCTCCTCAACTCCTGGGGGTTCTGCGGCCTCCTTTAAGGGCTCCTCAGTTCCTGGGGGTTCTGCAGCCTCCTTTTCCTTCTGCCGTTTCTGCTTCTGTTCTTCCTGCTCTCTCCTCAGCAGCTCCTCAAACTCCTCCTCAGGGTCTTTCTTCCTTGGCCTGCCTCGCTTCTTGGCTCCTGGCTTTTGGGACCCTATCTCTTCTTTTGGTTTCTCCTCATCTTCTTCCCAGCCTGGGAAATCACCCTCATCATCCTCCTCGGGCAACTCTTCCAAGTCGTCACCCTTCAGGCCTGTAGGCCAGGTGAACGCCGCGACCAGGACAAAACGAGCATGGTCTTTGCCCAGGTCTGGAGCTTTGGTGAGTGGTCCGGCGATGTCGACCGAAAGAACGCCAGCTCTTGGGGGAAGTTTTTGATGCCGGTGAGGTCTCGCTCTTGCTGCAGCCTCTTGACATACTTTGCAGTCTTTTCTGAAAGGCTGGTGGCATCGTTGGACATGTGTCCTCCAGGATCTCAACTTCGGGGTGATCCCTTGGGACTCCAGCAGGGCGCATGCTACCATGTCGGTAAGCAGAGGGACCCATCTGGAAAGGTTTTGGGATTCCTGCACTATCTGCTCTTTTGTTTTGCCATGTGTGCATCGAGGTTGTGGTGCTGGTACGACCACGCTGGGTACTTGCATGCGCAAGTTGCCGCCCAACGTTGTGGGTTTGACCCCTCCTCCTCCAAGCTTCCCTTGGTCTAAGTGGATCTCCCACAGGCCGTATGCTTGCTTGAGTGCTTGCCATTGGGGGGTGGACCAGAACGATACCACCTGTGGCATGTTTGCCGGGGTGCTGGGGTGCTCAAAGACAAGGTCGATGTCTTTGGTGTGGCGGGATGCTTTCCTGATCTCCTGGGCAACCATGTAGAGCATGAGTCCTCTGAAGAGCATCACATCATCTTCATGGCACTTCTTCTCCTCTCTTTCTCCGATGCCCTTCTTTCCCCATTCTCCACCGTTCCACTCTCGGACCGGTCCGGGGAGATCAACTCCTTCAACTTCACAGTGTCGGAGCTTTGAGCGAGTGCGACAATTTGGAGACATCACCAGGGACTCCACTTGGCCCTTGATGACCATGTCCATGAGCTCAGCATAGAGGTCATCCTCCATCATATCCCATTTGGCTCCGTTCTTGATGTCCACCGCTATGACCTTTCTTTTCTCTCCTCCGAGGAGCTGAATGGCCTTGGCCATAGTATACCCTTCATTGGGTCCTGAGTAGAGGTACAACGTCACACCTCCTTCTTTCTTCCATAGCTTTCTTCGGCTTCGGTTTCCGGTGATATGTCCTTCCTTAGGGCTGATCACCAACCTTTCTGTGATTCTTTTTGGAACTCCTTGAAGTGCTGGGTGTTCTTCTACCAAGCGCTTCATCCAGTGCATGTAGGCTTCAGCTGCGGATCCTTCTACACTCCTCAGCTCGGGTGCCTTCTTTTCCAACTCCTCGATCAACTCCAAAGCATCAGACTTGTTGATCATCGGGCAACCTTCTTTGAGCTGGGTGCTAATCTGCCCCTTGAAGGGGTGATACAGGACCATATGGCCTTCGGTCCATTGCAAAGAGCAACCCAAGTTCTCCACCAACGCTCCCAGTGGCACGATGGGCTCCACATCCTCAGAGCCTATGATGGCACCACCTTCTGAAAGCATCATCATTGTTTGTTTTCCTCCGGCCAGATTGATCCTCACCTTTTGACATTTGGACAGATCCTCATCTTTCTTTGGAGGTCGAAGAGGATGGGTAGCTCCGCTGTCAAGGAGTCCCAAATCTTCCACAGCTGCTTGGACCCTGGCCAATCGCAGCACTCTCACCGAAGAAGCTCGAAGCTCATCCAGCTGTCTTTGAAGTCTCCTGATTTTGGCATCACCGGTCTCCTCAACCGATGAGCTTTCCTGCGAAGCTCCTGGAATCACCTTTAGCATCTTTCCAGCTTCTTCCAGTAGACTCTTCATATCGTCCGCTCCAGCAACTGCTCGGTCGGACTGATTGTCCTCCTCATCATTCTTCTTCTTTCTGGCTTCGCCATCTTTTTCGGCTTTGGCCACTTTGACTTCTCCTTGGCCCTCACTCACTGGACATTTGTTGGAGAAGTGCTTTGTGGACCCGCAATTCCAGCAGCGACGCTGGTCATCCTTCTGGTTGTGATCCCATCTGCAAGCTTTTCCTCGACGGCATCCATTCTCCGTCAGGAAGTAATTACACTTTGGCATCTCCTTCTTACCCTCATCGCCCTTCTTGGCTTGAGGCACTTCGCTTCTTTTTCCTGCCTCCTCCATCTTCCAAGCTTTAGGAACTCCTGCGATGGCTGCCTTTTCCTTCTTTTTGGCATAGGAGACCTGGTCCATCTCAGCCAGTAAGCATTCGGCCAACTGGTCAATGGAAGACATAGTGGGCACAGAATCCACCATCAGTGTTGTCCTCGTCAGGTTAATGCGAAACTGCAAGGTTGGATTGCCAGCCAAAATCTTGGAGACCAGCCGGTCCAGGCCCCTCAAAAGGACCGATGGATCGGGCAACTGAAGGCCCATGTCTTCTGCCCTTTTCTTCCATCTCAACCAACGACGTAGTCCCAGGATGCCCTCGCCGATCCCCACCGCTTCTGCCGGCAGCTTCAAAGCGGCCAGCACTGCTGCTTTTTCATGGGAACCACCAGGCTGGTAGTTGTTGAGGAGTTTTGCCAAAATCGCCAACACTGAAAGGTCTTTCCCTGCCACAATGTCATCACGCTGACTACTGGGCAAGGCCTGAAGAAGCAAACTGCTTCCTCTCTTCTCCAACCTTCTCCATTTCTTCTGCTGTAGTTGCGGTGGTGCCCTGACTTCATGCTTCAGCTTGTCGACGGGCTTCATCGCTTGGTGTTTGTGGTACCAGTCCTTCGCAGTCTCAACCACTAGATCCCCCCATTCTGAACTGCTGGTAGTGAGATCCGACATCTGTGCATGGATGAGAAGCAACCAGTCCTGTAAGTCCACCGGAGCATTCTCAGCTGTCCACTCCGGCAGTTTGTGCAGCTCTACACTGCTCCTCACATGCTCCTCTTCATCGTCCTCTGTTAGCCGTCGGCCCCTGATCGTCTCTCGATCCAAGAGCTGTTGTTGCAGCGATTGCATCCCTTGCATCAACTTGAGCATCGCGTCCACTGTGGTGTCCTCCTTTTTTGATCTTCCTTTGTGATCTTTCACATTCACTGAATCTTCCGACTCCTCTTCTTGAATCGATTGACTCTCCTCACTGGACTCTTGCTGTCCAGCTGGACCATCCTCCTTAGAAACTTCTTCAAGCTTCCTTCCAATCACTTCCTCCTCTGCTTTGGGGGTCTCAGCCTCCTGTTCTCCTCGACCTGCAGCCTCCTTTGGCTTCGAAGCTTCAAAGTCTTCCTGCTTGGCTTCTACACCTTTGGACTTGGGCTTCTTTCCTGAAACCTTCTGACGGCGGGCGCTGTCACGGAGACCTTCAGCAGGAGTGACATCGGGAGGTGTTGTGTATCTAGTCTCTCGTTCTTCCATAAGCTGAATCCTCAACCTCAAATTTTCTTCTTGAAGCTGGGTGAGAGACTTTGACATTTGTCCCATTTCTTGTCGAAACTGCCACATCATCTCATCAAACATTCCTTGTTGTGTGGGGTGTGGCACGTATCCATAACCATGTTGAGGTGCTAAGGGATATCCCATTGGTGACATCATCAAGACTTCCGGACCCTTCCTTGATGGTCCCTCTGACATGTCAGCTTCCTTCCCCATTCCCACCTTCCCTGCCGCCAAACCCCCATCCCATCCGCCGGTGGACTGGCTTACTGCGGTGGGGCTTGGGCCCTGCAAAAGTGGTGCACTCAACCTGAGCTCCTCAGCCTTCTTTAGCTGAGCTTCATTGAACAGTGGCTGGAGGTTCCTAGGTCCTAGGGCCTTAGGGGATCCTACAGGTTCTGCTGGAAAGTCTTCTATTGGCAAGGGGGTTTTCATATCTTCCCCAACAGGACCATTTGGTGAAGGCTTTCCAACCCTTTCCCTATCCACTGCCACTAGAGCCATCTCTGCCCCTTGGTTCCTCGCGCTTGCCCGGGTGCTTGACGCTGTTTGGTCTTTCTTTGACTCTTCATCATCAGGCTCAGACCTTCTTCTTCTGAGCATCATTTCAGCAGAGTCCCCATGCGTTGGGCTCATAATCTGTTCGCGACAGGTTCACCCGGGTAATATTATCGGGGGCACTAGCACTGACAGTCCTGACACGTCTGCGGCCAGAAAAGCCAGGTACTAGTCCACACCTCAAACTCCTTGCGTTAGACACACAAAGTCCTCCACGGTCAGACAAGTGGTCCTGCGCTTTTAACTCTCTTTCCAAAGTCCTTCACGTTGGACTCACCGGTCTTCCGACCGATCTTTGAGCTTGGAAAAAGGGCTATGGTGAAATGCCCATTGATTGAAATGACAATTGCAAAGTCATGACATGAATGCTAAATAGGGAATATGCAATTCGCAGTTTCAACTCCTCTGAAAAATATGAAAGTCAATGGGAAGGAACATTCCCATATATGAAATGGAAAATAAAAAAATGTTCCAGTCACCACCAACCAAAAATGGTTCCAACCAATGTGGCTCTGCCATCCCTCAATTTCTACGGTCGTCCCTCCATGATTGCCGCCCAGCTGCACTTGTGAGATGCGCGCCAAATGTCCAGTATCCCTCAAGCCCTGGACCACATCCTTGCGGCCCAGCTGAAGCCATGGTGAGCATCTGGTTGGCTGTTTGGCGCCGTTATAACATGTTATAACCATCATAACAAGCGGAATAAATGGTCATAACCACCTTAATCTTTGGAATAAACCCAACTAGTTAGAGCCATAGTAGGCCCACTTAAGTGGAACTGACTGCTATAGTTCGCAAGGACTGGGACTATCTCGAGTTTGTAGAACTTGGCAGCCGCTGATAAAAAAACAAAAAAGGGTGCGTGGTCAAGAAAAAAATGTCCCACTGACTTGCATCCCTCATCTAAAAAATTCTGATTCCCAAGCTAAAAAAACACCCAGGAATCATTGCTTCCAAACTGAAATCTACCCCATCTTCATGAAAAAAACCTTCATGTTTGATAGCAAGATGTGTTCCAAGAATCTTTGGGAAAATCTCTACCAATTTTGCGGTGAAATCTATGAAATCCTCAGTCTGTTGGCGTTTCTGCAATCCACATTTTGCCTCTGGTAAACGTTTACATTTTGCTGTTGAAAATATGGGTGATTTATAGTTGGTTTATAGAAATATGGTGGATCTTTCCACTTCGCAAAGTGTAAACGTTTACCAGAGGGCAATCCACCAAGCAAAGCATCATACTCGCATCCTTCGCAATTCACATGAAGCAGTTCCACATGATCTCGGCGACTTTGCGCCAGCACCTCTGGGATCGCTTCCGCTGCGGAGCGGATCAGAACCGCTTCTGTATCCTCCTGCAATGACTTTTTCCGCATGTTGGGGTTGCAGTTGGGGTTATTAAAGCTACGTATAGGGTATAGCTATGGGATTTCGAATTTCCATAAGTTGAGATATGGGGCCCTACAACTATGCTTACAAATATGTATATAAATTATATATATATATTATTATAGATATAACCCGCCTATACCAGCCTTATGGTGGTTCTATAAGGCACCCCCCAGATACACAGAAGTTACGAAACGTCCGACAACACGTTGTCTGCAACCAACAAGATGGCCAAGCATGATATGCTCTCAAGAATTCCATTACTGGTTGGTGGTTGACCTAGCCCTCTGAAAAATATGAGTTCGTCAGTTGGGATTCTTATTCCCATATATTATGGAAAGACATAAAAGCCATGTTCCAGTCACCACCAACCAGCTTATAGTTAATGGGGGTTATAAACCAACTAACATCACTGGGGGGGCACCATCCTGTAGCTACCCTGCATGTATATCATTGTTCCATATTGTTCCAATCTGGCGTTTTTTTAACCAACAAGATGGCCCTGGCCCATGATTTTTTGGAGCCATGGAAAAAATGGCTCATCCTTTCCCATCCAATTGACCCCTGCTTGACCCCCTGGCTGGTTGATTCGCATATTCGCATCATGGTAATTTGGTAATTTGGTAATCCCCAAAATGTTTACCAATGGTTAATAATGGTGAATAATAATGGTTTAATATGGTTAATATACAGTAGTGGTTAATGATGATATAATAGTTAATAGCCATGGTTAATGTCAACCCTGGATTTGGCAAAAAAACATGGTGACTATTTGAAAAAAAGGGGGTACTCCTCCCATGTTGTCACTTCATCCAAGACTTTTATATGGTACCCCCCCAATTAAACAACCGTAAACGGGGTTTATTAATCCAGGGTTGACATTAGTATAATCCCCTGTGCTAACCAATCAACAATGATGTTTATAATGGCTCAGTTGGCTTTATACCCCTATTTGTGCGGCTTGAATCATAGTCAAAAAAATCATTGATACCCTGCAAAACACGCTGGCTTGGATCAATCTCCCAATATTTAGAGCAAGAGATTAAGGATATTAAGGTCCCTTCTGCTAACCATAATACCCCTAGCATCAAACGTGGCAGCCTGGAAATCCCCCAATTTATAGATGACTTTCCCATGAAACGCCTCCGTAACTCGTTCTGGGATCTCCCGTTGCCACGCCACGTTTGATTTTTGGGAAATCCGAACGAAAGCCAGGGATTGAACACACATAAATTGAGGGTCAGACTGGAGGAAAAATGAGGGTTTGACCAAACAAAAAACGTGAATATCATGGGGATATCATTGGGATATACAATGAGATACAATGAGATACTGAGATACAAGATTTAATTGGAATATAGATCATAATCTGGTTGGTGGTTGACCTAGCCCTCTGAAAAATGATGGAGTTCGTCAGTTGGGATGATGACATTCCCAATATGTGGATAAATAAAAAAAAAGTTCCAAACCACCAACCAGTTTTACTATCTTTTACTTTTCCATCTTGTTGGAAGTAACTACAGTATCTTGTTGTTGCTACTATAAACCTGTAGTTATACGGTTTGTATATACCCCCCTCTGGTTATTTAACATAGCCATGGAAAATGGCCCATTTATAGATGGTTTACCTGGGTTTACCTATTAAAAATGGTGATTTTCCATGGCTATGTTAAATAACCAGAGGGTAATATTCAACTATCCTTATATGAGTTCTATGGGTCATGACCCCCAGTTGTAAGTTGGAGTGTCCCCATAAAATGCGAATGGAGAATCTCCGCCGTAAACCCGAACTGGAGCACGACCTTGCACCTTTGCCAACTGTAAATCCTCATGTTCAATCATTTTTGTTAGTTACCTTCCGGTAATTTTTAACATAACTATGGAAAATCACCTTTTTCAATGGGTAAATCCACTATAAATGGCCATTTTTAATAGCTATGTTTGTTTACCAGAGGGTAAATCTCAGTAATTAGTGTTGTTAGTTAACATCTCATGTTCCCCTACCTTCGCGGTTGTCAAATCGTCATCTTCCACCACTTTCGCTTGCTTAAATCATCAGTTTTCATCATGTTTCCACATGTGTTTCTCATATTTTTCTTGCTTCAATCCCCCATTGTTCCATTTGTTTTCCATACAGTCCAAGCACTCTATCAGAATTCCTTGTAGAAAATGAGGAATTCCTGGATTTTGTTGCCAAAAACAGATGTTTTTCACAGGTTTTCCCCATGGTGAAGTCGCCACGTTCCCCGAGGCCTCCGAAGCCTCCGAGGCCACCACCCGCGAGGCGGTGCCCTGCAGCCGCAGCCAGCGGCGCTTCGTCTGAGCGCCCAGGCCGTAGTTGTGCAGCGTGAAACCGGGCACCTGGGAAAATCACCATGCGAAATTGGTGGGTCAGAATGGTGGTTTTCCTATGGTTAATAGTGGTTAATAGTGATTAATAATAATAATCAATGGATTATAACCATGCGAACTTGGCGGTTCATGGTGGTTGTCCCTCATGGTTTTCATAGTGGTTAATTAATAGTGGTTAATCATAATCAATAGATTATACTGTAACTATAAATAATGGAGATTTACCTTCTGGCAAATAATAACAGTTGTGATAATGGAGACAACGAGGTTGATGAAAATGATAGGATATAATCATGAAGGCTAATTTGGGATCTTGGAGAACTGAAACCCCCAAAAAAATAGTCTGGTACACTAACATACAATGTGGGGCCCCCAAGATAGCTAAGTTGGTGAACATAACTCCAATTTCACTATGGTTTATGATACTTATAACTATAGTTAATGGGGTTTATAAACCAACTAACATCACTGGGGGGGCCCACATTGTAACTATGGAACATCACCATTTTTACTATGGAAAATATAAAATAACCATTTGGGCACTCTGGTAAACAGCCACATAACTATGGAAAATCAGCATTCTTACTAGGTAAATCAACTCTAAATGGACCATGTTCAATAGCGAACTGTTAAATTGCCAGAGTTTATTTGATGAACATGATAGGATATAATGAAGGCTTGTTTGAGGATATTGTAATAGTAGGAATTATCATTATTATAACCTCCCAATTATCACCTGTTATAATGAGAATAGGATTATTGATGTTATTTGATAATGATAATTGGATGTTTCCTGATAACTGGGATATAATCCCATAGGATCCATGTATGGTATATTTACCTACATTTGGGTCATTTATGGGGTAAATGTTGGTAAATATTCCATACATGGATCCTATGGGAATGATAGTGATAATTACAATAATGACACCTGGTATGGGATTTAGGTTATTTAATAATGGATCATCATATCCCAGTGCGGATAATAATGATAGTGATAATTGGGATATAATGATAATGATAGTGATAATTGGGATATAATGATAATGATAGTGATAATTGGAGGATATAATTGGGAGAATTTGATAACCGGGAAATATGGAGGATATAATGTAATGATAATTGGGATATCATGATAGTGATGATAACCTCAAATAATGATAGTGATAAAGGAATAATAATCATAGTGATAATGATGGCACCTCATGAGGTTATTATGGGAAATAATGGAGGATATAATATAATGAAAATTGGGATATAATGATAGTGATAAAGAAAATGATAATGATGATGATAATCATAACAACATGGAGGTTTTCTGAAATAGGGGTATCCCTAAATCATTCATTTATAGATGGATTTTCCAGCAAATAAACCATCCATAAATATGGGGCCATTTTAACATGATGTTCTATGAAACCAGGCACCTGGGGATGACAACAACTTGGAAGGTTGGTTTTTTGAGGGTTTTTTTACATGGAAATATGGCATTGTTTTAAAGCAGCTTAGATGGTTCTAGGCATGGGGAGGATTGGAATTGTAATCTATATATATATATGTGTGTGTATAATCCTCTACGGGTATAATTAAACTAATGGGGGTACAATATACTTAGATCTATCTAATAAGGAGGATATCTTCTCTACATATACATATAATATAATTAATACTTATGTATATAATCTATATTATATTGTAATACATATATATATATATATATACGTATGCTTGGCGGTATCAGCCGACTTTGAAAGGGGGGGTTGCTATACGGTTACCTGCAGGATCACCCAATTTGTTCGGATCAGAAGTGGTTCAGAACCATAGTTAGTTCAGACATTTACATATGACATGTTCATATCAGAAAAAGTGCCTATAAATGGAGGTTTTAATGGTGATATAATGAAATATTAATCTGCTTGGTGGTTTTAACCATCTTGAAAAATATGAGTAAGTCAATGGGAAGGATTATCCCATATATGAAATGGAAAAACAAAATCTTTGAAACCACCAAGCAGTACACGACTTAGAAAGTGGTTGGCAACCATAGTTAGTTCAGACATTCATCAATGGGATAACCAGCAAGTACTTAGAAAAACCAGGAGAGTTTTTGAGCCTTAAATGAAAATATTATCGCATACGGATAATAAGTGGCTAATAAGAATTAATAACCTTAGTTGGTTCAGCAATTTATACCATCTGGTTATTTGTTACATAGCCATGGAAAATCCACCCATTTTTTAAGTTCGGTAAACCATCTATTTCGATTAGGGCCATCGAAAAACCATGGCTATGTAACAAATAACCAGAGGGTAGATGAGATAGCTACAACAATTAGGCTTAAAAAAACCAGCGACCATCGCCGTGGGATGATCCTTCAAGTACCATCAAATGTGTCAAATGTGGCTGGAAAATTGCCAGCCTGGCCGGATTTCTCAACTTGACAAAACCTTCATGGCTTTCATGGGGATCTTCAAAAAAACTACGTTGAAACAAAACCCAAGGAACACATATAAGTATGGATGTGTCCCAACTTTTTTAACAACCAAAAGTTAGGGAATTGGACAAAAATTTGCTTCACATAAACGGAGAACTTACTTCAGGTAGCGCCCAGTTCGGAATCCCGAAGTTGGCTTTCGAACAACGGAAAGGATGAAGCCTCCGGCGGTAGTGCGGTGCACAAGGCACGGAAAAATTGGACATTCAACAACGCCTCTCCGATTCATGGCGAAAAATCTCTATAATTTATGATAAATCATGATAGATTATGGTAAATTATGATAGTTCCCTTTTTTTCAACTAAGCAAAGCACCTTTTTTGATTGTTAAATTCTGTTAAACACCATTTTTGTTGTTTTTTTCCCTACCGAATCCATCCAGCTCCAGAGGGCCAAAGGCACTCCCCGAAGCGAGCTGCTCAAAGTCTCGAAATAGGTGGGAGAAGGCCTAGGAGGACAGGAGTATCATGCATAGCTATCCCATATGCTCCATGGTGCTGGTATATTTACCTACAAAACTGGGTGATTTTTAGGGTAAATGTTGGTAAATATACCATACATGGAGCATCTGGGTATAGTAAAATGTCTTATTCATAGATTTCGAGTAATCTATCTGGTTGGTGGTTGACCTACCCCTCTGAAAAATATGAGTTCGTCAGTTGGGATGATGACATTCCCAATATATGGAAAAATAACAAATGTTCCAAACCACCAACCAGCTATCATGTTTCGCTCAGCTAAAAGTTACGGCCATTTGGGGATGATTCATGATTCCCCTTAACAGATTCTTGCGAATGTGGATGGTCAAGCCATCTTGCATCAGTTGGTAACTAATGGGATTCCTATGAAACACGTTTTATTATATGGGATTATAATGAAATTTTGTCCATCTACCAACTGGTGCAGGATTTAGCAACCATCCACAGTAGCTATTTAAAATTGCTCATTTATGGATGATTTACCTATTAGATCCTATTAGGCTTTGTGTGAAAGCTTAGGGGGAAACCCCTAAATTGGACTGTCTATCATCATTTTCCCTCTTAAAATATTTAAAAATTGTCATTTGGGCGATTACCATAAAAATACTATATAGTTTAAGTCTTATTAAGAAACTTCATTTTCCCATGATTTTCCCTCTTATTAAGAATGAATTGGATGGTCATTTATTTGGAGGTTTACCCCATAACCCAAATGCTCCATGTATGGAATATTTACCAACATTTACCCTAAAAATCACCTAGTTTTGTAGGTAAATATACCAGCACCATGGAGCATATGGGTAATTTAAGACGGATGCCGATTGTTCTTCTAGAACCATGATGGGACATAATTTGTAGAACTTATAATTTGTTGGGAACTTATAATTTGTAGGTATATTCTTCGATGAAAAAACATGTCATTTGTTGGTTTGATGGGACCGCCGTGCCAATCGTCCCCAATGGGGTACCACCAACTAGCTGTGACGACAGGATGATTCGAAGATAGCGTTCAGTTGAGATATGGCTGTGGCTTAACGATTATCTGGTTGGTGGTTGACCTACCCCTCTGAAAAATATGAGTTCGTCAGCTGGGCTGATGACATTCCCAATATGTGGAAAAATAAAAAAATGTTCCGGTCACCACCAACCAGATTATAGTATTCATGGGGGTTTTAAACCAACTAACATCACTGGGGGGCACCATCCTGCACCCTGCATCTATGGGCCATTGTTCCAATCTGGCAAGTTTTCACGTGTCCATTTCTCATCGAGATCTTCTGATCTAAGCAGTGTGTGAAACTGGCATTCAGAAAGCTCCACAACTTGTGGATCGTTACTAATTATGGGCATTTTGGAAGTCACAAATGGTTGGTTTAGGGTCCCTAAAACATTCTCTGTGTCCTTCATCCTCGCACAATCCTTCCGAAAGCTGAAGGCCTTAATCTTGTCAAATCATACGAAACATCTTTTATATATCTTTCAATCATAGATGGTTGCCCGGAACCATTGAAAAACGAGCATGTCAAGATTTGTTTCCTAAATTGGGATGAACCTTCTTGGTTTTGGGCATTGCTACAAAAGGCGACGACACCTGCCACAAACATACAAAAGTCTAAGATGGTGAAGACTCATAGATTTTGCTGGGTAGTATTTTTCAGCATCCTCTCTGCTACTAACCAGGCAAAAGAATCCTGTCATCCAGTTGTCGCAAGTATAGCTTTCCAGCAACCCGCCATCACCATCGACAAGACGCTCAAACAAGTGCATTTGTAATGCAAATCTTCCTGGTGAGCTAGTCACGAAGCAAAAATTGCCAGTGAACTCTGGAGCATCATTCGGAAAAAACACTCTTTTTTTGTACATCCAAACAAACAGGGTGTTCCAAGCAAAAACATGGATTCCCTCAAAATCGAGTCGTTTGGCAGAAACATGCGACCCAGGGAAAACAAGAAGTAGTTGCAGGATATGAATATCAGTATGGATGAAAATTGGGTACCTACCGCAAGACTGGGCGGATACCTACCGGTTATCCTTGTTTTGAGCCATCCATCTCCAGGTCTTTAACTGTTGACCCTGCAAACTGTAACTTTCGGCTTGTTACTATCTGCTCCATTTATGGCAAGCAATATCAATAAACCATGAAACAGTCTTCAATAATCTTTATATACTTGGCTGGCTTATTTTCATGTTCCCAACTCATAAGTTCTTCTAGAATCATATCTAACTATAGATATATCCACCATAAAACAAGCGGTCCGCCTAGTGAATAAAGACACATTACTCAGCTAGCGGGCCCCTTCCGGCAACAAAGGCTGACTTGCATTTGCTTACGGACTGGAAACAAATGCATTTTTGGATTCTCATTCAGTAGTAGTAGCTTTCCCATTGGGAAAAATCAACAAATCCACTTAGCAAATCCAAGGTCCAAGATGATATACCTATTATATTCCCATGGAATGCCGTGAAATCACTATCACTGTCATTTAAATCCTATCCAATTCCCATTTCTATCATAGATCAGCTATAAAATCCTATGAAATCCCCATGTTTGTTGCTTCAATCGAAGTTCAACCATGATTTTCCTATGGTTTTTTGCGATTTCGTTTTTCGGGGGAACCTCACCTTGCACCTAAGGTCACCCAAGCCCAAAGGATCCAGGTTGACCAGGCGTCGATGGAACTCGAGTCCGTCTTCGCCAGATCGATGGGCTCCGATGTAGAGCGCCGTGCCGTTGGGTAACAGGGGTGGCTCAAAGGGTGCATACCTTGGCTGGGGATCATGAGGAGATTTTACCAACCTGATATGGGGATATAGACTTAGACATATATATGTTATATAAGTAATACATGGTGATATAACTACTTCATGGAATGTCTGAAAACATTGGAGTTTATTTATCTTTTTTTGGGGTGGACTTGTCTGAAAACAGGACAGAATCAAATCTTAAGAGAAAAGTATGGACTTTAATGGACTTTACATATATTTACATTTGGTGGACTCTACTGTGGTTTCCATCTTCAGGATTAAGAAACTCACAAAGAAAAGGTTTCAGGATGGTTTTGAAATTGGACCCAAGAAGTAAGGATCATATGTCCAATCAGGGAGTCCTTTGTGAAAGCACTTTGACCATCACCCAACTTCTAGTAGTCTCACTGCCACCTGAGAACCAGTTCGAACAGCAACTTCTACCGTGAAACCAGCTCTGATAGTGCTAAACGTAGGGAATGGGCGAATGACCCAATCCATAACTATGGCAAAATCATCCCAGCATCCCCATTCCCTAAGCACAAATAAGCTCATTTTAGAGAGATTTGAGAGGCCGACTCATCTCTTCCAAATCGACCTGATCACTGCCAACCGGTGCTGTAAAATCCCTGGTAACAACAGCTCAAGCAGTACCTTGGCCGCCTTGGGCCAGGGGATTCTCCGGTAATGTGGTCAACATCGACTACCGGAATGCCAGGAATGTACCCGGCCTGGTAAACATACAAAAAGCTATTGAAAATGGCCATAGAAATAGTGGATTTACCCATCAAAAATGGTGTTTTTCCATAGTTATGTTAGTTTACCAGAGGGTAGATGATTTTCCGAGCTATTCTATAAACCTCAACTGAGTTCGGGGATGACTGACTGGAATTTCCTGGATTCAGATCCCAACTTGGGGATGATTGTCCCATTCAAATCCCAATTTATGGAGGAATGTCCCATTCAATCCCCAAGTTATAGGCAATTTTCATGAATTTTCCATATATCTAATGATTCTCCTATATTTCCAATGATATTATCCCACATGTCGAATCAGATTATCCATTATTATCTATACATCCATTGATATTCCCATATATTTACAAAAAAAAAATATCCGATATATTTCCATTTGATATCCCCATATTTTAACTCCCAAATACTTCCTAAGAAGGTAAGGCTGGATCCATTGGGCATGATACCCTCGTTTTTTGCTCAATTTCCATCGCCAATCTTTGGTATTCATCAAACAATTGTAATCTTTTGCTGGCTATGGTCATTTTATCCTATTTTCCAGTTGTACGAGTAACAAAAAAACTCAGGATTTTCCAATACCCATCTGGGTAAATTAGACTAATTCACTCAGCTGAAAGGTTCGGTCATGTGGGGATCCAGGGTTCGGTCACGACGGTTATCGGTCACTTAATCACTTGTCCACCCATCCAGTTGCTGAAATCAGAAATCCACGAACTGGATGGAGGATGATGAATTCAAAAAGCTGGGAAAATCCTCTGCAATGTGGGGCCCCCCAGTGATGTTTGTTGGTTTAGATTCGCCCCATGAATACTAGAGTTATTTGCGTACCATAAACCATAGTGAAATTGGAGTTCTGTGGCCCCCAACTTAGCTATCGTTTACTGGGGCCCCACATTGTATGAATGGGAGATGTTCCATGATTTTCCAGTCGCGGATGTTCCTCAGCTAAACCCCCCACCGATCTCGATGAAAATCCAGCTGCCGATAGGCCGCCAGGCGCATAAAATCCAGTACGCCGCTGCTCTCTACGTGGCGATCGCGGGCCGCATAGCTGGCCCAGAAATGGCAATCCTAGCGGTCCCGTTGTCTGGTCCATTTTTGGGAAAGCTGGGGGAGTTCACCCACCTGGGAATGGTGGAGAATGATCTGGGCAAATTATCATAATTCACCAACTTGAAATGTTGAGCCATTTTGGGGTGATTCCAGGGTTTGGTCACAGTGAGGTCGTTATAATTTTCCCATTGAAGCCACAAACAAATCTGGAGAATGGAGATTTCAACACAACTTCGAAGGATTAATCCAACTTGATCATTCTGAATCAGATCTGCAGTCACCCCAGCTCTGGACGGACCCGGTAGGTACCCTACTTATTTTCAGGGGGCTAGAAGCCACAAATATCCAATTCCAGATGGGCCACCAAGTATCCATCAGTTTTGGTCCAGTTGGCCTTAGCCAGTTCCTCATTTTCGCACCAAAATGAATCCCCATGTCCAATGGTGAACTATCGCAAATTTTCGCTGGTGAACTCATCATGTCTACATAGTTTACTGGTTGGTGGTTGACCTACCCCTCTGAAAAATATGAAAGTCAGTGAATATTCTTCCCAATATATGGAAAAATAAAAGCTATGTTCCAAACCACCAACCAGTTTATCATATACATTTACCCCATTTTTTTCCCGAGATTTTGGGTGGTTCAACCACCAATTATCCCAAATTTACCATCAAAAACCACCGATTTTGGGTGGTTCAACCAATGTCGGTGCTGAAAGCATGGCTCCTCGGTGGCGTTGTAGCTGTAGCCCGGGATCTGGTCCTCGTGCAGTGAGCCCAAGAGAGGCACTCGGCACTCCATCAGCTCCTTGGCCCCAGAGAGTTGGGCCCTTGGTGAAGTTCTCTGTTTGTTGGTGAACAAGAAAACTAGAGAAATCATCACGAATACCCTCTGGTAATTTAACATAGCTATTGCAAATGGCCATTTATAGTGGATTTTCCCATTGAAACTGGTGATTTTCTATAGCTATGTTAGTTTACCAGAGGGTATAGGTTCTAAGTCTTGTTGATTCTAAGTTTTCTAAATATAGTTTTTCGGAGAGTTATAAGATGTTTTAAGTATCATAGACTATAGTCATCTAAATATAGTTTGGAGAGTTATGCGGTGTTATTTTCGTATCATACACTATTGTTATTATATATATGTATAGGTATTTGCACCAACTTGGCTAAATATAGGGGAAAATCCTGTATAAAATGGATATCGCTATGTCCACTAGGGCTAAACCTGATTGGAATCTGATTTTGACTTGACTATCGCGCAGTAAATCGATTTAAGACAATCTCATTCGATGAAACAATGATGTTTCTTGGAAATTGTCCAGGTATAACCAGCAGAAAATGGGAATATTCTAAAGGCAACATTCCCATATTCAGAAAATCTTCGCATACCATGTTTTCATCGTACTCCAGACCTGGGTTTTGGTATCTTACTTTGATAGGCATTTCAGCTCAATCTGGAGGGAACAGTTGGCCCACGGCGAATCCATTGAATGCCCCTCCACAGCTTTCTATCCCCTATGTCGTTCCAAAGGAGCTGTGGACGTTGAATGAATTGAAGGCTGCTTTGATAAGGAAGTTTCCTCATTTGTCTACAGAAGAAGGACAGGGTTGTCAAAGGTAACGTTTTTAAAGGTTGGCTAAGTAAAAATTAGCAAGTTTCTTCCCCGGGACCTCACCCAAGGTGAACTTGGAAAAATAGAACCCACTGGTGTGCCCCTGGAAGTTTGGGCCGGCTTTGGGATTGGAATTTTGGTTCTGGCCGCGAAATTTCCCTATGTGGTCTCTATACCAGCCACGCATACTCGGAATTCTTCGCATTCCACAAATTCTTCGCACTCCACATGGGACATCGCACTCCACAGCTAGGGACGCGCACATACTATAAAATCCACGCACTCTGCAAGATCTTCGCACTCCATAAAATCTTCGTACTCGGTAATTTTTCGTTTTTTTCGTTTTTTTTCTTTTTTTTTTTTTCGTTTTTTTTTTTTGGCTAAAATCGCCTGGAATCACGTTTTCTGGAATATGGGAAAGGTAGCGGTTTTTCGTGAGACGTCTGTAGTTGCACATACTATCGCATTCCAGGCAATTTTGGCCAAAAAAAAAAAAAGAAAAAAGAAAAAAAAAGCTCAGCAGGGTGAAATGTGATAATTTTCTGGTATATGATGGAAAAAACTGGTGTTGGATTCATGGGGAAGGTCGAAGGGGGCCACGCATACTGTTTTATTTTCGCATTCCAGAAAATTAGCGCACTCCAGGGGTGGCATCGTACTCTATCGGTGGAATTATTTTGCACGGAAGAAAACAGGATCGTCGATGATTTGTGTTCCCAGATCCTGTTGTGCAGAGCTCTTTGCGGGGCCACAAAGATGTCAAGAAAGATGGGGATGGCGCTGCTGATGAAAGGCCAGCCAAGCGTGCCAGAACATAAGCTTAAAGCTTATGAATTGGGTTTTGGGATCGTGAAAAGTGTAGATGACAAATTTCCATAAGAACATTATTAATCCATTTTTGGAAAGCTCAACATTTTTAATTATGACATTTCCAGAAATTGTTGAAAGTAAGGATCTTCTTTGGGGAAGAACATGTGCAGTCGACAACGTACGTGCCAGAAGAAAAGGAATACTTGGCAAACTGTATGAAATATAAATTTCACCTGAAAGGGGTCTTCGCAATTCCCTGAAATTTCCCAGCTATTTTGGCATGGAATATGTTCGGCCCTGGAATATGGGCAAGAAATTGCTAGAAATATAAATTCATATATATATATATAATGGGAATCTAATTGAATATAGCTATAAAGAATTACTCCCATAGGAAAATCATCTAGAAATGGTGATTTTATGATGATATTTATGGTGATATACTGGAATATTCATGGAACATTGGATAATGCCTTCAACCATGCGTATTGCTTAATACATTCAACCCTTAATCTCAAGTATTAAACATGGTTTAAACCATTTTGCTGCATTTAAACCATATTTACCCTTCTGTAATCAAACACAAATGGACAAGCCATCATTCATAGATGATATTCCCACTAAAACCTCCATCAAGAATGAATAATGAGAGGAACGTGAGGGAATTGAGCATTCTTGATTGAAGAACATTGTGGATTTAATCAAGAAAAATACACATTACATTACATAAACACATATTACCCTCTGGTAAACTAACATAGCTATTGAAAATCACCATTTTTAATGGTAAAACTCACTATAAATGGCCATTTTCAATAGCTATTTGACAAATTACCAGAGGGTAAACTGTAATTGATGATGACCCCACTTGGAGTCATAACATCGATCTTATGGATGGGATTACTATCAAACATAGGGACGATATTTGGATTGTATATGGGATCGTCATCAGAGATAAATGGAACTAAGCATCAGCAAACCTAAGTAGCAAGTGGTTCAAAGCCCATAGGTTTTCCACATCTATCTTAGCTTGACCTAGGGTAAACAACAAACATGTAACATCATACATACATATATATATATATAATTATAATCGCTGATAAATCCAAGTATTGGGGGAAAAATATCAAAATAAGTATCTTTGAAGCCAGTCATATCTAAAAGTCCACAAATGTATCTATACGTATATATATATATATATACATATATATGAGTTGTAAACCCCTTTATAAGGTATTGCCCCCTAGTTATAAGTTGGTTTGTAAACCATCCAACAAGAGAAATAATCACTATAGACCCTGTTTATATATGAGAATATATGAGATATAAACATAATTAGCTAACTATGGGGTCCCAGTTCAAAGGGGATATCACCCAGGCATTCACCACTTAAATAAATCCATTGCCCAGCCAAACAGTTCAATATGAGTGAAATAAACCAACAAGTCGCGATTTCGAACTTAGGAACCACCAAACTCATGAGAGGAAATGATGACTTTACTAGCAAACTCATGGGAAAAAAGTGTGGAATTGTAGTTGATTTAGGAGAGGGAAGTTGTTTTATAAACAGGACTTGTGTTGGATAGACCCATGATTGCCAAATGATGAAAGTTAGGTAAATCAAACGTAATTATCCATGTATATATGTAAAATATACAGTAATATACTATATATATAGAATAATACCCATCATGTCCTAGTTACTGTCTGTATACACTGATTATGTTCACCCATCCAACTGTAGATATATCCACCGCAAACCCATCCGTTAGTTAGCGTGATGCACATGAACCAACGACTGTATCTATAATATAGTAAAAGTCAATGTTCAATCCCAGTTTTTCTTTGGAAAATCCCAATTGTACCCCCACTTTTGTTGTTTGAATCATGTTGAATTGCATTTGTTGGGGGAAATTCACCAAACTGTGAAACACTGTAAATAATGGGATTGGGGGATAAACCATATACCAACTGGTGCAGGATTTCACAAAATCCACAGTATGTCACCATTTTTGGATGGTTGAAGCCCCCTTCCGCAATGGGTGAACGATCCCCATCGGTCCCTGCCCATCTGTCGGTCCCTGTGGCGCTCCTCATGCCGCGTTCCAGCGCGTGTTTCCATGAGCAGCCGGGCACAGTCCTCCAGCTGTGAAGCAGTTGACCCCAGGTCCAGTGCATCTGCGAAAGGTGCGCTAAGGAGCACGGACCACATGGCGCGGTTGTGTCACTATGGCGAGCTGGGAAATTTCCACATCTCAATTGGAAAAGCTGGGATTTGTGGAAATTTGTGGACATTTTGAGTGGACATCAATGGGATTTTCAATTGGAAAAGCCGAATTTCCATGACATTTCCGATGTCAATGGGATTTTCAATTGGAAAACCCTCTATAAATCCACGAGCACTTTCCATGGGTTGTACAGGTGCTTTGACACTAGCATACAAGATGGCGCCCCCGTTTACCTTATTGCCAAGTTGCTAAACGCTTAAGGATAGGTTAAGCATGGTTAACCCTTGGGCTTATCACATCGAGCTAGTTGGATGAGAAAACATCTTCCTGTTCCATCCTCCAAATCCAGCAGCTGTTTCCCCTTTCCAAGGCTCTGGTGAGCTGTTTGAGATAATTTCAAGGCAGCAAAAAAGAGGTCGAAACAAGGGCAATGCAAGATGCTGACATCGCCTTGACTTGGCTCCCTGGGCCGGATTGGGAGAAACTGGATGCGATTTCAGGCTTTTAAACTGATGCTCCCGTCTCACGCTGTTCATCAGCTCATTGTGTTGATGATATTCTCAGGAGTGGATTCTGGCTTTCCTCCTGATCGCGGGTGGCTCAACTCCGAAAATGTGCCGGCTGTTCGTTGGTTCCACTATGTTCCACTGTTGACCTTCTGGGAACAATAGACAAGGGTCGATTTTGAATCCTGTTTCCTGTACATGCATTGATAGCTGCTTGAGAAAATAGTGAACTGGACATCTATGGCGCCCCAAAAAACTATAGTATTCTGCTGGGCAATGTCAAGCTCGCATCAATCCCTCTGTTTCATTGATTTTCATTGGGAAAGAATCCATTGAAAAATTGCAGCTCAACTACTGGCTCAGGCTCGCAATTCAGCAAGGTGATATTGGGTGGGGAGGTTCCGTTTTTTCATGTTTTTTCAGCATCCAGATGGAGGTTTCCAAAAAAATGCTACCCCAAAACCGCAAATGGATGGATGGTTTATATGGAAAATCCCAAAATCAAAGATGAGAACTGGGGGTTAGGAAACCCCCATGACTTAGGAAACCTATGGAAACCTCCATATCATACCCAAATCGCTGGTTCCCAACCAGTCCCTGGTGCACCAATCGGTCGGACCGTTTTGCACCGACACGCGGTGAGCGTCCGCTTGAGCATCAGCTTCCCTTGACCACATTGGACACCGGACGCCCTTGCAGACCTGACCCCAACTGGGGCGCAATGAGGGTTTCGGTGGCTTCATATCTTGCTGGTATCTTAACATATTCATATGTGTAGGTATATAACTATAAATATATATCATTGTATTAGATTATTATTATTATCATTATTATTATTATTACTATTTTATTTTTTTTAATAATATATAATATATAATATAATATATATATATATATGGTTGCGAGACCCAACGAATGAAAGCAACTGTGAAATCATGTGAATTGGAGAAAAATTGGTCCTTGTAATGATATTGAATCGCGCTTAGATCACTTCAAACGGTTCTCCCACTGGTCGCAAGTGGTTGGTGTTTTCTTAATCTACTGCAGTTTCTCAGAGATTTCAACAGGAATCATCTATGGACTGATTAACAGGGAATGAATCACCGTGGTTTAGCAGTTTCTATTGTGCTGGTAATCTATGGAAACCAAGGGTTTCATTCCAAGGCTGTCCTGTTCCCATGTTCCCATCCATTTTTAACCGGAAGTTGTTCGGATCACCATGATGGGATGATCCGTCAAATATTGATCAGGTCGAAATCCGATTTTGATGGTTTTTCATAACCTTTAATTGATGGAGGCTATAATATGTTATTTAATATGTTATTTAATATGTTATTTAATATGTTATTTAATATGTTATAATCCCAATGGTCATTCTGTTCAACCATGTTCGAAATCCCATTGATTTTGATATCGCTGATCATCTGCAAATTTTCCCCACGATTTCATTTCATCTTTCATAGTCAGCACCGCAGCTTTTTTGGCCACTTGACATGTCAAAAGGTGCGGCACTCAGGGCACATCTAGCTGGGAAGAAACTACGTTCCCCACAAACCTATATGATTTACCATCTGGAAAATTAACATAGCCATGGAAAATCCCTTATAAATGGAGGTTTTAATGGGAAAATCATCTATAAATGGGCCATCTATACCATGGCTATGTTAAATAACCAGAGGGTAGTTCCTGCAGATTTTCCCGAAAAAAACCACGTTCCGAAAATGTCCCGGTTCACTATGTTCACTCCGATGCAGGTCGTTTTTTTTGCCCATCATACGGGAGTTTGATATTTTTGGAAGGAACGCAATATCTAGGTTGGAAAAGCAAAAAACCGTCAAAAACCGGGATTGAACTCATGGATTCAGGGTCTGTTTGCGTGATACAAATACTTAAACCTTACCCAATGATTATCATAGGCCGAGAAATGAAGAAAAGATTCCTCCGGTTCTGGAGAGAAGTAAATAAAGGATAATAAAGGTATCCGCCTACCAAACCAAGGTCTACCCAGACCGAAGAAGGAACTTCAGGACCTGAACATTGGCTAAGTCCACCAGTGTTTGTGAAATGTGTCTTGGCATCATAGCCATCATAAGTGAATCATCAGGGCTGGTGGGTCTAAGCACGCCAGAAACGGCTACAAGATGGTACGAATCAAACTCAGAATAATCCTAATCAATTGATGGTTTAGTACAGAAAATGACGCATTTTACAGGGCCATATAACCAAAATATACCCTCTGGTAAACAGCCACATTTTGCGAACTGGAAAGATCCACCATGTTCTAGCTGGGTAAATCAACATTAATCAACTATTTCGATTGGGCCATGGCTTCAATAGCTAGCTTTTTGTATGTTTACCAGGCCGGGTGTCCCCAATTTCTGACCCATTCCATGAGAAAACAAGCTGAAAACCAGCTGCGACTCCCAGGCATGCCACGGATCTGTCCAAAGCCTGGATTTCTGAGCTACCCTCTGGTGATTTGTTGCATAGCCATGGAAAGATCCACCCATGTTTAGTTCGGTAAACCATCTATTTCTATGGGCCATCTATACCATGGCTATGTAACAAATAACCAGAGGGTTTATCATGCTATATTCATCGAATGTGCTTAAAACATGTTAAAACCATCAACTATACGTTATAGTAAACATACCACCTATATATATATATTTATTTATTTATGCTGATGACTGGGGGATGGTTTATGAAATTCGTTTAACCACCAAAAAGATCCAGTCTGATGGGTGCGAGCTGCTCATCCCGGCTGATTAAAAAACGCCCTACACACAGCGTCCAATCCTTTGGATGGACAGTCGCCACGCTCAGAAGAATATTTTTTGCTCCTAAGAAACCTGAAGGCCAAGGCCCGGCACGAAACGAGCGTTTTTTAGAGAGCATCTGGAAGGGGTGAGTTATGATGTGAATTATGATATGAATTTTGTTCATCTTACGATGTTTCCATGGGGGAAGATCAAAATTGCTAGCACACGTTTGAATCATGGGGATCTAACTTGCTATATAGCCACTGAATTGGGCAAGACTCTGACTCTAATCATCCCCCGTATGATGGCTGGGGATTGCCATCTGATGCGAATCCACAGGCGCCACAATTTTTAGCGCGATATCCATAGTATAGTTCATCAAACAATAATGTGGTCTATCAAACAAAAAATCCCAGAAGATTCTCACTCCAAATTTCATTTTAGGTGATGAACTGCAAGTTTTCATATTCCCAAGTTTATACAATGTGGGGCCCCCCAGTGATGTTTGTTGGTTTATAAACCCCATTAACTATAGTTATAAGTACCATAAACCATAGTTTTGTGTTCACCAACTTAGCTATCTAACGGGGGCCCCACATTGTATGAATGGGAAATTTCCACGGAAATGGGTGATCTCTTCTTTACCAGATTGGATTGCTGGCATCTCACTCTTATCCTCCAAGTCCCGGCCAGAATTCAAATGAATACATCTTGGTGGGTAGGGTCAAGCAACAAAACAAGAATGGATCAGATTAAGATTAAGTACATAAGTACCACCATCTGATGCTGCTTCAGCATGTTTTTCATCAATTTCATGTCTTAAAAGGGACCCATTTTTAACGGTGGCCGATTGAATCGGCAACCCGCTACTTCCGAAGGGACCGAACCAATTCATTGCATAGCTGGCCGCCAGAGATCACAAGGGGGATGATCCAGCTGGGCATGGCCGCTGGCCGCAAAAACTTTATCTCCAATCAACTTACTACCAGCGATATTTATAAGGCCAGTTAAATATCAAATATCAGTGTTTATCTCCAATCAACTTAATCAACTAACTATCTCCAATCAACTTCATCAACTATCTTATTGCTGTTGTCCTATTCTGGAACCCATCAAAAAACGTTGCCGCAGTCGATCTGGTCGATCTGGTACCAAACTCCTCGGTCTGTCCAACCGTCCTGTCTGCCGTCCCATTGGCGATCCAAGCTGCAGTACAGTTGCATTTGCCGTTCCACCTGGCATTCTGTACCTGGGATGGTGAAAGTTACATCCAAAACTGATTCCCTGTACAAAATCCCTTCATGAGTGGATTTTTTTTTAAATCTCCGTTTAACTTCATTTTGAGAATTTTGAAATTTCTGTCTAACAAAAGTAACAGTTACGACAATTGGAGTGGAACATTCAACTGGCACACATCAACTGGCTGGCGGTTTTCATCCAAGAAAAATCGTTAAAAAAAAAGTATGCGGCATCCCATGTCTATGGTTGAAAATCAAAAACCCGTTGGTGGTTTTAACCATCTTGAAAAATATGAAAGTAAATCAGAAGGATTATCCCTTATAATATGGAAAATAAAAAATCTTCCAAACCACCAACCAGAAAATAGTTGAAACCACCAACCAAAAAGTGAAATGTTTGCAGTGTTCAAAACCCTGGTCCCTTCATACTGGTTGATATGGGGTTCCCCTGGACTATGATTATCCCGAATAGATTGGATAGATTTGGATAGTATAATCCCGGAACTAATCATCAACCAACCATCATTTATCAGTTATATTCACGAATAAGTCATAATCTGATACTTGAATGGTACCCCCCCAAATGAACAGAATTAAACAGCCTAGGGGTTTATAAATCCAGGGTTGACATTATCCCCATATGTTCATGCTTAAAATCCCATTTAAACTACTATAATCATCAACCAACAGGGGTTTAGCCACCAGCCACTGCTCAACTCATTTTCTCAAACAAGACCATGGAACTTCGGGATGATTCAACGCCTTGCTGGCACTTGGCCTTCCATCCACCTCTTTCCTTGCGTCGGGCCGGGGTGATCGGAAGGGTGAACACCACCCATTTCAATGCCATGGATTCGACTGAAACTCCACCAATGCATTGGTCAACAACTCATTACCCTCTGGTAATTTGTTACAACTCATTAACCACCAGTAAACTAACAGAGCTCTGGAAAATGATCTTGCCATGGAGCGTCTTCATACGTTAAATGTTGAGGGGGTCACCTGGTCACCTTGGGGGCTATACCGGCTATAGCTTCCATGATTTGAAATGCCACAGCCCACAGCATCGCTCCAACGCTCCAAGATTCACAAGGAGACTTTGAAGCCAAGTCTTCAGCCAAGGTCGCTGATGCTCCCAGTCCGCCTGATCCAGCTTCATCTCACCATAGACTGCCTAGCCAAAAACATGTCTGCGAACGGCGGCTAGGCCTCAACAACATCAATGGCAATGGGAAAACCTCCATAAGTGGTTTGAATCCGAAAAGCATCTATAAATGGAGGTTTATATTTGGGAACTTTGACTATAAATGATGATAAATGGTGGATGCTCAATTGCCATTTTTGACTGAGGGTAGGTCAGTTCTCAGTTCTATATGCATTGGTTTAAGGGAACATCTACAGGAAACAATGGATTTTCGGATTTTCTCATGAAATATGGAGAGGGTGTCCTGTAATTTCTCTCTTTAACCAATCCCTTGAAGTTGGAATTATCACAACACGTGTCATATTCCGCTGAAATGAGTTAGTTCGTCCACAAGCCCAACATTTAACCACGTTGGACTTCCCATGTATCCCCATATATCCCGTTATATCCACATAAATGATGTTTCACATCAAATGAACTTATATAAATCTCCATTGTCCTTGGACAACTCCATCATATTTTGGTGTTTTTGCCAAACGACTATCGTGCCTGCTCCAACTGCCGTTCAGGGAGATGGCCGAAGAATGGCTTGCCGCAGACCAGCTCAAAGATCACCATTGCGCTGCTCCAGACATCACAAAGCTCGGTGTAACAGCCCGAAAAAACTTCAGGGGCCATGTACATAGAGGAGCCGCAGGCTTTCTTCATCACCTGAAGATGGCCGTGAAAGTGCTGAGATCTTCAGTCACGGAAAATCCCCAAACTCAATGGAGGTTAGAGCTGGGAAAATGGGAAAATCATCGAACTGAATGGTGGTGATTTGGGGATATCGGGATATGTGGTAGGATACCATGATAAACAGAGCGCTATAGGCCCTGAGATTGCACCCTTTGCAGCAAAATGTCAGATGCTTCGAATAAATCGTCAAGATCTTTCAGGGATTTAGAAGGCGGCGCCCCATCCTTGGCTAAATTTGTTTATAGCTCCAATAACTAGGGTTTATTATAGATACATCATACAGAATCATACATCTATAGTTTATGGGGGTTCTAAAGCAACATTCACATCACTGGGGCACCACCCTGTGAACTGCTATATCACTGGCTGTTTAGTGACCGGGTGTAGTGATTCCGTGGATTCTGTAGTCATCAACCGTGGTTCCGAAAAACCGCCCTGCCTCACCGGGATGTGTCATTTCCTGCCCTAGGCCGAAATCTGAAAGCTTCAGGACTGGGAAGAAGCCGCCACTCAGCAACCAGTTCGCGGGCTTGATGTCCTGTGCAACTGGTCATACCAAAGAGGAATCCTGACCACTAATGGCTGCTGTTTTTCGAAAAATCCCTATGAGAATTTGGGGGCGGCAGAAAACACTCTTGGGAACCAAGCAAAAACTAGAAGATATGATGATGTGTCTGAGACTTAAGCTTAAGATACCCTCTGGTAAACTAACATAGCTATTGAAAATGGCCATAGAAATAGTGGATTTTCCCATTAAACATGGTGATTTTCCATAGCTATGTAACAAATTACCAGAGGGTACTGTATACGACGTAGCTCCAAATCCGGTCATCATTTTCCCCATTAAGATTCTGGGGACAATTGCCACAAAAAGGCCCAGGCCCAGCCTGGAGAAACCCAGCCTTTTCTCTTCTGCCCCATATTGTCATATTGTTGGTTCAAGAGTTTGGTATCTTACCCTCTCGCAAATGTTTACACAACTATGGAAAGATCCACAATTTTATAGCTGGGTAAATCAACTATAAATGGTTATTTTCAATAGCTTTTTGTATGTTTACCAGGCCGGCTACACCTCTATCACCACCACCAGTTGGTCCCGGTGAACTATGGAGAGATGATGGATGTAGGCCACTGCCGACAACATCTGGCGCGACAGCACGGCCACTTCGCTGGTGCCCGGCGCGTCGTAATACTTGGTCCCGGCCGTGAACTCGTCGTCCCAGCGCTCTTCAATCCTCGAGCAGGTGGTCAAGCAAATGTGAAGAAGCAATGGTACTAGGGAGTCGCTTGTTGTTATTTTTGTTTTTATCATAGGTTGGACTTATCTTAAGTGTTGTGTGTACTTCTTTTCATCAGCCATGTGCACTTCTAGACGAATTACACGTCCGCAGCAGCTTTCCGTCAGTTGGAGAAACACAATCAAAAGGAGAAAATGCAAAGAACAGGAGAAATTTTCGTGTAGATGCACTCAAGTGGACCCCAAAACCACCCCAACAACATGGGTCATTAAATGTCCCCATTGAACATCACCCAACCATTAGGTATATGGTCTATAATGGCTACTACTAATATCACCACCCCAACAAAGGAGCAAACAACAAAACAAAGAAAGGAGAAGGTAACCAGAAGTAGATCGGTCCCGTGACGCACAGCAGGGTTCGTGACCACTTGTCTCTCGCTTTGGAGAATAGTGGAAAAACGTATCCTGTGCTGTGTATGTACATATATATATATATATATATATGATCATATATGTACATATGTATATATATATAATTCTATATGTACATAAGTATGTATTTATATATATATATCTATTATATCTATCATTATATATGTACATATGTATGTATATATATATATGTGAGCAAACGTTTCCAAATACAGATCCAGATTGAATGCGGCATACTTGGAACATGGAGCAGGTCCCCAAAAAGGCGGTGAAAACATTTTACTCCAGAGACAGGGGTGATGTAAAGGTTGGTTTAGGCTGGTTGGTGAACATAACTCCAATAACTATCGTTTATGGTACTTATAAGATTTATAAGTATAGTTCATGGAGCTTATAAACCAATTTATATTTGGGAGGGCCCACATTGTACTTGTTGAGAATTCCAACCCTGCATTCACAACCGTGGCTGATCGCAGTATTTCGCTGGGGGGAGACCACAGTCTGTCAAGAAAAATATAGTAAAATAATGTACCATCTGGTTATTTGTTACATAGCCATGGAAGCCATGGCCCATAGAAATAGATGATTTTCCCAGCGAACTAAACCTTCATTTCTTTTGGGGATTTTCCAGTTTGCTATGTTAGTCATAACCAGATGGTAAAACATAGCCATGTACCTCCAAAACATCAACCACGGAGGAGCGATGGATCTTAGGATCATCCAGCTGAGCCATTTTTGGTGACCGGTCAACTAAGGCTTTTTTGGAAAATCCCCCATTATTTAAGATCAATATAGATCATGTTCATTCATTTTCCAAACCGGAAAGCATGGCTTTTCCAGTTTTCCACATCGAAAAGTACATCAAAACGTTGATTCATCCACTCCATATCCACTCCAAGCGGCCAGTTTTGCAAATCGCCTCCACGGCAGATGCTCATCACCAAATGTATCTCCTGTTCTTCCAGAATCACGTGCTCCAAGCGAAGCACGTGGGGATGATGCTCCAGTTTTTGCATCAAGGCCATCTCTGTGTCAGCCTCCGAAGCAGCGAAAAGCGTTGAAGAACGCGTTGTTTAAGTGAGACACCAATGGTAAAAATAGTGTCTAGTGTCTAGATTCTAGATAGCAATTCGAACTATATTCTAACGATACAAATGACATGTCCACCATAAATCATAGTGATTATGATTATACTATAATATAGACATATCATGACATATCCACCAGAAATCATAATCGGATATCATTGAACCTTAGCATAGTCCCCAAAGTAGTAATTAAACAACCATCATTTATCAGTTCTGTCCACTTATATCCCCATACGGAGCTCTCCGTTTTGTCATTGCTACCCCCTTGGTTCTTGCAAGCTGGGCCTAGATGTTCACCGATTCACCGATCATCATCTATCACAATCATTCGATGAAAGATCCGCAGTTTGTTGGTGAGAAATCACCACCTTATGTTTGTTTTTGTTGATTCGAGGCTTTGACATATCATGGGGGATATGGAGGGATATATGTGGTGCTCACCCATCTTTTTGACCAACATAGCTGAGCCAAATAAAACCATCGCGTTTTTTGGATCTTTCTGTGACACAAGAACAATAACTCCCACACCATGTGCCCCCGAGTTGCAAATTGGTCTTTTTCTTCATCCAACTTAGATACATCAAACTACATAAACCATAAATCCATCCAGCTTGACCTCGTTTTGCTTCCCAACTTACCTATAGTATAGAATTTTATCAAATATAAATCTGAAGTGTTGCTGCTCTCAATGTACCATTATTTTCGATGCTTAAATATCCCCATTATACTTATATAATCTTATATATTTGTATTTTTTTTGATGGAGCCACCACCCGGCTGCCCCGCCGTGTTGGGAATGGTCTTCACGGCAAAATGCGAAGGCGCCCTTCGGTTTTTTCGGTTTTTGGATTTCACTTCGCGGACCACTCCGAAGGTGCCACTGCCCAGTGGCTTCACGAAGTCATAGACCTGTGCCGCTGCCAGGCGGCGTGTTTCTGGGGTAGCCATGGGATAAGCGCCATTGAAAATGGGCTGTTTCGGAAGCCCCTTAAAAACGATTCCCGGGGTGGATGTCCTGGGAAAAAGCCGGCCATCCCAAATCTGGTGCCCATTTTGGCTGTTGAACATGTGGACATTGACAAACATGTTTACAGATCATGTCATGCAAATGATGATTGACCTCTTCAAAAAATTGCTGGATTTACCATCTGGTTATTTAACATAGCCATGGAAAATCCCATATAAATGGAGGTTTTAATGGGAACATCATCTATAAATGATCCATTTTCCATGGCTATGTTAAATAACCAAATGGTAAGTCCAGAGAGTCCTGGAATGGAATCACAAGAAATCCTATTAGTTAGTACAAACCTTCTCAACTACCCATATGCTCCATGTACAGTATATTTACCTACATTTGGACCATTTATGGGGTAAATGTTGGTAAATATCTCATACATGGACCATATGGGCTATGCTTAATCTTTGAGAGGGGGATTCCAATGAAGGAGTGGCCTAGCTTCAAATGCGATTTTTTCACAGGTTTAAAGAGTTTCTCTTCCAGTCTTGGAGGGTCTGATGTTATGTCCTCCCAATTAACATACCCCCATTAATATAGTGTGTATATACATATATAGGTTGTGCCCAATCATATATCTGGGGAAGGCAAATTATAATAATTCACTAATCTGAATAGTTCGGCCATTTGGGGATGATTCCCCTTACTAACCATGATTTCCAGGGCTCGGTCGTAGTGAGGTCGTTATAATTTACCCAGATATATATATATATACAATATGTATGTATATATACATATATATATATGCCCAATATCTATTAATATGGTGGAAATGGCGGGCTCTGCTGCTGTGTCATTTTCCCAGAAACGCAGCTGTTCCGCATTGGATGATGATGGTTCTCTGGAGTTAGACGGCTTGTCTTGATAGGAATATTATGCTGTTACATACATATATATATATATACATATATGTATAATTATATGTATATATACATAGATAGAATATGGAATATTCAACATGGTTCCCATTTTAGGGAATGTATTGAAATTTCCATATTCTATCTATTTTAGGATTGCTATAAACGAGCCTTGATGACTGGGATCATGATCCCTTGTCACTGGAATGAGATGCCGTTGTTAGTTCAAGGGAATTCTGGTCGTAAGTGGCCAATTCTGATAGCCATATCGTGCCCCAGTTATACATGGGCCTTGCTTTATATGGGTTATCTATATAAATATGCGATATATATATATATGTATATGATATATATATATATGTATATATATGATATATATATATATGTGTGATACATATATGTGATATATCTGTATTTTGTATATGTAACATATTAATATATATACATATATGTGATATATATATATATAAACTATGCGTGTGATATATATGTATATATATATAATATAATATAATATAATATAATATAATATAATATAATATAATATAATATAATAATATAATATAATATAATATAATACAATATAATATAATATAATATAATTTAATATAATATAATATAATATAATAATATATATATATATATTATGTATGTGTATATATACATATATATATATGTGATATACATATATATATATGATATATATACATATCATATATATATATACATATCATATATATATGTATATATATCATATGTATACCATATGTATATGATATATACCTGGGTCCTGGGTGTTTCTGGAAACCCGGCCTCCCAAATGCTGTCATGGCTCGCCGCCATGGCACGGCCGGATCTGAGCCAAGCTGGGCATCACGGCCGGCCTTTCAAAAAAGCACGGGAAGCAGCCATGAAATCATCCAGAAATGGGGAAATATCACCAATATGGGGATAGAATATGATAGAATGGGATATTTTTCGAGGATACAATGGGGGATACACTCATGATTTACTGCTTACCCAGTGATCATTGATCATAATACAAATATTAGTGGTAGTATATACCCTCTGGTAAAGTAACATAGCTATGGAAAATCACCATTTTATAGCTGGGTAAATCCACTGTTTGAATGGCCATTTTCAATAGCATGTAACAAATTACCAGAGGGTATCACCAATATGGGGATAGAATGGGATAAGTGATGACGCGTTTCCTTCTGGTGTTTCTCATAGTTAAGTAATTATGGGATATTTCATATAAGGGGTATCATGGAATATAAATGTGAATAGAAAAAGGTATTGGCCAACAATGGGGATTGCATGGGATACTAAGTGGGATATCCAGCTCAATGTGATGTATTGGGTTTGTCTGAAAGTTGGATATACCCCAAGAGAAGGCCAGTGTCAAAGGGAAAAATGGTTGGCCAGTGTCATTTGGCTCTTGAAGATTATGGCAACGTCGGAGTTCATCATTGCAGGTGATGGAAGTAAAACAATAAACCTCGAACCCTACCAAGCTGAACTAATTTAAACTGCGAAAAAATAGTGTTGGGACATATGGTTTGAACCCCTCTGAAAAATATTAGTCAGTTGGGATGATTATTCCCAATATATGGAAAACTAAAATATGTTCCAAACCACCAACCAGATTTTCTGGATTGTTTCAGGGGCTTCCAGCGGCCTCCACTTAACCTCAGAGGCTTCGGGGGAAACCTCCGCAGTTTCTAGTGGCGATACACCGCACCTCTGAAGCAAAAATGGATGTGATCTTCCCATTGCATCTCGACGAGGCCTTCTAGCGATGCAGCCTTGGGTCATCGAACGGGAGATTTCTGAGTAATTACTCATCCTCCTAATACACTTATAAGTTTTACATCAACAGCGCAAATACTGTAAATGGTCCCACATCTGTTTTAAATCACAAAAAACCATGATTTCTGATGATTTACTAATCACTAAACCATGATTTCTGATGATTTCGGGGGGGTGTAAAAAATACCAGTGGCAGGGGATTGTTTTTCCCTATCCCCATTTTTGTTTAATGACCTGAGTGCTGGGCTGCCCGTGGCATTTCAACGCTAGATGTATCTGCCTGGCACGCGGCTGCACTTTGGTATTACCAATGGATTGGTTTGTTGGGGAAAATCTTAACCGGAAACCATAGATTTTCCCATGAAGATCATGGGGCTTTCCGGTTAAAATTTTCCCTTAAACCAATCCATTGATATTAGGCTTAGCGATTGTTGAAAGGTGCTTAGCTGAAAAAAAGGTTTGTGGGCTGAAAGCTTAGTTTATATTCCGAAAGAAGATTCAAAAGATGTTCCCAAACATGGAGCCAGATTTAGGAAATTTGGGGGGCTAAGTGCAGGGTGAGTCCACTTATACCACAAAAAAGTAATTTTAACAACAAACAACGAACATGTTGGTATAGCGACAAACACCTAAACATGTTTTAACCTCCCATTTTTATTGAGAATAGAAGCAACAAAAATTGAGTGAAACAAAATCCGTCACGGCAATGGATCACCAAATGTCGAAACTAAAAATGGAGACCATAGCTGTTGACTGGTTCTGAACGATCCGGCGATCCACTTTTATCAACCAACCAAACCCAGGAAATCCATATAAATCCAGGGTTTCTGTAGCCGTTGTAGCCCTAAAAACCAGTTACAAGTCAGTGAAATAACTCCAAGGAATGATAAGCCCATTATATAACCATTCGTAAAGGATAGTACCCTCTGGTAAACATACTATGAAAAACCTATGGAAAGATCCACCATTTTCAATGGGTAAATCCACGAACTTTCTATGTGCCATGTTCAATGCTTGAGAGCGTTTCATGGAATACACCGAATCCGTCCCTAAAAAATCAGCTGCTGACCAGGTTGCACCGTTTCAACATTTGCTACCCTCTGGTCATGAATTTAGCTATTCAAAAAGGATGAACCTGGCCCAGTTTAATTCGATGATCTATCTGGCTTTTTTTTTAATAAAATATTTCACTCACCTGAATCTTGTGAATTAATTAAGGCCGTAATTGGGGATGATGTCCCTATAAAAACCATGATGAACCACTGCTCTGTCGCGACGTGAGGTTGTGATGAAATTTACCCAGATCGAAACATGGGGGTTTTCTGTGTCAACTTATCAGAGACTATCCCCTGGGATCAAAACCAACATTACCCTCTGGTAATTTGTTACATAACTATTGAAAATTGCCCATTTAGTTCGTGGATTTACTCCTTGAACATGGTGGATCTTTCCACAGCTTTTTGTATGTTTACCAGAGGCCACAGAAACGCCTGCGTTGGTGACTTCAGCATAGCCTGTGCCTGTGCAGGGCAGCATGGGACCCAGCGTGGGGATCTCCACCGTTCAGTCAGCAGCTATTTATGTTTACAAACTGACCGTAATACCATCTGGTTATTTAACATAGCCATGGAAAATCACCATTTTTAATAGGTAAACCATCTATAAATGGACCATTGTCCATGGCTATGTTAAATAACCAGAGGGTAAATCCATTCTAAATCCATGGCGAAGCCAGGGAAGGCTTCATCTGAAGCCTCATTTGTAGGTGACATCCGAGACATGCCCTTGATTCATATCCCCATAGAAACGCTTGGTGAACTGCCCCTTGTTGTCAGGTTTGAACGCCCGTGTCTTGGTACCCAATTCTGCTTGGTGGTTGAGCCACCCCTCTGAAAAATATGAAAGTATATGAGTTCGTCAGTTGGGATGATGACATTCCCAACTGTTTCTGGAAAGTCATTCAAAATTCCATGGTTCCAGTCACCACCAACCAGCTATAAATCCGTTCTAAATCCATATCACAGTCCCATGGTTCTTGGTTAATTCATGTTAAATCCCAATTTGTCTTAGAAGTAATTACCCTCTGGTAATGACTAACATAGCTATGGAAAGATCCACCATTTTCAATGGGAAAATCCACTATTTCTATGGCCATTTTCAATAGCAAACTGTTAAATTACCAGAGGGTACTTCATAAGGGTGAACTTCCCAACTGGTGCTGCGCATTTTGGCCACGCCTGCGTCCGGAGAGTGAGAGCCTCTGACTCCTGGCCCTCGACGGCTTTCACCTGCGAAATGGGGGATGTAGCCTCCGATGTATGGCGTTTATTGGGAAAGTCATGTAAAATCGATTGGAATCGGGTGTTTGTTCAGTATGTATAGCCCATTTTCACGTACCACACCTAAAGTACTATCGTAATAGAAGGAGGATTGCAAGTAGAATTTTGCGACCGAACTGGGCTTACAACCCAATAGAGAAGACCTTATGGGTTCCATCTTTGTGGTGGAATAGACCATAGATGGCGGGCTGGAAGATGATGTCTTTGAGGCTTGAAGCGTCCACTTTCCGACGTTTTACCAGTAGAGTCTCCCTCCCAAATGGCAGCGGCAACAAAAAACGATAGATAGGGTATGATAGGCTACTTTTTGTCACGCTAGCTAAACTGCTTGGTGGTTTTAACATGTTTTAACCATATTATGGAAAATAAAAAATGTGGGTATGGATCAATACCTATTAATACCATTTTTAGTGGGTTATTCACATCCATAAACCCCAGCTATTTTGATGTCCACCAGGGGTATAGGATTTTGACAGACTGCCATGTTTGAAACTCCAATAACTATGGTTTATGGTACTTATAACTATAGTTAATGGGGTTTATAAACCAACTTATAACTGGGGGGCCCCACATTGCACCAAACAGTAAAAGTTACTAAAAGTCATGCTGTGGCGCCGCCTCTGCTTGCAGCAGCAGACAGGAAGCCACCTTGGAACGAGCCATGGCCACCATGGTTTGTTGCTGAACCCCCTTTTTTTATTTCACGGAGATATCTTCGGTGTTTTCTTATATATGCTATATATAATAATATATATCTATATGCTATGCATATATATCTATCTATGTTTATATATATATATATGTTTATATATATATACATATGTATATATATATATTTCACAACCATGAGATTGTCTTTTGAATGCAAGCTGCGGTTTTTACCACGCCTCTGGTCATCCAATGTGCATCGCTTTGGAAAATCTGCTTGGATGAGAGTGGCATGTTGCGCGCCGCGCTGCAGTTCTTTGTAGTTGGTTGCATACATAATTATATTAAGTATTCCACATAATTAGATACATATATATATATATACTGTATTATGATATATATATATAAACATAATTAATATATAATTATACTTATTACACATACATATATAATTATCCCTAAAATAGCAAAAGACACCACAGGACTAAAGTATTAAGCTACCAAATGGGTAGTGTTCATCTTTCACGAACCGAAAGATGGTCATGTTCGTTAGTAATTGTCATATTAACCTCCGGGAATGAAAAAAAACACAATCCCCATATATAGATTATTTCCCCAGCTGAAAACCTACATTTCGAATTAGGGTATGTACAGTTGCCAGGTTTCATTTCTGAAGGGCATCATTCTTTGTTGTTATATCCCATTGTATCCCCATTATATCTCCATAAAGTGAGATAACATCTCCCATGAATCAACGTCTTAAGTAAACATACAGCATACACTGGGCGTACACCATATGAATATGATCCCATATCATTATCTATGATTCACCATGAATCAATACATGAATCAATGAATCAATATGAATCCCGGATGAACTCCCCCAATGAAATCTGACATGGTCATGTCATGTCTTGTCACCTTTCTCAATTTTCTGGGCTCCCACACCCCACAACGGTCGGAGGCATCTGACAGGAGTTTCTGGGCTTCAGTGGCGTCCTCCAAAGCCTACGGCCGTAATTAGCGGCGCCAGTTTTTTGCGCAGTTTTTTGGGATTTGACCATCAAAAATCGACGGCCCGGGATAAATCTGGGGATTTCACCAAAAGAAGGTGAAGCCATCAAAAATCGAATAGGGATTTCATGAGATTCAGGATTTCAATGGATTTCATGGGGGGAAATTCATGGTAGAACAACTGTTGAACAAGCCCTGCAGTGGTTGATCATCGGAATGAGGCCCGGCTGTGGGATGCTTTCAATAAATGGTGGTACCCCCATAGCTGGATGGTTTTTAATGGAAAGTAGCATTAAAATGAATGAGAACTGGGGGTACCCCTATTTCAGGAAACCTCCATATTCCTCCATGAAAATTGCACATCGCTCGCTTAGCAATTTTTTTTCCGCGGCAAGACCAACCATGAACAAATGAAACATGACACCCTTCCGTATTCTGTTTTGTCAGATTTGCCGGGTCCTTCCACCCGAAGGCTAAAAGACTGGAACTAGCATTTTCGTAGCAATTTTTGGCTACTTAAATCATCCAATTTGGGATATTCCCCTTGATATTTCCATTGTTGCTGTGTTATTTGGGATATATTTTCATATAAACTTACAATGACAATGGAAATACACCAAATGAAACAGCAACAATGGGAATCTCATCTTAAAATCACAACGGTTGGCCGTGGATGTTCCTGCCGTTGGAACATTCAGGAACTCCTCAAGTCCTATAGGACTCAGATATTGACCCGCACCTATTTTCTCACAAAAATCTGTTGGGTTGTGGTGGTTTCCTATGGTTAAGAGTGGTTTTATAATGATAATCAATAATTATCACTTAAGTGATTCATGGAGATTTACCCTCTGGTAAACTAACATGGCTATGGATTTGTTCGCCATTTTGAATAGGTAAATCAACTATAACTGGCCATGTTCAATAGCTATGTGTACATCTCCATTGCCCCAGTTAATTATAATGGGATAGCAACTTCTTTGCCTGGTCACATCAACTGCAATCCGAATCTGTGCCACATAACTGGCATGGCTTTAATACAGGGTTGCTCCAAACACCCCAGATACGTTTGGGTGGTCGGGTAAATATTGGCTCGTAAAATGAGCAATTTACCGACCAAAAGTGGCTATCACCGCTGTAGAATGAGTTGGAACAACTAAGTTGGAAAAATCCCTCATATTTTCCAGTGGTTTTGACCCATCAAAAAAAATATGCAGTCATCTCAATCAAACATCCCAAAATTGATGGTTTTTCAAAAGAATGAATATTCCCAACCAGTCTACAAATATCTGGATAAAATATACCCTCTGGTAATTTAACATAGCTACTGAAAATTGCATTTATAGCTGATTTACATTGATTTACCTATTCAAGATGGTGATTTTCCATAGCTATGTGGCTGTTTACCAGGGGGTACATTCCATACATGGTTCCATTCCGTAGATCTCTCATAGATGGGCGATTTCCCAGATGTTCCCCTTTGATAAACAGCCAACAGTTTGCGAACTGGAAAATCCGCCACTTTTCAATGATAAATCAACTACTGGTTGGTGGTTGACCTACCCCTCTGAAAAATATGAAAGTCAGTTGGGTTATTATTCCCAATATATGGAAAAATAAAATTCAAGTTCCAAACCACCAATCAGACTCTTTCTATGGCCACGTTCAATAGCAAACTGTTAGTTATTACCAGAGGCTACATATCACATGTTGTTCTTATCCCGTTTTTTTGATAGTGTCACCATAGTATACTTATCCCCAACCCATTCCAAGATTGTTTTAGTGAAAAATCCCCATCTAGTCGAGGACAAAAACATCCATAGTGATTTTGATGGTTTTGCATTGGCTATGGGAGTTTCAAAGAAACTCTGACATCTATATACTATAGAACACGAAAAAGACTTCAAGACATGGCTAAAAGTGCAACCCCAATTCAAAAAGCAAGTGATTTGCCCTGCCTGGGCAAGTTCTCCGGCCGCCTTGGCTGCCCGCGCCCGCAGCAGAAGGGCTTGCCGCGGCGCCTGTGAATTTCACATCAAAAATCAGGGAGAAGGGGTTTTACCCTCTGGTAAACTAACGTAACAATGGAAAATCACAATTTTTAATGGGTAAATCCACTATAAATGGTTATTTTCAATAGCTTTTTGTATGTTTACCAGAGGGTAAGCAACAAGACTGGTGGATACTGGTGGTCCATGACACCAGAATTTTCAGAAACAAGACGCCGCGGATTGAAGAACATTGAAGAAGCTGATGTACAGCCAACAACAGCTAAAGATTCATGGGTATGTCTGAAAAATAATGGTACAACCCTAGAGTCCAACGGTTTATCATCGTTGGAATGAGGAAACATATTGGGAAAATTGCAACTTAAACCTACCCTCTGGTAAACTAACATAGCTATGGAAAATGGCCCATAGAAATAGATGGTTTACCTATTAAAAATGATGATTTTCTATAGCTATGTAACAAATAACCAGAGGGTAAACCCAATCAAAATAAAGAGTTCCTCATGATCAGCCCACTTGGATACTCCAAGTAGAATCGTAACTTGTTTGGATCACCAAAGATAGTGAGACCATGTGAGACCCAAGAAAAATAGATGGGGGAAGCGTACTTTGGGGACTTTTTTATCAGATGATCGCATCCCCTGGCATCCCAACTTTCCACATATATATATATATGTATATATATATATATATGTATATATATATGTATATATATATATATGTATATATATATGTATATATATATATGTATGTATATATATATATGTAAATATGTATATGTATATAATCCCTGCCCTTCATCCTATTACTAACCCCCCAAATGGTGAACATGGTGACCAATTTTTGTTAAGGGGTATTTTATGGTATGTTCAAACTAGGGGCCCAAAAAAAACATTGTTTTAGTATTTAAAACAATGAATGTCTAGACATCAAAATCGAATCAATTCCCTTGAAACCTCCAATCAACTTGCTGAAAAACCATCCAGTCATCCAGGGGCGACGCTCCACCCACCTCGCCATGACCAAGCGCACCAAGCGCACCATGCGCCAACGACTTGGCTTTCAAAGCCTGAGCGCCACTGAAATCATCTGGAATCGATCATCTATTTCTATGGGCCATTTTCTCAAAGATGATCTCAAATGATCTCAATATATATGTATATATTATATATATAAGGATTATTTCAAAAAAAACCTTAGATAACTTGAAAAGAATTTCCCAGGTTTTACAAGGATTTCAAATCTCCATAGAATATTATAATATACATATGTATGGATATATGTATGGATGTTATAGAATTGTTGAGTTAAAATGAGATTTACTAGGAATGGTTTTCTTTTGTGAATCGGAAACTGGGGATTCTCAATCTGTCAATTCCAACTCCGGTATTCGACTGATTCACGGAAAAATGTACAGGAAACGATGGTGATGTTACCCCAAATTCGGAGGTTTCATGCAAATTCTCCTTCGACCGAGTCTAGGCCTAAACAAAAAAAAACGGGCATTAGAACAGTTGAGGAAATATATATATATTCCCAAGGTCATTCGGAAATCATGGAGAAATGTCAGGAACAAGGGGTTTCTTTCAACCAAGCTGGGTATAGAACTATGTAGCCTACATACATAAATATATAATATAACATATTTACAATACTTTACAATGTGTACAATATGCATTTTGGCATATTTTAAACCAGATTAAGGAAGTGACAAACATTTGACAATGGATCCCCACGCACTTTGGGATGAGAGCGCGCATTGTGACTGCATTTTTCATGTCAAGCTCAACAACATGTCTACGATGAACCCAGTACCCCCGATGTGTGTGGGTAAAACTGCTACCCATCCAACTCTAGTTATATATATATATGGCAGTGTGTCAAAACCAATAGAGCTGTGAAAAAAACCACTATCCTAACTCTTTGTACTCACAAAGGTCTTTCGCGAATCCTTTCGTTTTACTTTCGCGGCCACAATGCCGGCTTTCGCGAAACCACTGCTACAACAACCCCTTTCGCGGACCTTTCGCGGTGAAAGGGAAAATCGTGTAATCGTGGACATGATTCTTGGCCCGCTGAAACCTTCAGCTAGGTGGTGTTTCGTTGCGGCAAAGCTAGACTTTGGGAGCTGCTTGCTTGGCTCCACAGCTACTTTTCGACAGGGCTCTGAAAGCAATGTTGGGGATTCAGGTCTGCGGCCAGCAAAGCTCGCTGAAACCTAGAGCTAGATGTTGTTTCGCTGCGGCAAAGCTAGACTTTGGGAGCTGCTTGCTTGGCTCGATACCACACACGAGTGTCAAATTAAACTGCCAGAAACATGGGGCTTTCCAGGTGGACGGATGGACTTGGGACATTGCATCTTTCGCGGTTCTTTCGCGGATCTTTCGCGGATCTTTCGCGAAATTCGGCTGCCAAAAGTGGCAAGTGCAGATTCTTAATCTAAATTGAGCTCTGGCTACATGCAGTCTTCAACGCACTTTACAACCCGAGCTGCGACACCCGACTCCCACAGCTGAGACCCAAGGCTTCCACTATACCTCCTGTGTCAACTTCCCACTGGTCCATTCCCACTGATCAAAACAAACAATTTGAAATATCTTAAACTTCTCTTTCGCGACCTTTCGCGAAGCAAATTACTTTCGCGATCTTTCGCGACCCAGCATTTCTCTTTCGCGAAAGTGATGTAGTACAACTCCCTTACATAAACAATACATTGAGGTTTTTTTCGTGGCTCAATAGTACCCCTGTAGTTCACATCAAAATAGCTGGGATTTATGGATGTGAATAACCCACTAAAAATGGTATTAATAGGTATTGATTCATAGCCATATAACAATCACAAACCCAACAGTTAATCTAGCTATAAACCACCTTAGAGATTCAGAACTGGGGCACCGCCTCCGACCCTTGACCGCTCTTTTTAGACTACCATGTTGTAACCCTGATTGCAGTGGGACAAATCCTGACTAGTTCCAAGCAGGTTTATGAGCGAATGAACCATCAATCACCGTGTTTGCAGAAATGATTAGCTGGAAATGAAAAAAATGAACACCTAGAAACAGTTAAACAACAATTACCATCCAGTAATCAAACATGGCTGGAAAATCACCCATTTCGTTGGGGGATTGGCCCGCCATGTTTGATGACACCAGAGGGTTTCCCATTCCCATTCCGCTTCCCCCAAAAAGGTGTCCCATGTTCGAGTCCCATGCAGTAGTGGATTTGCCATTGGAAACATATAAAAACATCATGTTCAGCAAATTCAGGAGAAGCTCTTGAAACATTATGGGGATGGGTCAAAACCTATGAAATTAATTGAAATTACCCATATTTGGAGGAATCAACATCCATCGGGTCCTAGGGTACCAAGATTTTGACTCAAAGACAAAACCAAAAGAAATGACTATGGCCGCCCACCCAAGCCCTTAGAGAGCTCCGTTGGGCATTTGCCTCGGGTGAGGTGCAGGGAAAGCATGCCATGGGATTTAATGCGGATTTAGTGGGATTTATTTAGCTGTTGATTTATGATGATATATGGATTATAAAAGCAGGGATTGTGGTGATTACAACTATACTTGGATAATCTTAAATACCCTCATGTTCCACTTACCTGTCAAATAGGTGACCAACCCCAAACTCACAATGTAACATCACACTGCCTGTCTTAAAAGGAACTGGAAGGTTGGGGTAAGGAAACTATAGTCAAAGTACTCTATATAGTCAATGTCTATAGCTATAGTCAAAGTACTCTATATAGTCAATGTTTAATTAATTAGTCAAAGTACTCTATATAATGTCTATTTAATTAATTAATTATAGTAGGATTAGAATTAAAATTAATTAAATCTCTAATATCAATGATGCGATTGAAAGTCTTGGAAAGATCAATTCAATTAAGCTTCGCCTCTCAGGATGGCACAGATTAATTGAACATATGGATATGGGTCAAAACCCATGGAAACCCCTGTAGATTCACATCAAAATAGCTGGTAAATCCCCTGGTGAACATCAAAATAGCTGGGATTTATGGATGTGAATAACCCCCTAAAAATGGTATGTATAGGTATTGATCCATAGCCATATAACATACCTGATTGGTGGTTGACCTACCCTTCTGAAAAATATGAGTTCGTCAGTTGGGATGATGAAATCCCCAACTGAATGGAAAGTCATAAAATTCCATGGTTCCAGTCACCACCAAGCAGATACTTAGTGGCTCAGAATTACCAGGAATTGTGGCTTAGTTCACCCCGACATTGCCCCAAGCAGAAGATCCTGGACCCCAAATGCTAGCTCTGTTAGGAACAAGGATCCCACTGGGATCACTGTAAATTCTAACGAGACAACTGATATAGATAGCAATTTATAGCAATTTATAGTGTGACTTTCTCGAAGATGTCAATGTGTGATACATCTAGCACTATCTATCCCGAATATATGTGTTCTACTGAAGAAACATGCAAAACTGCTGACATTGACTTCCAGGCCCTTCTTAGTGAAAATGGCCACACAGTGGTTTCTTCACCAGAAGGGGCCAGTTCACCTGGAAAAAAAATGTTTTCCCCAAACAAATTGTTTTATTCCCGTACTGGTTGTCGAATCTACTTAGACCCTCAAAGTTACTCAAAAATCATAACAATCATGTGTTAGATGCTTCAAATTACGAAGCAGTTACTCACAAATTACTTACATGAGGAACAACATTATAAATCATCATAAACTAATAGATGGTTACCCAAACAATATTTGAATCGCAATCACTATATAGTTCAAATGTTCAAGTGTCATTTTTCGAGTCAAAACAACGGTCCGTTGCCCCGCCTCCCGTCGCTTGACGCGGCGCAGGTGCGCTTCGGCGCAGAGGAGAAGCGAATCCAGCTGCAGCGAGGAAAATGGGAGTAATGGCACTTGGTCAAATGATTGGGATATATTGTAATATATTGTACAAAGTTGGGATATATTGTAATATATTGGGTCATATATTGGAATATTCTACAAAGTTGGGATATATTGTAATATATTGTAACCCATATACTCCATGTATGGTATAATTACCTACATTTGGATGATTTTTAGGGTAAATGTAGGTAAATATTCCATACATGGAGCATTTGGGTAATTATTGGGATAAATTATTAGTTGGGTAAACTAACGTCGATAGGGAAACTCTAGCAACAATGATCTAGGAATGGTTGGAAAATTCCACATCTATATTTCAATGGGATATGAATCTCTCGTGGAGATTAAAATCATGAATTACCCTCTGGTAATTTAACAGTTTGCTATTGAACATGGCCATTCAAACAGTGGATTTACCCATTGAAAATGGTGATTTTCCACAGTTATGTTAGTTTACCAGAGGGTATCTACTACCACTAATATGTGTATTATGATCAATGATGATCACTGGGTAAGCAGTAAATCATGAGTGTATCCCCCACTGTATAGCAACGCAAGAATAAAACACGTTGGCCATGTGGAACTGAAGGGGGACATGTCGCCGAACTAGCATCCTGGTGTCAGAATATTATGGAATATTCAATATTGGGACTAATGGGATATAGAATGGGATTTATAGTGGATATGAATGGGATATAGAATGGGAATATAGAATGGGACATATCTACAGTGGCATTAATATATATATATCCCATATGCTCCATGGTGCTGGTATATTGACCTACTTGTTCGGGCACATGTTGGGATTCATATCCAATACATGGAGCATTTGGGTATTAGAAATGCTGATTGTAGTATATTGCAATGTATGTATGTCATGGGATCTAATCATATGATCTAAACACCACACATATACCAAAAAAAATGATATGATATATTAAGGATAGCATGGATATAAAAATTGTCTGTAGTGAGCACTATATTATTGGGATATACTGACATAACTATCGGGGTGATTTTAGATTATAAATCGCATTTGTTATATCCCCCACATTAGGGGATACAATACCAACATATACCAACAATATGAAATTATATATATTGAGGAGGATATCATAGATATGACCGGTTTCAATGGAAACATTAAACACTTCTGTTTGGGATAACAAAGTTACGACCCACTTATATACATTTCTCGAGGACCACCCCAGGCATCAAAATCGGTTAGTAACCATCGTTGCCACCGGTTTGCGTAATATTATGTACACAAGGTGAGGCCCCACAGATAACTAAGTTGACTTATGCCTTGGTAGAATTTGTTACGTAGCGGAAACCATGGTCCATTTGTGGATGTTTTACCTTTCTCTTCACCTATTAAAACTGGTGATTTTTTATAGCTATCTTATAGAAAAAAACCCGAGGGTATACAGGATCAACAAATTGGGGCTGAGGAACCAGGAATTTGGGTATCAGCTCCCCACGAAAATATACGGAAAGTTGTGTAATTTTTACTCAGCAAACACACCGCGGTTTATTTTTTCGATTTACTCAGCAAACACCGCCGTAGGGATTTAATCGTACTGGATTTTTTCCATGTCGTCGATGAACCATTGAGTTTACCCTCTGGTAAACGTTTACATAGCTATGGAAAGATCCACCATTTTTAATGGGTAAATCCACTGTTTGAATGGCCATTTTCAATAGCAAACTGTTAAATTACCAGAGGGTAGTTCATGAGCCAGCTACAATGTTTGATGAATATAGCAGCAAAATTAGGGAATTGACTTGGACGCATGCCTGGCTATGGAACGACAGGAACCTCGATTCCACAACGGGTCAGGAAGATGATGATGTTCCACACCAGGATATAGAGATAGTGTAGATTTTTGTACCATCCATATATAGTAAACCACTCATATACATGTCTGATAGCATGTATAATGGTTCACGGTTCATTCACATAATATATATATATATATACTTATATATATACTTATATATATACTTATATATAAAGATACTTATATATATACTTATATATATACTTATATATATATATGTATTTATCTATGCTAATTTATATCAGTTGGTAAGTACACATACTGTATATCATATATACATACATTGTATATCATCTGATTGGTGGTTTGAATCCCTCTGAAAAATATGCGAAAGTCAGTTGGGATCATGACATTCTCAATAGATTGAAATTCATAAAGTTCCATGGTTCCAATGTTCCACACCACCAAGCAGTTGATCATACATTTTCCCTATGTTTTCCCCGAGATTTTGGGTGGTTCAACCACCAATGATCCTATTTTTACCATCAAAAACCAGCAGTTCAAAAGCACCTGTCGCGTCGAATCCCCCAATTTTTCGTAGAGAGACACCGAGTCCTGACGCTCCATCGATCCACGTGCCAGGTGCTATGTGATGTGCATAATAAGCCGGTGATGTTAACAGTTCGCGACATTGAAGCCATGGCCCAGTCGAAATAGTTGATTTACACTAATTAAAAACATGGTGGAGCTTTCCATAGTTATGTGGCTACGTTTACCAGAGGGTAAGCCAGGTATGTGGTATGTGTTTTTTTTTTATGTGCATAAGCATAACCATGGTTAGGATGATTCGATGTGTTTTTTTAAACACCTAGGAAATAACCATGGCTGGTTCACTTAGTTCACCCATGTATAAAGGGGAGAAGCCTACTGAATGGGGAGATGATCCTAACTGCTTAGTGCTTGTGGGTAACCCACCAGAATAGTATTCGGGATAACACGTAGAAAATCGTGGAACATAATCACTAACCAACAATATCATGATCTATCATGGTTATATCATGGTTATATATCATGTCATATCATGCTTCAGTACAGTATGGGGCCCCAGTTCGTTAGCTAAGTTGGTGCAAATAACTATCATAACAAGTTGGTGTATGATACGCTTAAATAACTATATTTAGATGGGGTTATGTTCACCAACCAACATTTCACTGGGGGGCCCCATCCTGTATAGTTACATCTTACCATCATAAAATCTTACAAACTCTGGGCTTCACCAGAGCCGTGGCCAAGACAGGATACTCATGGATATCCTCTGGTAGACAGTCCCAAAAAGCGATGGAAAGATCCACCATTTTACAGCTGGGTAAATCAACTATTTACGACTGGGCTATTTTCTATGTCGCGAACTGTGACAAATTACTAGAGGGTTTTATTGTTTTATCGAATCTTTGGATCATACATCGCCATTTCAATGGGAGATCTTCAGGATCCAAAAATATCTAAAATGGAGGTATTGTACCACATTTCTGGCCATATTTTCTGGGGATATCCCTAAAAATCCCTTAAAAATAGGCCAAAAATATCTGGAATCGGTACCTCCAATCAATCGGTTCCATGGCCAATGACCATTTGCCACAGGATACTGACCATTCAGTTTTATATCCAGGTCGTAGTGGCTAGGTTCGGTATTGTGGCAATTGTTTCCCATATTATTCTGAACCTATGTATTAGTTTTTAGGGTTTCACTATTGTGGCAAGAAAGTTTGGGAGACCTTTTTTTCTTGAAAAAAAACAGCCTGTAATTGCTGCTAAAGGTACAACAAGTACTACAAGTACTACAAATACCACAACTTCATCGGCAAAAACAACAGATTTAATTAGATTTCAATTGTAGCCAATTGAAATCCTTACTTCAGTGAGGATTTTTTTTCCTGGGAAGAAAATATTTGACTTTCCACTTTAAAGAGAGTACAGCTATTTTTTTTGGGGGGGGGCTTCACACTAATCAGGAACCTGGCCATAAATCTGGCCATGGTTTTGGGACTCAAATCTTGGATACCCGTACCTGGTGGTTTCCTATGGTTTCCTATGGTTAATAGTGGTTTCCAGGGTTAATAGTGGTGAATAGTGGTGAATAGTGGTTAATAGTGGTTAATAGTGGTTAATAGTGGTTAATAGTGGTTAATAGTGGTTAATAGTGGTTAATAATGATCATCAATAATTATCAGTTGTGATTCAACAGCCACATTTTGCGATGGAAAGATCCACCATGTCAAACCGCTGGGTGAATCCACTATTTCGACTGGGCCATGGCTTCAATGTCGCGAACTGTGACATAACCAGAGGGTACTCTGTCCTTTTCCAGGAAAAACATCCCCATAAAAATTGCATTGCCAAATAGTGCCGTACTCAATTTCAGTTGGCAAAATGCAGTTTCCTCGGGGTAGCGAAGTCATGTCTTCAACAAATGATAGCAGAAAATGGCCTCTGTCTGTGGAAAAGAACAAAAACCATTACCTATGTTGAACAACTTTATATACAATCTATCTGCAGTATACATATACAGTTGAATAAAGTTATCGAACCAATCATATTTCGCTTTTTGCTATTTCAACTTTCTACCAAAGGTTCATGTTAAAAAAAAAACCGTGGCAACGGTTCGCGCCTCTGCAACCATTGCAGCCTACTGGAGAAAACCCCAGCCGTCGGGATTTGCACATATTCAGCTCATACGGGAGGTCTATCTAAATTTGTTGATAAGTACAATACAAGTGTTTAATGAGATTAGACTTTAATATGGTTTCATACTTTAAGTTCATGATTTCTTGATGATGTTTTTATTTTTACGATGGAACATAATTATGTAAATAATATTCCCCTCATTGCAAATACATTTGAATCTATTACTAAATGGGTTGTCTGAAAATAGAGTACCCCCAAGTCCATCAAGATGAATCAAGATCTTGTCCCTATCAAGATGGCAAAAAAAGGGCCTATACACCATTTTCAGACATACGCAAATATCATATTTAAGTTGGTTACCCTCTGGTAAACGTTTACATAACTATGGAAAGATCCACCATTTTTAATGGGAATATCCACTATTTCGACTGGGCCATTTTCAATAGCTATTTGACAAATTACCAGAGGGTAACTATATCCCTGGTAACTAGTTCAGCTTGGTAAACTTCAAGGGTTCAAGTTTCATTGTTTTACTTCCATCACCTGCAATGATGATCTCCGACTTTGCTATAATCTTCAAGAACCAAATGACACTGGCCAACCATTTTTCCCTTTGACACTGGCCTTTTCTTGGGGTATATCCAACTTTCAGACAAACCCAATATATCACATTGAGCTGGATATCCCACTTAGTATCCCATGCAATCCCCATTGTTGGTTAATCCCCTTTTCTATTCACATTTATATTCCATGATATCCCCATGAAATACACATAACAATAGTGAACTCGCCATCCCTTAAAAAAAAATATTCCGTTGTATATCCCATTGTATCCTCGAAAAATATCCCATTCTATCATATTCTATCCCCATATTGTTGATGATATATTGCAATTGTTGATGATATATTGCAACATATATATATAAAATAATAATAATAAATAATAATAATAATAATAAATAATAATAATAATAAATAATAATAAATAATAATAATAATAATAATAATAATAAATAATAATAATAAATAATAATAATAATATATGGAGGTTTCCTGAAATAGGGATACCCCCAGTTCTCATCCAATTTCATGGGATTTTCCATTAAAAACCCTCCAGCTATTGGGGCACCTGTTGCTCCTCTCCCAGCATCAGCAGCATCTGGGCACTTTGGCGTTTTGCTAAGGCCTCCAGCAGCACCTCATAGCCGGTAATCCCGTTTGGCACCGGATTTCACAGGAGAAAATGAGAAATTGAGGTGATTTCATAGGGATTTCTAATTTTATGGAAATTTCTATTGATTGATGTGATTTCCATAGAATTTCTAGGTGAATTCTATGGATTTCTCTGGTTTTAGATGGATAAATTGTGTCAGCAAAAACTGTTTTTTTTCACATGGAATTCACTATGGATTTCGCCAGAAATGAGGATGTGTTCCATAGATGTTGCCAGGCTGGTTTTTCGCAACGGGATCATCGTAGCTTGGGATGGGGGGAGGGATGGATCCATTGATGGAACCACCAAGTGGGTTTGGTTAAACTTGGGGTACAATACCTCTAATCTGCTTATTAATCATACTCTGGTTGGTGGTTTCAACCCCTCTGAAAAATATTGGTCAGTTGGGATGATTATTCCCACTATATATATTATAATATACATATGTATATATATATATGGAAAAATATAAAATGTTCCAAACCACCAACCAGTAATGTTGCCTTTAACTGTCGGTGATCAGAAACCAAGACTGAACCTATCCCTTGAATATCACTTGCTGGTTGGTAGATCATGATACCCCATGGTGATCTATGTTTCTGTTTCCGAGATATCTTTCTATGTTTTTAGTTGATTATCTTTATATCGAATTGTATCCCCGTTACACATCCCATGATCTCTCCAAATTGTTGTTTATATCATGAGTTGTATCGCCCATTATCGTTAGTTAATGTTAGTTATATCCCACGAAGATTTGTGATGAAGTTCAATCATGACCAATTTCGGATACCCTGCAAGAAAACACCAAGAAAAAGTAGCTGGTGAGTTTCCATGTGCCAGGAATAGCAGAGAATCACCATCCCCTAAACGAACATAGACTCACAAGGTTCTGAGAATCAGCTGGTCTACCTGTCTACCCTGTGGCAATTTGTTACATACTGAAAATGGCACATTTACAGTAAGTCATAATAAGCCAGCTTAGCTCTCGTTTGGGAGCCCGACTTTGTATTCCTCCTATTATCCATTCATGTTTTTTACCCTCTGGTAAACTAACATAGCTATTGAACATGGCCATAGAAATAGTTGATTTACCCATTAAAGATAGTGATTGTCCAGTTCGCATAATGTGGCTGCTTACCAGAGGGTAAATCTCCATTCATCACAACTTAAATAATTATTGATGATGAAAACCACTATTAACCATAGGAAACCGCCATAATCTATAATCTGTCAATCGTAACCTTAATCCTAATTATTATAATAATATCTACTGAGATAATATTTATCCTACTGTTGGTTACCTGGTTAATTACTATCATTTTCCTATATTTTCCTCAATCTCAATCCCAGGTGCCCGGTTTCACGCTGCTGACCCGCCTGACCACTGCTCCTGGCCGTGACAGCCGCAACATTGGCCGCGGCCACCTGGGATCGAGTTGGTCGTGGATTTCTCATTGGGAAAATAGAACATGTGTAAATATATATATATGTACATATATAATATATATAATATAATAAGATATGTATATATATATATGATATAGATAATATATATATATACATATATATGTATTACATATATATATATATATTATATATTATATATTATATATTATATTATATTATATTATATATTATATATTATATATATTATATATTATATATACATGAATGCGCGTGTTTATGTTCATTATATTATGGGAGTTCATCAACTTTAGATCCTTTGACGCCACTTTGGTGAGAATCTTCTAATATACATATATATATATATATTTGTTGTAAGTTGGGAAGTTGCGAAGGATTTTATAAACAGGTGCAATTATCTGGAAGTTCATTCACGCGAATTTGCATTTCACAAGCTAAAATTGGGATGTTGACGAGCAAAAACAAAACGGGTATTGGGTCAGAAAAAGACAGGAACCTAAGGATACTAAAATGGATCGAAATGGTGATTTTAGAGCATCAAACATGGACTTCTACATGGAGGTTAGTTAGCCTCTGAAAATCCAAACAAAACATAGGGGATCTTCATGGCCATGTTTATCCGTTATTGTCTAACGTTGGTTGGCAATGGATCTCTAGTAACCAGAGATTTTTAAGTGTTATGCTCATTTTACATGTTGCTCAGCTTAAACCGTTCAATAATTGACATGTTGGGCAAAGCGCAACTGTCCACCCCCGACGTTTGTTGATTTTTGTTGATATGTTCCAAAAAGGGTGTGTTGTTTTTTGTTGTTTCTTAGAATGTAGGACCCAAAAGTCCTCAAAGTGTCCAAATGAAACATGATCAGTTTTGATACCCACATGCTCCATGTATGGAATATGAATCCCAACATTTGCCCTAAAAATCACCCAGTTTTGTAGGTTTTTATATACCATACATGGATGATATGGGATACAGTAGAATTTTGGGGTTCCCTCTACTTTCAGAACCTCCAAAAGTCTGCTGGCCCAAGAGAACTGTTCGGTCCTCAAACCTCCATTTTGTGAAGGATCACATATGGCGCATTGCGCAAGGACTGGAGGACTGACCCGAGAACCGTGCTATCTGTTAGTACTATACAAAAAACTCAAATGTTGAGCAAGTTTCAGTCATTTATCATATGATATATATGTAATTATATATATATAATTATATCATTCTATATTGGATTTTACACATTTCACCCAGCAAAATGTTTGACATCACCATCCACATTTCCACCTTTTTGGTTGGTTCCATACACCCCTCCACTGGGAGTCCCTCCACTGATCCACTGGGTGCCGCACCGCCTCCCGAAAACACGCCGCGCCGCTGCAGGCGCAACTCAGCAGCAACAGGGCGGAGGCCTAGCGCGAAAAGTGGGGGCTTAAGATCAGAAAAGCCCTTTTCACGCTTGAATATTATAATTATAATTGGCTTTAAATTTAATTGGGGGATTATGATTATGATAGATAAATAAAAATGATCATATTATGATAGAATCTCATTCCGGATGAATTATAATTATATAATATATTTAGAAAAAGCAAACGATTGATTTTTAAACTTCGAAACCTAGAAATTATGAAGATTTGCTCTTTTGGAACCCAAGGAAAAATTCAGGAAATACTCCCGTGTTTGATTTCCAAAGTAGTTCATGGATAGGGAAAATCAAAAATCATCTTCAACAAATCCAGGTATATCATGAGATTGAGGAAACATCATGAAATAACATGGTTAACCTTCGGAATGAGGATTATATATGATTATATCATTATCATTATATATCATGAGAATATTGGATGATACTTGGGATGATAAATTGCATATTCCGCAAAAATCGCATGGTTTCAGTTTTGGGGCCGTGGAAACCAAATATGTAGACAAAGTACGTGGACTTGTTTGATAAAACAAAGAAAATGATAGCTGAAGGGACAAAATGGTAGTGGCGAAGTGATTCGCAATATAAGGATGTAAAAGGCTTAAAGACCCTGTTCATTAATACTAAGCCTATACAAGTAGGGGCTTATAGGGGTTCCAAGTGCTGGTTTACAGGGGTTCCAGCTCCAATGACAAACAAAAAATCACAAAGCATCCCGTCATTAAGTGATGCCGGCTGGTTTATGGGGGTTCCAACAATGAGTCGTAATGCATATTGTCGGTTTCTCATTTTTGTGAAAACATCTGACTTGTCTATATTTATATATACATATACTGTATATATATATACATATATATATATATACATATATATATATACATACATGTATACACAACATGCACCCAGAAAGCTCTCCCAGGGGAGAATCATCCTAGGGACAAGGATGCGTCCCAGAACTTATCAAAGCTTTCCAAATGTTGCGTCTTTTCGGGTGCAACGCCATTTCCGTGACCACGAGAAACGACCATTTGGATGCTCAAAACTCCAATGGCAACGTGTGGAATTTCTGATGGTTCCTGCAGAGATGTATTCGAAAGAAAATCATGTGGGTATGGGTCAAAACCCTGGTACCTAGTGAACCCCAAAATAGCTGGTAAATGGATGTTCATCCCACTATAAATGTATCTATAGGTATTGACCCATAGCCATGTGGGTATGGGTCAAAATTAGGTACCCCAAAATTATGGATGGTGAATACTAGACATTCACATCTGTGGTCCCACATCGGTCTTCCATTTTGACCCACATCCATGTGGTAAACAACATGCATAAACCATCCCCAAGTCATCAGCATGTTTACCCTCTGGTAAACTGACATAGCTATGGAAAATCACCATTTTTCATGGGAAAATCCACTGTTTCTATAGCCATTTTCCATAGCTTTTTGTATGTTTACCAGAGGGTAATGGATTCTATAAATCGTCCCCAGTCATGGTCGGTTTATGGCAGACTTATACCATGCCTGTGCCACAGCATCGCGGCTCCTGGCGGCAGGAAATAGCTGGAGATCATAGAAAATGCTGAAATTCCATGGTTTAAACATGTTTTGGACCATGGGATTTGGGTCTTTCCCCTCATTTTCCTTCTGACAAATTTCTCTGGAGTAAACATCCCAGTTCTTTTAGAGCAACTAAATCGACCCATCCTTCACCGCTTCAACAGGATGGTTTCAGAAGCACGAAGCTCCACGAGACGGTCAGTTGTGAACACCTTTCAACAAAACCTGTTGCTTAAAACATGTTGCCCGCAACCTTAACGTTCGCCCAGACTCGTGATTGTGACATAACAGAACAATACGTTGATTGGGATAATAGCATCAACTTTATCTTCATGATGGATCAAAATTTGCCACCTCTTCAGAACAATATCTTGATTGGGGAAAAAACATCAACTTTATTTTCATGAGGTATCAAAATTCGCCACCCCCTATGACCAATATGTTAAATGGGGTAATAACATCAACTTTATCTTCATGAGGGATCAACATCAGGAAGGCGGGACATCAACTCCGGGCAAACGTCCAGGTTGCAGCGACCATGTTTCAACATACCCTCTGGTAATTTAACATAGCGAATTGATCGAATTAAGAAGTCACAATGTTTTATAGGAATGTATAGGTAAATCATCACAGTCATCTATACAATATGCCCTTTTCCATAGTTATGTGAATTCAATCAGAGGGTAAGGACTCACAAAAAAACCGAACGGCTCAACGTCCTGTCTTACAACCTAAAGTTCTCGCGCCTGAAGCAATGCACAGCGACTTTGGCTGCTTGCATGGCTTCAGAATATCTTTGTAGAGCCTCAGTGGGCTCAGGTGGATGAAAGAGATATGCCAAGGATGCTGCAACATGTTGCTATTGAATGGAAGATCTTGAACCTTTCACCTAAAAAATAATGCACTTCATCGGAAATGCACTATGCTTGCCTGGAAAATCAGCGATTTGATGATTTACTGTAATTCTGAACATGTTTTGTTTTCCCACCAACCAGGTCCAATTTGGATGGCTTAAAATTCTCCAAGGAAAATTGGCGGATTTCACCATCTTGCTGGTGAAATCCTGGCTGTGGGTGCACTCCTGAGTCAAGTTGGGAAAAACATTTTTTGGATGAAAATTGGGCCAAGCATCAATGGCAGTTTCGGCGGCGATGACGTGCCCAAAGCCCTGTTTTTTCGCAGATGTGGAGTGATGTTTTTAGGATCCCAAAAGGCCCTTTTCACAGTTACAACTGATTTGGGGGGTTCCTAAAATGGGGGGTACCCCAATAGCTGGATGGTTCATAATGGAAAATCCTAAACTCAAGTGGATGAGAACTGGGGGTACCCCTATGACTTAGGAAACCTCCATTTATAACCTCATCTAAGTCCTATTTGTCACCTTAGTTGCAGGAGTTATGGCTCATCCCATGGTCAGTTCACCAAGGGCCGCAACTCTGAAGAGTTCCGAATCGCCTCGGACCTCGAAATTGGCCATTACTGGCGCCAGTTCTCCAAACATTCACTTCGCACCGTGAATTTCGAACTTGAAGAGTGAAATAAAACGTCATTAAACATAATAGAACCAAATAAGACCTGGTTGGTGGTTCACCTCCCTCTCTGAAAAATATAAATATTAGTCAGTTGGGATGATGACATTCCCAACTGTTTCTGGAAAGTCATAAAATTCCATGGTTCCAGTCACCACCAACCAGTTTTACTATCATATGTAAAACATCATAGAACCAGACTGCGTAGGTTTTTGGGGCCCCCAAGATAGCTAAGTTGGTTTATGGTTTATGGTACTTATAACTACGTATAGTTAATGGATGTTAATGGGGTTTATCAACCAACAAACATCACTGGGGGGCCCCACATTGTAGGTTTACCACATTTTTCTTGGTAAAAAGAACCGATGGTGACCATTTTACATGCCTCCGCCGAGACTTGATCCTCCGCATTTACCAGGTCCAAGATCCTGAGGCGCCAACAAAAACCATAGGTTTTTTTTTTCATAGGAAAAATGATAATGAACAAACCGTGTTTTGGGATGATCATCAAATAATTCTAGGAATACGTGTGTTTGTTTGTTTTTTCAAATGGGATTATTTGAAGGAATTTCAGTTCATATATGTTCATATATCATCAAATGGGATTTCTTTGACTGGAAAAGGCAGTGGGACAAAAAAAAACTATGATGCTTATCCGTGAATTTCGATGAACAACATATCAACAAAATGAGTGAATGTTACTATTCAGCAATGTCATAAACCACCCTAATATGGATTGATGGCTTTTTCCCACCCATAAAAATCTCAGGATCCTGGCTCCTAACACCACAGATTCAAGGCTGGTTTTTTTATGCCTAGTTTGCATCACACGTAAAATGATCCGTTCCCCCCCGTGCTGGGGAAAATCATTCACTTCTATTGAGTTGGAGCAGCTCTGATAGTTAGGGCTTGTTAGTAAAGCGACAAGCCAAATCGATATTTCAAAAACCACCCATCTCTGGTAAATTTGGGGATGGTTTATTATTGTTTTACTAAGATTACCCTATTTCTTGTCGAAAAAAAAAAACATAGTCACATATATATATATAGTCCTGTCCGGGATCCATCCCGGGGGATCCCAGGAATCCAGGTTGGATCAAGCTACATTACATCCCTAGTTATATTGTACATGGTGATGTTTTCCACCATAATGGGATATATATCACTAATCATACTTAGGAATATTAGCTGGTTGGTGGTTGACCTAAAAACCCCTCTGAAAAATGATGGAGTGAGTGAAAGTCAGTTGGGATGATGACATTCCCAACTGAATGGAAAGTCATCAAATTCCATGGTTCCAAACCACCAACCAGCTTACATTGAAGTAGAACGGATGCGGATCGAATTCAAACCTTTTTTTTCAGTTTGATTGAAGATTTGGTTTTAGATTTAGTTCCAAAAGTTAGGTTTAACGTCTAAATAAAACTTAGTTTTAAGTTCAAGTTTGGTTTTATTGGAAGCTGGGTTCTTTTTGGTTTCACTTACGTTGAAATCGATGGAACTATTTCATAAAATTCCCATGTGTACCTGCTTTAAAGTCCATCCATGGTGGATGGTGGATTTGGCCACGTTGAATTATCAGAGGGTACCATTTTGGGAGACCCTTCGCCACCAACTCGGGTCCCGCACTCACCGCACAGCTGCTGCACCTGAAGAGAATAAGCCTTGGGGACGAGTCTCTTGGTTTTTTCTATTTGAACATTGGGTAAATGGCCATTGAACATCCGGCTGGTGGTTGAGCTACCCCTCTGAAAAATAAAGGAGTGAAAGTCAGTTGGGAGGATGACATTCCCAACTGAATGGAAAGTCATAAAATTCCATTGTTCCAAACCACCAACCAGATATTAGTCATCCTGTTGGGTAAATGGCCGTTGAACATTGTTACGTTGGGGCATCCCCAGGTCACCATGATTGTTTCAATACTAAGTCATGGTCGAAAAATAATGACTTGGATGATTTGGGTAAATGGAGGTTTCGTAAAATGGGGGTACCCCATTTTATGGATGGTTTATAAAGGAAATTCTAATTTAGGGGTACCCCCATTTTAGAAAACCTCCAATGGCCATTGAACAGTATTGAACAGTATTTACTACAAATGGCCATTTATTGGGTCAACTCCAGATTTTCGGTCATTAACCATCCAAATTGAAAATGGCCATGTACTATGGTTTTTCTGGGCTCCTAAAAAAAAGGACCGCTCCTGTGATTTTCGAGAGCGTCAAGGACCACTGTGACCTATCGTGGGGGATGATGGACCCAATTTCAGAAGCTCTTCGATGCATTAATCACCATTTGGGATTCATCTTAATACGAATAACTACAAATAACTCAACCAAAATTTGGTTCAGAAATATAACATTTATTATACAGAAGTACTTAAGAATTACACAGAAATACAAATTATACATGTGGGAATCACAAATTAACATGTCAGATACAGAAATGGGAGATCAAGTCCATGTGCACCATCCCAGCGAAGTTCCGAAGACTCATCAGGAGATCAGTAGAAGTTATCAGCTACAAGTATCAACAAGCAACGTAGCCTCCTGTAAACGTTTACCTGGTTGGTGGTTGACCTACCACCTCTGACAAATATGAGTTCGTCAGTTGGGATGATGACATTCCCAATATATGGAAAGTCATAAAAAGCTATGTTCCAAACCACCAACCAGGTTTATTAATCATTGATTATCATTATCAACCATTATTATCCATGATTAGCCACTATTAATTTAGATTATCCCATTAATATATTGGTTTACACTTCGATGTCAAACTATTTGCACTTTCCGACTTTCCGAAGGAAAACTTGGAAACCCTTGGGTTTTCCGCATCTTTCCTTCCCCCGCGTAAGGCCTCTTTCAGCGCGTCCTGGCCACCTGGATGGCATATTTTTGTGCCCAGGGTGATGTTTCATTGGTGATTTACCAGTCATTGGATTGGTTTAAGGGAAAATTTACAGGAAACCATGGTTTTTACCATCAAATATAGGGGTTTCCTGTAAATTTTCCTATCATCCAATTCTATGAACCAGGATTTAGTGGGAATTACTATGATTCGATGGGATTTTATGGGATTTACCCTCTGCAGAATTAAGACTTTGCGAATTTGAAAATGGCCATAGAAAGTTCGTTGATCTACCTATTCAAAAATGTGATTGTCCATAGTTATGTTAGTTTACCAAAGGGTGATAAATTTAGTGCAATTACCCATCTAACTATGGTTATAGAATGTTATAATTATCATATGTTATCATCACCATAAATCCCAGTTCACCCATTAGATAACCAGTATATAACCTGTTATACCCCACACAAACTAATCAGTTGCAAGGTGGAGACCCCACCGGGGTCAATGTCTGTTCGTTATCTCCTTCAAGAACCTTAGTTAACCAAGTGGACTGTGCATGAATTTTGCGATCGTTGAGCCGGGGAGCCCGCTTTGTACAACAGGATATAACGGGATATCACGAAGCAATTGTTTCTACAGGCTGGGGTCTCCCAGTTGTTGTTTTATAAACCCCAGCATCTAGTTCGACATATCTACCATAGACCCCCCAAAAAAAACTTAGTTGTCGAACTTGGGAGCCGGAATCCTGGTATGGATTTATTGGATTTGATGACATGGGATCGAATTAAATATGCATTCTTTATATTTACAAAATAATATTTCATATTCACATCTACGTCAAATATTTGATTTGATGGGATTCAGACTAGATTTATGAAACTGATTTCATATTTGACCTTGATTTACATCTGTCAAGATCAATGTTCATGCACTGAATTCGATATATTTGATCTTGATGTTCTCCTGCATTTTCAACATGTCGAAACCCTGCAAATAGATGGCGTTCAACTTTTCACCGAATAATCTGAATGAATCGGACTCTAGGAAAAAAAAGAGACCTCGGAAATCAGAGTGATTCTCCAAATTTCAGGATTACCTATAGTGGCTACAGTACCTACTGCGACGCTTATCCCCGCGAATCTGTGTGAATCAAACTTTCATGGCTGTCCAACAAACAATCCACCTGAGTTCTCATCATTCGCTGAGTTCAAATTCCCCAGGGGTTTGGGTCGCCGAAAATTCCGAAAGCTTCGGAGCCAGCTTCTGGGCTTAGTCGTGACCTCGAACTGGTGGTCTTTCAAAGTCACCAATTGAAGAACGGGGGGCTAAAAAAATGAAGAGAATCTGCAGCCTGGCCCCCTGAACCTTAGATTTTGAGCCAGGGGCCCTGGCCAAAGAATCTACAGGGTATCTATCAATAAACTCTATAAGAATCATATGGCTAAATCAGCTCATCTATCTTGTTCTATATGTGTAGTATACATGGTTAATAATGTGCCATATAATATTATTATACATATATAAACTGAATATAACTGCATTATAAGAGTATGAATCAATTGGCAAGTTGTGAAGTTCCATATTCCTACTCTGGAAATTGACTCATCGTTATCATGGCGATCCTTGGTCCATCCAAGAATGAAACTCCTGTTACTGAAAATCATCAAATCATCACAACATGTTCTACATTTGGCAAATTCACAGGGAAAATCATCACAACATGTTCCAAATTATGGGTGTTCCCCACTTGTACAATTCCCCTGTGAATTATGGGTGTTTCCACGTAAAATTCCCATCTATATACGTGGAAACACCCATAATTCACAGGGAATTGTACAAGTGGGGAACATCACAGCAGCTGTCATTGGAAATACGACGTCATGATTCCGATATTCCGATGACTGGGATGCTGCAGTAGTGTCATTGCCTCAAGAATGGTGTTATTCCCAACCGGGGTGTCTTGCAGTTGTAGCCCTAAAAACCAGTTACAAGTCAGTGAAATAACTCCATTTGTGGAATGAGAAGCCCATTATATAACTGGCTGGTGGTTGACCTACCCCTCTGAAAAATATGAGTTCGTCAATTGGGATGATGACATTCCCAGTATATGGAAAAATAAAAAGTGTTCCAAACCACCAACCAACCAATGGTTTTTTTCCCAAATACACACGAATTTAAACAATCTCCATAAACTACGACTGTGGTCTCTGGAAATTTCTCACTTAGTTGGTGAAAAAACAAAACACCAATTCCCACACAAATCCACCTGCCCCTCAAGACCCAAACTGTTTCAAAAATCATACACAAACACAGAACTATATTATGTTCTAAACAGTTTTCATGCTAGGACGGGAACATTGGAAAGATGAAATCCAATCCCTCCCAGTGAAAAACTAGAAAGCTTCACTTGGCAAGTGGTTTCAACAGTTTCAACTTATTCAACCAAAACATGAAATTCATCAGCTGGTTGGTGGTGCAATAACCATCATAATAATAGTGGTTATATGATGGTTATATGATGAGATTATAAATATTATATATATATATATGGTTGGTGGTGCCATGTGCCCATCTTGAAAAATGATGGACTTCGTCAGTTGGGAAGGATGACATCCCATATATGAAATGGAAAATAAATTTCATCTTTGAAACCACCAACCAGGTATTAGTATTGTGACATTAAAATTGAAAGTGGTATGACTTTTCTCATCATTGTTCACGCTGGGACGGGAACATTGAAATGATGACACCAAAAGGCGTTTCTCATCATTTGTTCATCACGTTTCATCATGGTTGGTTCTTGTTCTTATCATTCATAGAACAGATATCTTATCCATTAATCACAATTTCACCATAACTTCATCAGTGGTCATGCTTGTTCATCATTCTTCCTCTCATGTTTCATCATGTTTCCTAACATGTTTCATCATCTGGTTGGTGGTTGACCTACCCCTCTGAAAAATATGAAAGTCAGTTGGAATGATGAAATTCCCAATATATATATATATACATGATATATATATATAATATTATATGGAAAAATAAAATTAATGTTCCAAACCACCAACCAGTCATGTTTCATCATTGTTCATCATTTTCTCCTCATTTGTCTGCTGATTTTCCCATCCCATTGGCGTACTGTCATCCTCGAGCCTGCTCCTTGGCGCATCTTGGCGCGCTGAAGCGCCACCAGAGCAGCTGCCTCCGAAGGGGTCATCGTGATGACGCAGCAATGGGCGGCCATGAGATTCACCAACAAAAAACTGGAAACATATGGAAACTCTGGGTTTAACCAAGAACAAAAGGGAAAATTATGATAATCCCTTCCTCCTAATATAAACGTCCCCCCCCCTATTACTAAACACGGCAGGTAGGGATTACTTTTAAGTTTGACAGGCGAAGGTGCAAGGCGAGGGCCCCGTTTGCGTTAAGTTGACGCACAGCTACAACTAGGGTTTATAGGGAATGTAGCCATCTAGTATTCATGGGGAAAGCGACAAAGCTTGTAACTGGTTAGTTTAAGTGTGGGATATCATAACGGATATCCCACACGGGTTTCAACTGGGATTTGTGGTGACAAAAAATCTTTAGCCATAGATGGGTAAGTTGCAAGACCTAGACCAATATAACTAACTAGGGGACACCGCCTTGTGACCTCCAAATTGACCCCTGCAATTTTGTTTCCCATCGGATGAAATATGGCTTGGTTGGTTTTTTTCGGTAGGCCGCCCTGAGATGGGCTTCAGGGCCCATCCCAGAAGCCAGAAAAAAACAAAGTGGTACCCTCTGGTAAATTCACATAGACCCTGGCATTTTTCGGGGTTGGAAGATTAGTTTCCATTAAACCTAGGCTATTTTCAGGGTCCAACTGTTAATTTACCTGAGGGTATAACATCCTGTAAAAACCACTCCAGGGGGGGTACCTTAAATGGCGAATGGGTGAAATATGTGAAATGAAGCAGCAAAAACACCAATTTGACCAGCCAACATACAACTGACGTTAGTGTTTGTAGGGATAAAATATGGGGAGATCACAAACTCAAAAATATGGTGCTATTTATTTTGTGCTTCATCCCACGTTTTTGTGCTTCGTTTTTGTCATAGTTCTTACCCTCTGGTAAACATAAAGCTATTGAAAATGGCCATAGAAATAGTTGATTGTCCCATCAAAAATGGTGATTTCCAATAGTTACGTTAGTTTACCAGAGGGTATGATTTTTCTGGTACTTCATCCATACCTAAAATGAGATAGCCCACATATCGACCTTTGAACTGGGATTGATCCTCCAAGTCGCAAAATTTTCATCAATTTTTATCGCTGGAGCTATTGCTGATACGTTGGAAATATCTACATGTATGTACTGGTGGGGGTTGTTTTCCAATGAGAATATCCATAGAATATGGGGATAATATATATATATACTGTCTGGTTGGTGGTTGACCTACCCCTCTGAAAAATGATGGAGTTCGTTAGTTGGGATGATGAAATTCCCAATAGATGGAAAAATAAAAAATGTTCCAAACCACCAACCAGATATATATATACACACCCATAAGCGGAAATGGTGGAGATGTATACTTTACTTTCCACCCCCCTTGGCCAATAATAACACAATTTATAAGACTCATGAACGTAGTTAATATGTTTGGGGATATGTATATATATAATTTGGAACGGTATGGACATGGTAAACCAGTGATTCAACAATGAACCAACTATTAGTAAAACTGGTAAAGGCTCGAAAAAATCACTGGAATTTCGTGAGACTTCGCGGCGTTCGCGGTGGTAGATTTGATGGGCTAGGCTACACGGCTTGTCGCCCGATGCATAGACATGCAGCTAGATACCCTCTGGTAAACTAACATAGCTATGGAAAATCACCATTTTTAATGGGTAAATCAACTATAAATGGCCATTTCCAATAGCTACGTTAAATTACCAGAGGGTAAGTGAAACTTGAACGGCTTTCCTGTTCATTTCCCTTCATCCAATGGAATCCAATCCATGGAGTCATTGTTCAATTTTGATGCCCCCGGAAAACGTATTTGGCTTTACGATAGCAACAAGTCGACGTACAACTTGGTAAAAACATATAGATTTATGTGGATATTTCACATGAGATCACTATCGTTGATGGCTTGAATCTGAGTTGATATTTGAAAGTCGAATAAGTCGATATGATATCTAAACTCAGATTTATTTACTAATCTTTAAACATAAATACCATGTGCTCCATGGTGCTGGTATATTTACCTACAAAACTGGGTGATTTTGTTCGGGCAAATGTTGGTACATATTCCAGCACCATGGAGCATTTGGGGGTGGTTTATGATTGGGCTTAATGGTGATTTAATGGGTTTAATGGGATTTATGAGGCCATATACAGGATGGGCCCCCCAAGATAGCTAAATACATATATTAGGTACCATATAAGGCCATATTTTGGGGGAATATTCCCTTACATAGGCCTGAAAAATAGGCCTTATATATGGTAGGTACCTCCAATTTGATAGTTGTGAATTTCACATGAGAAGATCTTCACCTTCACATTGCCGGGAATCCAACAGACACTGGTCACACTGGTCACAGTCAACAAACCTCAAGGACTAGCCGACGACAGGTTTGGATCTTTTGGAGGGCAGCCATGTTTGTCAACGGAAAAAAAAAACATGGAAAAAATATCAACTACTTGATGGGTATCATATGGCCAAATGCCAAGTAACTATTGACTTATGGGTAATACTGATGGTTTGATGGTATCACATTTGCCATCAGTGGGAAAGAACGTGCTGTTAATATAGTCAAATAATGTCAAACAGTCATTGATGCATTGTCCAGGTTTGTCTTCACTGGGGAAAGAACATATTCATGAAAAACCACAGTTCATGAAAAGTCAATGCAAACATCTCAAAAAAACTACCATCATCCACATATGGCGAAAAATCCCCATAGTTGATTGACATCCTCATTTAATCATTGTTCGGTTAAATCCTTAAATTGTAAGTTTCAATCCCCACCTTGGTCCCGGTGACAGGTAGATCATGACAAGTCCGCGTTTCCTGAATGATCCGGTTTCGTGGATGTAGCTTGTTGATGACCATAGTTACAATTCGTTTGTAGATCATCCTACTATGCTTATTAAATATATATAACTATGTCTACTTAAAACCTTACTATATCTACTATGGTTATTAACCAACCAGGGTTGATGACCTACTTAACATAGTAAATTCATGACCTACTTAACATAGTAACCCTGTTAGGCATACTACTTTAACCCTGGTTGATGACCTACTTACCCTCTGATAAATTAACATAGACCCTGGCAGATGGGGGTTGGTTCAGATTAGTTTCCACTAAAAATTGGTCATTTTCAGGGTCCAACTGTTAATTTACCAGGGGGTAACAAAAACTGACCAACCAGGGTTGCTATGTCTAACCATCTAACCATCACCGGATGATCCAGCCGTGGCTTTCCTTCAACAAGGACGAAGATGGGTCCGGTCTCGAAGCCTCCACGGCCTGGTGAGGTGAAGGTTTCCCATGGAAAATAAGTACCAAACATTACTATATATAAATGATATGGTATGTATATATATAGTTTATTTATGTAATTATATACCTATCTATCTAATCTAATCTAATCTAGTCTATCTATCTATCTACCTATATGTGTGTATATATATATACATATGCATCTCTGGTTTATACATGGTGTATGTGAACATATGTATATTACATGTGATGATATGGAGATGAATGATGGTAAATCAAATCTGTTGATATATATATATATATATATACACATATATATATATATATAGTTGTGGGTCTTTAAGGTCCAAATGCAACGTCATTCGGCCTAGCCTATTCAGGACCCATTTAGAAATTTGACATGTTCAATCATGACTGCCATGCCTTGGCGAGAAGAGAACTGTAAAACATGATTTTTCTCAAGCATTCCAAAGCGCAAATCCGATGAAATCCTACAGGATGGGGCCCCCCCAGTTATAAGTTGGTATATAACCCCATCTAAATATAGTTATAACATGCTATAAGTATCATACACTATTGTTAGTATAGTCATAAACCAACTTGGCTAACGAACTGGGGCCCCATCCTGTATCAAAGCTGAAGATTCTCCCGGATCCTCAACCCATGACCTCTTCCGCAAGATCTGCGGCTCCCCAGAAATCGCCTCGTTCACGAGGGGATCTGAGATGGGATGGGAGATTTGATAGTGACCATTGACATAGTTGATTTGATATAGTTGAGATTTGATGGGATGGGAGATCTGTAGTTGATATAGTTGACATAATTGTTGATGTAGTTGATGTAGATGATATACCATCTGGTTATTTGTTACATAGCCATGGTATAGATGGCCCATAGAAATAGATGGTTTACCGAACTTAAAAATGGGTGGATTTTCCATGGCTCTGTAACAAATAACCAGATGGTATGACATCCATCTACACCATGTTACCCAACATTATTGGACGATATTCCATATCTATCCATACCTATCCATACCTATCCATGTCTCACAATGACTCAGCATGACTCAACCTTTTTATTGGGTTTTTCTTATGGGTATGTCTCAAGAAGTGGGGTACCGATTGACTTACGAAATTGCTGAAATCTCCAGATTATGACTTACACGGGTAGCGAGTTGGAATCCATGGCAGAAACACATAATAAAAATGATGAGATATTTATCATCTAAAATGCCTATGGAACTGCTTAAAATGCTGATGCTCCAGATTTAACATCTGTTCAAGATTTGAAATGGTGATGTTTCAGTTCGCAAACCCTTGAATAACATTCAAAGGTAGATGAGGTAACGTAGTTCGCAAACAACACAATCAACGTGGCTGGGGGCACCGGGGCCCCTGCCCCACAATCGATGGACATCTGACAGCACCAACAAAGAGAGATCCTGCCGGAGAATTTCGCTGCAGACATGGAAAATCCAACGTTGGGATAATGACCATTGTAAGATTTCGCCAATCAGCCAGATACCCTTCAAAAAAATGAAAATTCTTTGCTGGTGAACGTAGATATTCCCATTGATACCAAAAGACTAGTTAGGATTAAAGTATCCATCTAAGATTGACCTAGGTAAATAATAAATCGTGTTGTGATGATGACAATAATGATAGTAAATACAACACCTAGTCGTTGTTTCTTGAAACCAAACAGTGCCAATTCTACCAGTAGGGACAAATGTGTGAAACATCTGGGATTGCAAGCCACCTACACGGGATTTCACCAACCAAAATTGGGTTTCTGGTCTCCCAAAATGATGAGTTAAGCAAGAATCGTGATATCGTCGCAATGTTTAGATTGGGAGTATATAGCATCAACATTATCCCGGGAATACCACAAAAGTGGCGGAGTTTAGCTTAGATGAGCATGATTGTCAACAATCATGGGATTGCTGGGATGATGTTCTGTACCCCTCTCAAATGTCTGTTGGGCGAGGTTGAAGACACGCAAATGTCGTCTGTTTTGGATATTGAAGACATCAAATTGTTTACAAGTGGAGTACCCAATGTGCAGCTATACCATGCTATACCCTTATAATCTTATAGGATCTTGTAGCTATCGGTGTAGGTCAAATATTCAAGCTGTTGGACATGTTTCAACCTGTCATGAATCCGTTCTGACAGAATCATATTCATCAATGTGTCAATGTAGCTTGGTCAGCTGAGGTCGGTTCAATTTGCGATCTGAGGCCAAATCAAAAATTGTTGGGAATATTCCTACGGTGGATGGAAGAAATCCTGCACCAGTTGATAGGTGGTTTGTCCCATTATTTATAGGGGTTCAACCATCCAAGGTGGTGCAGGATTTCTTCCATCCACAGTAGTTTAATATATGAGTAAATCTACTTTTCATTGGAAACTTTTCATGCAAGTTTTGAGCAGTTCCAACGGTTCTGGAATCCCCAAGTTTGACACAAAACCCAATCAAATTTGATTCAATATGAAATTTCAGCTGAGCGTATCATTCTTCTCATCCAATCTTCCTGTTGAATTTCCGATTGATCGTCCCAATAATCATCCTATTGTTTCCGAAAAATATGATAGCACCATGTTTGATACTAGTTCCTTAACTTCTTTTTCCAAATGCTTTTACTATAAACCTATGAGTTTATTATAATATTTATAATATATCATATCAATATCATATCTATTCTAATCCTATGTAATCCTACTAGTAACATACATTAATATGTTTATTCCCATTATAATACACCTATTATATATCCATTATCTTATCCATAAAAATATCAGTTACCACATTCCTACAAGGTGGACTCCCCAGTTGTAAGCAGGTCAAAAAACACCCCATTGACTAGATAGTATACCTCCATAAACAGTACGCCATAGTTGACCAAGTTTTAAAAAAAAGCCAGCTTAGAGGCTTAGCTCTCGTTTGGGCGTCCCACTTGCTATTCCTCCAGATATATCCATTCATGTGTTTTTTACCCTCTGGTAAACATACAAAAAGCTATTGAACATGGCCATAGAAATAGTTGATTTACCCATTGAAAATGGTGATTTTCCATAGTTTTTTGTATGTTTACCAGAGGGTAAATCCCATTGAATGACCATTAAAAACGTATACCGTGCCTTTTCGGCCACCCGGCTTCGCGACCCAGGCAGCTTAGGCTTCGCCTGTTCCAAAGCCTTTGCGGCCTCGGAGGCCTGAAAAATCGGGGCCGTTTCACGCTTGGCCAAGAGACCACCGATTTTGGTACAATGTGTTTTACCCTACAATGTGGGGCCCCCGTTGGGGGCCACATAACTCCAATTTCACTATGGTTTATGGTACGCAAATAACTATAGTATTCATGGGGCGAATCTAAACCAACTTATAATTGGGGGGGGGCACATTGTAGTGATGCTATTAAGTATTGGGCCCAGGCTGATCTTCAAGTTTGTGATGGGTCAATCCCTGAAATACCCTGCTAAAGGGGGGTTATTCACATCCATCAATCATTGATCCTAGCTAAAATTTAATGTGAAGCCATAGCAGCCGTAGCCACCCTGAAACCCTCCTGTTTCAGCAGCTCAAAAGCAGCAGGTTTGGGTGAAACGGTGGTTCGACAAGGACTCAGTTCATGATCTCGGTTGACCAATGTCTGGTGTGCTTGAGCCACTCAAAATGCTATTTTTCTTTGACTGGTTGGTGGTGCAATAACCATCTTTAAAAATGATGGAGTTCGTCAATGGGAAGGATTATCCCCATATATGAAATGGAAAATAAAAAATATTCCAAACCACCAACCAGTTTAGATATGTTGAAAACAAGATGAATGAAACAAAATGATGAGTCGGACATGGTTCAAAACCCCTCCACAGCGGGATGGTGTAGTAAAATGTAGTAAATCCAAAACTTGCGTGCCCGTTTTTCTACCCCACGGCTACCATCATGGATCCCCAGCCCTGGTCGAAAGCTCAACCGCACCGCATTTTGCGGCACAGTGGAGCGGCAAATTCGGCCACCACTCGCGCCACGTCGCGCAGTCGTTCCGGGCGTTCCGGGCCCTCAGCCCTCAGCCTTCTCCTTGGGAACGTGATCAAAAAACTTAGATTTTCATCTGGTCTACTACGAAGTGTATCTCAGTTACAAGTTGACTTAGTAACCAGAGATGTCACCGAGCTTCAATGCATAATACATGGAATATATTGAAATATAGCCTTTGAATATCCAGTGGTTCATCACCACTTACGCTTCCCGGGTTACACGGTTACACCTCTAGTCTCTTGGATGAATGCCATGTGCGGTCAATGGGGTGGGTTATGACTGCCATTCGTGCTGGAAAATTCCATCTTTTACCCACTGAAAAAGCCGAATATGAAGATATATGTAATGAAGTGCATATAAAAAATCATACCACCATCAACCATGAATCTAAATGAAAGTCTGAAAATAAGTCACCATCAATCCTCAACCATCATCAACCATCATCAACCATCATCAACCATCATCAACCATCATCAACCATCATCAACCATCAATCTGAAAATAAGTCACCCACCTTTTCCCAAGGCTGTTGAAACATAGCTATCCCAACCATCACAGCACGGTCGCCACTTGGGTGAGGTCGCGGCGTCGCGACGATTCAAGTCTCAATGGATGATCGCCAAAAAGTCGCCACTTGGGTGAGGCCACAATGGTATAGAAAGGTCTCTGATGTTTCCCTGATCATTTCATATTTTTCATATAATTTCCAGGTTGGAACCAACTGTTCGTTTTTTGGGGTTGCAAAAAAAAATCGCTAAGAATCGGGAATGTTGAATAAAGAGGTCAACAAGAAAAAACATCAACTTACCTAAAATACTTTGGAGAAAAATATTGGGGGTTTAAATATAGTTATAATCATCCGTTTATGAGGTTCTATATCATATAGTAACTATGGTTGTGTAATAATTGCAACTATGGTTGCTAAAGATGTTTATAGTTACTATATGCACATGGTTTCCAAAAGATATTTACTGTATATGGTTATATTTATAATACTGTGTACTGTGTACCCTCTGGTAATTTGTTACATAGCTATTGAAAATGGCCATTTATAGTTGATTTATCCATTCATAGCATGGTGGATCTTTCTATACTTTTTTGTATGTTTACCAGAGGGTAAATCTCCATGAATCACAACTTAAATAATTATTAATTATTGATGATAATGATAATTATTAACCACTATTAACCACATAGGAAACCATAGGAAACCACCACGGTTGTATATGGCTGTAAAGATCTTCATCCTATACGCCGAGGCTCAGGTTGTTGAGCGTTGGGCACACCATCTTTGTCGAGCCAAATGCCAAAGATGTTGTGTTCTCGCACGGCTTCCTGGCGGCCCCCCGTTTTCTCGTAGGGCAGGCACAAAACAAAACAGATGGTAATGAAACATGGTGGTTTCCTATGGTTTCCCATGGTTTCCTATGGTTAATAGTGGTTAATAGTGGTTAATAATGATCATCAATAATTATTTAAGTTGTGATTAATGGAGATTTACACTCTGGTAAACGTTTACATGTTGCTATGGAAAATCACCATGCTATTGATGGGTAAATCAACGATTTCTATGGCTATTTTCAATAGCTATGTAACAGTCATTACCAAAGGGTAGTTCAAAGTGATTTCCAGGAGGTGTCTTCAATGGCCATTTCAGGATCCTAAATTGGAGGTACCTACCATATATAAGGCCTATGTAAGAGGATATACTAGATATACCTACAAAATATGGCCAGAAATATGGTACTAACGTACCTCCAATTTAGGATCCTGAAATTTCCATTGATGTCTTGGATGATTATAGTTTCACTGAAACAAGCTTAGCCAAAAAGGGCCTGCTTTGGGCTGATTCCCATCGCAGAAAATTGTGGATCGCAAAGGGTCCTCATAACCATCGTCTTCTTGCACCACCCGACCTCGGTCAACTACTTGGTGGCGAACTACCCACGAATCGTAAGTGGGTTAGTTCACCCCAATTTTTTGAGTGGATCAACCCTACAAGAAAACCCACTTATAACTGGGGTTATAATCCACTTGAGATTCCTGGGATGAGCCACCAAGTATCTACCCAGTTTCATGAAACATGGAGGTTTCCTGAAATGGGGGTACCCCCAGTTCTCATCCATTTTAACAGGACTTTCCAGAAAATAAACCATCCATTTGGGGTACCCCCATTTTATGGAAACCCCTGCATGGCAATTGAAAATCGCCCATTTATAGCCTAGCTGGTTGGTGGGTTCAACCCCTCTGAAAAATATGCAAGTCAGTTGGGATGATGAAATTCCCAATATATATATATGGAAAAATAATATTCATGTTCCAATGTTCCAAACCACCAAACAGATATATATGGGAAAACTGTGGATAAAGTAGTTCACCATGTTTCTGTGCCCTCGGAACTCTCCCCAGGATTCTGTTGGTGAACGTGCCCAAGATTCCCGGTTTTGAAAAAAACTCAGTTGGAGACGTGCTTGGAACAAGGGAGCAGAGCGGAACATAATCTGCTTCCCAACCTGGTGAGGCAGCAAAATTTCATGGGAAAAGGTGGATGATCATGGGATTTCATGCAAGATATTGCCTATATATAAATGGAGGTTTTAATGGTGATATAATGACATATTAATGACATGTTAATGACATATTAATGACATATTCATGGCATATTAATCGAATATTAATGGAATATTGGATGATACCATCCATGTTCATCAAACATGGCAATGGGAAAGCCACGATCAAAATGGTTGTTTAGTTCGCTGGGGAAATCAACGAAGTAAATGATGGATTCTCCAGCACTCCATGTCTGATTGCCGGAGGGTATACCCTCTGATAATGTAACAGTTTGCTATGGAAATGGTCCATGTACAGATGGTTTATCCATGTTTATCCATCAAAAATGAGGATTTTCCATAGCTGTCACAGCTGTCTTAAGTCTGAAAATGCGGTTTTACCCACCAAAATTAAGCAGTGCTAGTGGAGAAAATGATGTTTTGAACCATGAGAAATGTTGGGGCCCATTTTCAGGTAAACCCAACTGGGTATCCATAAAGCCATTCCCCTCTGGTGTCATGAAACGTGGCTTGCCGGGCATGGAGGTTTGAATCGGGAAATCATCTATAAATGGTAAGCAAACCACGTTTGATTACCGGAGAGTAAGCTAACTGACTGGGAATATCAAGCATATATCATCATATATCACGGGGTTATTTCTGATTCTTGTTTCACTTACGAGATGGACTTTCACTTACGAGATGGACCCCATCTCGTACTGCAAAGTATCGAATCGATGGGTGAGGAGACCTCAATTGAAGGGAAACTCATCCACAATTCATCTACAAAATTTCATGGAAACTTCAGTCATGGAAGAACTCCCCCAAGTCGCCATGGCTTTCCGAAACATCTACCGCTGCATCTACCTGCTGCCGTTGCGCACGTTCCGCACGTTCCGCCCTTTCGCCCGCCTTCTTGTGAACAGGAGCTTGAGATCGTTGCAAAGACGCCTCTTGGGAAAGTCGCAACACGAGTCGCGTGACACGATACCTTCTGGTAATTTGTTACATAGCTATGGAAAATCACCATTATTAATGGGTAAATCCACTATTTCTATAGCCCATTTTCAATAGCTACGTTAAATTACCAGAGGGTAGTTGTGCTTCAGCCATGGCCATAGATTGATCTTTCCCATGACGGATCCATGGTGCTGGTATATTAATGCTAACATGACTGGGGTATATTGATGGGATCCATGTTACCATATATAGCAGCACCATGGATCCGTCATGGGTTTCAAATGATTCAGTTCGAACACCACGAAACTACTGTTAAAAATGTCCAGCTGAATCAGTCGGATGATGTTGGATGATAGTCAGAACAGAGGAGATGATGATCCAACCAATGATCGTTAGAACGCTTAGAACTATTAGTTGAGGATTTAGATCAACAAATGTACATTAGGAGTCTTGCAAATGATGGTTGACTAAGCTACATAAATACACATAAGTGTCAACAAATGTTAGAAATGTTAGAACTCTACTCGGTAGAGGAGATGGTTAGAATGTCATGTCATGTCTCTCCTTGAGGCGGTCTTCAATCTTCTTCTCCTGTTGCAGCTTGCGACTCAGCCGCAGGTCCAAGCGCCTCTGACGCTCCTGGCCGAGCAGCCGAAAAGTTCACCTGGTTTCTTGGGATTTCACCAGAAATACTGGTGATGTTATGAGACAAAAAACCCATGATTTAATGGGATCTTTGTTGTTTTGTTGGTTTGGAATATTACCTTGTTATACCTTGTTAACTATAGTTGTATATAAACCATATATAGTTAAGCAAGTTATTTTGCGTCCACTTTGGGACTTGGAATCATGCCAGAAATACCGTATGAGATCGGGAAAAACTGAGGATGAAGCGTCTATAGTTGGGATAGAATGGGGATATAAATGGAATTAATGGATATGAGACAGTGGATGGAAGAAATCCTGCACCAGTTGGCAACCGTTAGGTAACTATGAAACACTGTAGATAATGGGATTGTAAGGGGATAAACCATATACCAACTGGTGCAGGGGAAACGGAAATAACAAAAAAAAGATTCCCCTGGTTTAGTTCGGAAAAAGGCATTTAACCACTCGAAATCGGGTTTTAATCAGCAAATTGATGGATTTGTTTGGGAATACTAAAAGCGGAAAGCACGGTGTTGATCATCCAATGTAAGGGTAAACGCTGTAGATGTTCCCTTGATCCAATGCTGGGACAGATATTCATCAAACAAAATGGGAACATGATATAGCCATAGCTAATCCAAGCTTCATTGGCACTATGTCGTGGTATCTTGATTGACCTCAGATGCCTGCAAAACTGGTGAGTTTTTTTTAAGTATGTCAAATATTCCTATACTATATACAAGAAATGTTCATATACCATATTATACACGTATTCCTCCATTTACTCTTGAAGCTGGGTCATGAACCTATCAACTTTTAAGACCTTTCATGATCTTCCCTGCATTTGGGAGGAAGCCATGAAGGCTCGGACCAAAGACTTGAACGGTCAGCTCTGATTTTAGTCCTAAAGCTAAATAGAAAGGTCAACTGGTCAACTTGTGAGTGCAAAATGGGTACCATAAGACTACCATAAGTCCCAAAATGGTCATTCCACAGGTCTTGAAATGTTGGTCAACTTCAAAGGTGCTGTAGCTGACAGAATAGCTGACCAAACCCTGGTACTGACCCCCAAATATCATAGCCCAAGTTCGAAAACATATTTCGAACACAACAAAAAACAAAAATAAATCATGGAACCCCCATCCCATATATCCTATATATCCCATATATCCCATCATTATCAGCATGTTTTTTTTCTCAACACTTCATCCCATGAAATATCTCTCCCGGCCCATGATTCCCATGGGAAAAAACCCATGGAACAACTGGCCAAAGTCCCATGGCATGGGCCGCCCTCCTTCTTGTGCTCTTCCGCCAAGACCCGTGCACCGAGGCCGGAATCCTCCGCCTACGGTGGTGAAAAATACTGCGGTCACTGTTGTTGATGGTATGTTTAATGGTTATGAGCATGGTGTGAAAAACTGTATCTGGTTGGTGGTTGACCTACCCCTCTGAAAAATATTAGTCAGTTGGGACTATTATTCCCAATATGATGGGAAAAATAAAAAATGTTCCAAACCACCAACCAGGTATTCTATATGGTGTATTCTATGGGTATCTTTAATATGGTATGGTCCGGTTGTGGTGTTAAATTCTACATTATGCTCTGGGTGTTTTATGCTATTTTGATGGCTTTGTTGGTGTACTTAATTGTATTTTATGGTGAATTTAAGGAAAATCTGCGGAAATAAGGAAAAAGACAATAATAACTAATAATAGCCGTATAAATTTTAAAAATAGTAAATAAATTCATAAATAAATAAATAAAATTCAATAAACCATAATAAAAAAATGTAAATGATAAATAAAAATAGCACAATAGTTTAAAAACTTAAGAAATGTGTAGTGTATGTGTTTAAATTGCCTTTCAGATTGACGTAAGTAATGTTTTTTCGGCGATGATCCAAATGCTCAAAAGTGGCGTCTGCGTCTTTTTGACGGATTCATAGAATACATTGAATACATAAGTTACGTTTTTTTGGAGCAGGTATTTACGAAAGTTAAGATGAACAAGTATCCAAGATCTTCCAAGGGGGTATATGGGTACCCTCTGGTAATTTGTCAAATAGCTATTGAAAATGGCCACTTATAGTCAGATTTCCCACTAAAAATGGTGATTTTCCATAGTTAAGTTATGTTAGTTTACCAGAGGGTATATAATGACATCGACCCGTAACTTTTCTGCTGGGTTCCTGCACCGACTGCGATCCGAAAGGCGATCCATAGATCCGATGAATCTGTGGGGTGACCCGGTAACCATGGCTGGGTCAGCTGGGTTAGCATTACGAAGCCCAGAATGTGCTGGCTAACTTGCTCACATAATTTGCAAAAACCATCATTTCTGATGGTCTAAAATTTTCACCATTTTCTCTAGTTACCCTCTGGTAAACTAACATAACTATGGAATATCACCATTTTTAATGGGAAAACTCACTATAAATGACCATTTTCAATAGCTTTTTGTATGTTTACCAGAGGGTAGATGGGCCATGGAACCAGTGACTTGCTTCGTAACTAAAAAATATGGCCCTTGCTGGTTTTTTTTTGCGTCACCTCGTCGAGATATGCCAGGTACTCTTCTAACTTGAACTCAATGCGTGCCAACATCTGCCTGGGACAAATGGAAAACGGACTAAAAATTGATGAAACTAGTTATGGTCAAGTAATGTGGTAAATTCAATAACAAACTGAAATTGGAACTGATGGTTAGTTCTTGATCTTGGGATAATTTGCAGGAAACCCTACATTTTACCATTGAGAATGGGGGGTAAGCCATGGTATAACCATCGAGTTTTTCCCCTTCGTCAAATTCTGGCAAGGATTCACTGATCTTTGGGGAGATTTAATGGATGACATGGATGGATTTGATGCGGAGATTCTAGGGTATGACAAAAATGGGTGTGTCTGAAAATGAGGTATATATCAAAAAAAAACAAAATGACTAGGGAAAACAGATGATAAACATTGATAAACCATGGGATTTGGGGGTATGCTATTTTCAGACAAAGCAACATTGTTTCACAACGCAGTACTGAAACTGCTAATCCTGTAACTGTAATAAGCATGTTTTGTTTTTTTTCCGTAGTCCTCTTCATATATATTTGTATTATATTATATTAATATTATATATGTTTATACTATGTAATGGTGTACCGCATCTCCCCCAACCACATTTATAATTATTGTTGTTACTATTAATAATTATTATTATACATATTTATATATACTATTATACATATATATATTATACACATAAACATTATATATTCAAGATATTCATCAATGTCCCTCAATCCCATGAATTGTTTTTCCATGTTTTTTCCAAGGTGCAAGGTATCACCATCGTCCTGGTTCTCGTGCATACATACGCCATGCACTTCCACCACTCCGCCCGCCAGACCGTCAAGCAACTCCTACGCGTGGCTAGAAATCCCCATAGAAAAACGATGGATTTTCAATGGTAAAACCCCTGTAAAACATACTGAACAAGATTGGAAAAAGGCCATCGAAAGTGGGGATTTACCAATAAAAGCTGGGATTGAGTCCATTTTTTATCTGGTCAATATATATATATATACATGTACATATCCATGTACAGCAAAAGAATGGAGATGCAGTGTAACAATTACTCAAAAGGATGTGACTGAAAATTTCCCAGCTATAAACCTCCACTTATATTACCAGCTATCATTCCAAGATCCAAGGGTCAAGCTATGAACGACTCGAACACCTCAATTTCCCCCTCGGGAGAAACAAAAGAAAAACAAGTATAAAATGGGGACCCATTGTTGGAGCCATCCCCATTTTTGGACAAACCCATATTCTTTTGTTTGCTGCTGGAATATCCCCATGTTTCTCTAGCAAGCCCATTGCCACTATCCACTACATACTAAGGTTTTGATAGTTAAATCATGTTAAATCAATTTTTAGTAGTTAGATCCCCAGTTTCAATGGTTATATAAACTGTATCAAACCCTGAGTTTTGCTTAAAAAAAAAAACAGTTCTTATCACCGAGGATCAGCCCACGGATCTCACCAGGGCTATGGGAGTCAAGTCATCACCATCTCCAAGTCACCACAAATTAAATGGTTGATTAATGGCTGATACAAATCCCCAATATTGAAGATGAATGGATAAAAATTACTTGGAGATGGGTTAATGTATGTTAATGTCAACCCCGGATTAATAAACCGTGGTTTATGAAAAAAAGGGGGTACTCCTCCAATAGTCATTTCATCTGATACTTTTTTATGGTACCCTCCCAATTAAACAGCATAATTAGGGGTTTATGAATCCAGGGTTGACATTAATGCTAGTCTAGCAGCTTATGTTTACCATCCCCAAATATGGTACCCTCTGGTTATTTAACATAGCCATGGAAGCCATGGCCCATTTATGGATGATGTTCCCAGCTAGAAACCTCCATTTATTTTGGGGATTTTCAATGGCTATGTTAGTCATAACCAGATGGTCGTTCTCTGGCAGAAACCCCGTCGGCCCTGGGCGTCCTCGATCTCAGAGCCACCGTGACTTTGCGAGATCGCCCTGGGCGTCCGTCGGACGGGCAAAGGGATGGTATGTTAAAGATCCAAACAAGATGAAAATGACGGTAACTATGGTTTTAAATGGTTGTATATGGTTATATCAGCTACATTTATGGTTATATATATATGGTATTATATATATGTATATATGTATATATATATATGTATATATATATATATATATGTGGTGTGTATATATATAAGTGGATATATATAGATATATACATATATGTGGTGTGTATATATGTATATATACAGTGTGCCTCTCTCTATATATATATGGTGTATATATATACATGTTTATAATCAGCAGTTTAGCCATTAGATAAAACAGTATACCAGGAATACCATTAAATGAAACTGAAACTCATCAGTCTACTAGGAGTTTACCCTTTCTATCTGTTTGTCTGGGTTACTATATATGATATATTGTCTATAAATATATATATATCGAACTAATGACAACAAGATCTACTAATATTGACAATGTATATATGCATATATATATATGTATACATACATAACATAACATGACATTACATTACATTACATAACATTACATTACATTATATTACATTACATTACATAATATTACATTACATTACATAATATGACATTACATTACATTACATATTACATTACATTATATATGACATTACATTATATTACATTACATTACATTATATTACATTACATTACATTATATTACATTATATTACATTACATTATATTATATTACATTACATTACATTATATTACATTACATTATATTTTATTACATTACATTAAATACAGGGTAATGAGGATGTGTATGTATATGTCCATTGGATGTGTCAAACTAAACCAATAACTGGGGCTTTCGTCTTGTGGGATCTATCTCATATGTATCCCAGAAGCATCAAGATCACACCAAAATATGGGGGGTTCCATAAATGGAGAATCCCCAAAATGGATGGTTTATAATGGAAGTCTTATGACACAAATCCATGATTTGGAGGTACCCCAATTTCAGGAAACCTCCATCCCCAATGGGCCAATCCCACCTGTACAAGGTGGGACCCATCTGTAACGATAAGTAAGTTGACGCAAATAACTTGGCTCGCGTTTGGCTTTATGGAGGATATAACGAACCTTGTAAATGGGGGTACCCTCTGGTAAACTAACATAACTATGGAAAACCACAATTTTCAATGGGTAAATCCACTATAAATTGCCATTTTCAATAGCTATGTTAGTTTACCAGAGGGTAAATCTAAACCAACTTATATCATCGTTTTGGTTCCACCTTGTAGATATTCTTGGGTCCGGAAAAATGTTGACCCACACATCTCAAGGCAAAATCGCTGTCCAAACACTACACCCGATAGCCTGTGGTAAAGTGGCGGAAAAATCAAACAATTGCCATTGGCTATATCTTCAGATACCCTCTGGTAAACTAACATAGCTATTGAAAATCACCATTTTTAATGGGAAAATCCACTATAAATTGCCATTTTCAATAGCTATGTTAAATTACCAGAGGGTATATCTTCAGATACACGCAATTCGCTGCTTTCAGCATACCCAATGTTTGGTCACCCAAAATGTTTGCTGGCGAATCCCGAAACTTCTCGAAATTGCCCCCATCTCTGCAGGGCATGGGTGACCACTCCATGACGTTTTTTGGCAATCCCAAATCACAACGGCCAGGCGCTGTTTCAGCTCATCACACTTGCTCTTCTCTTCAAAGATTTGCCGCTCAAGCCTCAAGTGTGTCGTTGTGGAAGCTGAAGCTGAAGGTTGGGGACCAAAAACACTAGGGGGACCGGATAACAATGGCGAGCTAAGCCCAAAACAAAGGCTTCAAGGAGAAAATGGTGAGTTAAGCCACAAAAATGGTATGATTGATGATTACAAAACCTATAGTGGCGATACAGTAGAATTGGATACAAATAACAATATGATATGAAATGCAAGAAGGGATCAATAGGTAAGTTGCGGTACAGCTAGACCAACTACCTTGAGCAGTGGAATGCCGTTCCACTTGGATATGTGAAACCAAAGCCTAGAATTGGGGTGCAATCTTGCAAGCAGTTGATTCTTTGGTGGACTACATTTTCCTTTTTCAAGATCATTTGGAAGTAGAATCCAGAAACAAGAGAAAATGTGTTGTTTTGTCTTCAAAACCAACCAAAATTTGGCTTCAAAGCATCGAAGATTGGTGATGTACCAATGTGTGAATGGGAATGTACCGCATCTTTCAGGCACAGTAGAGGCTCCGTTTTGGGTATCCTGTAAGGGACCGTTGAAGTGGACAGCCTTTACATTGGGTGTGCTGAAAAAGTTGGAGACCATTTCGCTTCGCACACGACACGTGCGTCTTGGCACACATCACTACAGCCGTTCAAAAAAAGAAACAGAAAACCTCATAGACCCGAAGAATCACTAGTGTCACTAGACATGGTAAGTACCACAGCAGTCATCTTGTTTTCAGACCCAAAATATAGTGCTTCAAAATCTGATTCTCTTGGACTCGCTTAAAGCGTCCAGTTCCTGTTCGATGCGTCCACCTCCACACCAGCATCTCAGCCTTGCCATCCCCCATTTTCAAAGCGAGGAGTCCGAGGAGCTGTGAAATTTGGACCTGCATCTTGTTACTCATCGCCTGGCAATCCCAGTCGATCATCTTTCAATGAAGAGTCTATATATATATAATGTATATATATATAATGTATATATTATATTAAATATATAATGTGTATATATATATGCATATATATATTTAATATAATATAATAAAACTAGATATGTATAATGTAGCATATAGTATATAATATATAATGTATATATATAATATAATATAATATAATATAATATAATATAATATAATATAATATAATATATATATATGTAATATAATATACTGTAATATATATATATATGTAATATAATATATACATATATATATAATATATAATATAATATAATATAATATATTATATTATAATATAATATAATATAATATCATATAATATAATATAATATATATAATATATAATATATAATATATAATATATAATATATTATATATAATATATAACATATAATATAATATGTATATATATATTATATACACAGTCGTTGCCAGAATTATAGAACAGAATTAGCGTACATTGGTACTCCTCCGGATCCCGATTCCGCGCGGATTTGGATCCGGTTCTAAAATAGTTTTTCCGTTGTTCTATTATGCTCGTCAACTTCCGTTCTATATAATCAATTTTTGCATCATCATTTTATGTATCTTTCTGGGACCCCGGAAGAATGTACATAGAAACCAGAATTATAGAACGGAATAACTGCAAATTTAATTATAGAACACGCAATTACATAACACGCAATTATCCAACAGAATTGGTAAATGTGAGAAATATGGGGGAAAACACAATTATAGAACACAAACAAGAATTATAAAACGACAAAAAAATTAGGAGTAAGTTGAGAGTAAGTGTGTTTTTCCGTTCTTTAATTGTGGCACTGACCATACATATATATATGTGTATGTTTATATTCTACTCCAGGATTACTATAGACTATACATGTAAATGCATATACATCTTTGTATATATATATCCCTATTATTAGCAAAATAAACCGCGGCCGGGTCTGAAACTTTGACCCATAGCCATGGAAAGATCCACCCATTTTTAAGTTCGGTAAACCATCTATTTCGATTGGGGCCATCTATACCATGGCTATGTTAAACTGTTAAATAACCACTGTTAAATAACCAGAGGGTATGTAGCGATAATATCATGAGACTATTCTGATAAGATATTCTCTATTCTCTGTCACGCTATTCTGGCTATTCTCCTCCATTGCCAATCTTAGATACCTTTCAAAAAATGACAAATCCTGAGCTGGTGAACGTAGATCATCCCATACCAAAAGACTAGTTAGGAAAAGTTACCCATCCAGTTGGTCAACCGTTAGGCAACTTTCTGAAACACTGCAAATCAAGGGAGTGATAAAACATGATAAAACAAGCATAAACCCAATAAACCATCCAGTTGGTTGACCAGTTAACCTAACCCAGATGCGAACCATGGTGCTGGAATATGAATCCCAACATTTACCCGAACAGAATCACTCAGTTTTGTAGGTTTTTATACACCAGCACCATGCTTCGCATATGGGGATGGCTTTTCCAATACAAAACCATTATTTTGGGGATACCACAGTTATTGCCCTTTACCAGTTATAAGTACTTATACCCCCATTTATAGAATATATAATCCCATTTATAACCAGTTATAATTGATAAATATTCCCAAATGAACAAAGAATCGCCAACCTCCCGGGTCTTGCGCAGAACCGCAAATTTCTGCTCCAGCTCCTCTAAGGCTTGCTCCGTATCCTCGCAGCTTGTGGCCCAATTTTTATGGACCGGTCCCGAGGGATCCGGAAAAAAAACAGGTAAAAAACGACAACAAAATGTGTCCTTCACTTGACATTTATATACATTTAGCCTCTGGTAATTTAACGTAGCTATGGAAAGATCCACCATTTTCAATGGGAAAATCCACTATATATAAATCACCATTTCCAATAGCTATGTGACAAATTACCAGAGGGTATCCTCAGTAGATCGCCATGGCCTAGCATTTTTGCTGGTTAGCATCTGGTTATGTAACGTAGCTATGAAAGATCACCATGCTTGATAGGTAACTCATATTGAATCACCATGTGTGTCATCAATATGGGATTGTCCATAGCTTATGCTAACCAGAGGCTAATTATTCGAACGATCCAATGATATCAATACGATTCAATAAACATTAATAGGCTAATTCTATTTCGAATGATCTTCCAATAAAAAAAAACAAAAATCCCCCACTGATCTCGTCACATCCCATCCCCATCAGATCCCATTTCTTGGTGAAATCCAGCACCCAACGTGGCAGCGTGGCACGACGTGGCCTGAGAGTTTTGAATCAGAAAGAGGTTCGACTCTTCCAACGATGTGAAGATGTCCAGTAGCTGCTTGGGCTCTTGGAAGTAAAGCGGCATCTCCTGTAGCTTCGGATAAAAAAATGGTTCTGAAAAGTGGTACCCTCTGGCAATTTGTTACGTAGCTATAGAAAATCCACCCATCTTTTATAGGTAAACCCAGGTAAACCATCTATTTCTATGGGCCATGGCTTCCATAGCAAACTGTTAGTTTACCAGGCCGGGTATCTGATACACGACTTGGGGATGGAAGAAAATCAAGACGACTGCTAGGAAAACAAAAAACCTGCTGGATGGTTGAGAACAGTTAGTTTTTTTTCGTATTTACCATCTGGTTATTTAACATAGCAATGGAAAATCACAATTGTTAATAGGTAAACCATCTATAGATGGGCCACTTTCCATGGCTATGTTAAATAACCAGAGGGTAAGAGAAAAGGAAGGATTTGGGCATAAGATCATCATGTGGAACCCCTAAAAATCGCAATGTTGATCCATGTTCACAAGGGAACCGAAAATGGATGTTCATCAATAGAAAACAGCGGTGCGAAAGATCAGGGGCTCAAGCTTTGTAGGGGATACGCCAAGTTAGTCCAATTTGGAAGAGGGATATTGATACCAATCATGAGATGTTGAGGTCATATCCGAATTGACAGAAAGACACAACAATTTGGGGAGGTTTCTATCAATAGATCGGAATAAATCGGAGAAGAATTTCAGAATAGATTTCTTCTATCAGTAGATAGATAGATCGAATAAGAAGTCTATCAACAATTCAACAGTTTCAGATTTCAGGCAGAATTGGAGAAAACTCACAGATGGGAAATGATGGGGTCGCTGCAGCAATTCTGGGACCTGTGATCGAAGGCATTGAAGAAACCAGGGGTGAACTTTTCAACCAGGTAACGTTTCTTTGGAACTGGGCTCACTTAGGGTTTATGGAAGATATACATACTGTGTATGTATATATATAATCATAATATATCATCAAAAGATATCTAGACTTAAAGTATGTTAAAGTATGTTAGAGTTATAGACCAACTATGACCAACTTATAATTGGTAGGGACCTGCTATACGTTGCTATCTGTCGCATCTGTCCCAAAGGTTGCCAAGGATCTTCGCCACTGGAGTACTCCACATACTCAGCATCCACCTGTTCCCTCACAGGATACTTCCCTCGGCGCTGCATGCACAGCGAAGTTTGGCTTCACTTTTTTCAATGGGGAGAACCAGAAAAGGGTCCTCACCAAAAATGAATGAAAGTGGGCTCCATGTTCAGGAAACCACGAAATGATGGTTTCCATAAATATGGGATCTCCAAAATGGATGGTTTATAAGGAAAATCCCGTGAAAATTGATGATTTGGGGGTACCCCTATTTTAGGAAACCCCCAAATAGTTCTTGACACAAATGAGCTTCTAAATCAGGAAGGCCCAAATTCTACAGATGGCAAGTAATCACACATAGCAATGGGAAATCCCCTCAAAATGGGCATTCAAATCGAAAAGAAAACATCTACAAATAGGATAGTGTCCAGCAGGCCATGATTACCAGAGGATACACCAACTTGTAAGAATGGCCATTTCAGGGACCCAAATTAGAGGTACCTACCATACACAAGGCCTATTTTTCAGCGCTAAATTTCAGGGAATATCCCCACAAAATATTGCCAGAAGATGTCAGACCTGGCACCCTCTGGTAATGACTGTTACACAGCTATTGAAAATGGACATTTATAGTATTTTACCATGGTTTTACCTATCAAAAATCGTGATATTCCATAGCAAAGATCGTGAAAACGTTTACCACCGGAGTCCTGAAATTTGCCGAGATGCTGGCGATGCGGCGTCTACGAGCTTCCATTTGATCTCTCTCCTCCGACTCGTGGTGGCTCTGCAGAGGCAGAAAAAAAACACATGGCAAAGGTAATATTAGATTCTATATTATGTATATTATGCATATTATGTGGCAGATATCTTTTGATTCTATATTATATATATTATGTGGCACAGAGGATGTGTCTCAACAGTATTTGCCACATAATTGCCACATAATATCGAATCAAAAGATATCTGGCACATAGATGCACAGGGGCTCAAAAATTCGGATCCCAATGTAGCAAAAAGTCAGGATGTGTCTCACTCATCGGCAATTTATATAGTTTTGTTGGGAGAACATCATGTAGCCACACGACTGAACTTATACCCAACAGATTGCTGGCAAAATTGTGGGTGAACCTCACTACTCATTCTTATACAACATAATGCACTATATTCCCTGTATGTTCCGGATCTTCTTTGTGGTTAGAATACACACATATATATATATATACACCTATATACTATATGGTGGTTTCTTGAAATGGTGGATCCCCAAGTCACCATAGGTTTCAAGACTCAACTGATCTAATGACTTGGATGATTTGGGGTCACCCTCCCCCATTTTAGGAAACTTTCATGTAGAGTATACACATATCCACGGATTTATTCACCTTAAGTGAATTCATCCCACCAATCAGTATATTACCTTTAAAAGAGAAATAAATGTAAAGGTACCCGAGGGTAGACTACCATAGATGTGGCAAACCTATGGTGGGATATATATGTTCCTCCGGAAACCATAGCTAATCAACGTGCTACCTGTTTTTAACCTTGAAACCGACATAGATGTGAAAACCGCCTATGGTGTCCCTACGAAAGTAAGATACAAATGGTTGATTTTCAGTTCACCCTAGAGTACCATCCATAAGGATGGATGGATAGATGGCTAAATTTCATAAAGCAATTAGTAACCAACCTTGATGTTGATAGAAACACTGATACTCATCAATCAACCATCACCTAACAATGTTATACTTCTATGATTTATGTTTAAAATAACGAGAAATGATGGTGATATTCATTCTTCAATTGCTTACTTTGGCTTATGGTGGATACATCTATGGACCTAGATGGAGTTGAATATGTTCTAATGAAATAACTTATAACTAGGGGGGCCTTCCTGCGGTATATTGCCATTTCATTGGATTGTACATGATAGGTACAATCACCATTAAATCCCCATTGATCGGTTTATTCCCATTTAGAATTTCCATGTCTACAGTAGATAGCCAGTGTTCCATCATATTTTTTCAGGTGACTGCGGTTATCTATGCAACACAAATAGTATTGAGTATTTAACACAAACAGTTAAACATTTAGTTACCTGGGAACATGTCCATATGTATGTTATTTGTATGTTATATAGTGCATTTGTCACTAGGCTATACTAGGATTACATAGGGTGACTAACCACTTCTTTTAATCGTGGGATGCAGCCCGTAACGCCGTACCCCTCTCCTTTTGCTCATCTTCCTCAGTTCTTTTCTGACGCCTCCGTCCTTTCCTCAGAGCCACGGAAGATGGAGAGAGGTCATCATTATGTCATTTGAAAAGAGTAGATCAGTCCGATTGTGAAAAAATATACATATATACACACATATTTGCTGTCTGTATTATTATTACCACTATTGTTGCTATTGTTATATGTATATAAAAATATATTATTTATACGTATATTATGATATTCTGAAAACATCATAACACATCATCGTCATCCAAATACATGTTGCATCACGTTGCAATGTGTCCATGGCCAGCCACTTTGAGGTGGCGTAACACCCTGGAATTCAAGATGGCTTGTCATTGTCATTGGGCTTCCAGCCATTCCTGATATTTTGGTATAAGGGTGAGGTCCCTGGGGTAGCAAATTCGCTGAGTTGATGGAAGTATATAACTTGGTTAACGTCTAGGTTTGTGGAAAACATCATGAACTAGTTAATGGGAACTATGAAACATTGGGTTTGTGGAGAATATCTCGAATTAGTCAATGGGCTGAATTTAAACCAACAGTCACAACATTCATGCCCATTCACGGTGTGACCATAAACAGACATGTTATGGCAAAGGGACTGAGTTCCGCCAGCTGAGCAGTGTGAAAAAAACGCTGTTATTCCATGAGATACTGGTTGGCTGAGAACCGAATTCCCAATTCATGGAGTATCCCAAGTCAAAATCGATAGTATTACCCTTTATCGTTGATACACCCATGTTTTTGATGTTTGAAAACCCTGTCTCTGATACTGACTCCGGTAATTTAACATAGCTATGGAAGCCACGGCGCATCTAGTTCGATGATTCGCCTTTGTTCTCCTCGTTATATTTGGTGATTTCGCCCGCTATTCAAAAACGTATAGTTTTTTCCTTAGACCCATTTCACCCATGATTTCATCAAGGAAATTTTCCACCTATCAACAGCTGCCCTCGACTGACCGCGTGGCTTTTCTTTCTCCTCCTTCTCTCGGAAGGCCAACTCTTCGGCTTCGATCTCCGCTTGCAACTTCTCTTCGATCTCGCCCATGCGGGCATCCACCTGAGCCATGCGATGTCTATAGTAGGGCTGGACATAAGCTCAGTGAAGTTTGATTTGGGATATTTCAGATGGATTATCATGATTTATCATGTATAATTCTAAATGTGGGGTTGGTTTTTGTAGCCACTTATTAGCTGGGATGTACATCAAGGTAAGCTGTTCACACAAGGCGTTTTAGCAAAGAACGGAGATGATGAAAGTCACAGTTCTGGAATGTTTGATGCGTGACATTTTTTGAAACAACACACAAAACTCATCAAAAGACATCAAACATCCCATGTTATCCCATGCTGTCAACCCAGTTTCCGCCCATCTTGATTAGATACCCTCAAAAAAGGATTTCATACCCAGGTATGACACATTTCCCCGCTTGTGGCCCAAAAAGAAACACACTCAACTACCCAACATTACCTAACTCAACGAACATTTCCCCACTTAGAACACGAAACTACCCAACTTCGCAGTGAAAAAAAGTGGGTCCCCGAGATCTACATCCGCGGAAGCCAAGCTGCAGCGATTTTGCGGCGTTGCAACTTGCGTTGCTTCTTTTCTTCTCGCTTCCTTAGAGTGGCCGAGAAGTCGCCCAAATCCTGACCATCCAAAATAGGGGTTCCACCCAATACATGCCATAGGCTTTTTTCTAGGGGGGGAGTTATTCTGAATGATCTTCCGAAAATACATGCCAATGGAGCAAGTGGGGGGTGTTAGTTCAACTTTTCTTTCGATTTGTTTGTTGGCTATGAAAAAGGTAACAACATAGTACTTTCCAAGTAGAAATTCCCTCAGTCAGAGGGTATTTACCGTGGCCGTTCTGAAAAAATGACTCCCGGATCCCAGATGATCCCAGTGGGGCGCCAACGAAATCGCGACAGCTTGAGGCAGATAACTTGGTGACTTGGATGGTTTGAGGATATACCATAAAAATGGGGTGAATCTCAACCAAAAACCCTGGTAAATCCCATGCAATCATCGGTGAAGTCCCATAAAGTCCATCATTTCTGGCTGGAGAAAAAACCCGACATTTCACAAAGACACCGTTTTCCCTACCTTGTAGAGATTCCCCGGTGGAAAAAAGATCCAAGGGTCTGCTCCTTCCATTCAGCAGGCGTTAGGTTCACCAGAAAGTCTTTGTACCTTGATGATCCAATCCGGAGAAAACCAGGCGAACCGGACCTATGGAGGATTTGTTGCTACCCGGTTAAAAGATGTTAAAAGACCAATCTTAGACTGCATTTGTCCGCATTTGTTGAGCTAGTTCTACTTAGTTTTAAAAAATTGCAAAACAGCGAATTGTTGATGATTTCAATGCGTTACAGTACAGTAAATGGTGTTTTAAGCTTAGATACCCATTTTATAGAAAAGGGTTAACGATGGTTAACGTATTCAAGTACTCCAAGGTTTAGCAACAAGGTGGTCAGTCAGTTCTTGTGCTAAGTTGGTCTATGTATGTCTGTGCCTAGTACAACTAGGCTTATGGTCGAGATATGTATTTACGTACAGTGGATAGTGAAATGGTGATTATAAACCAACTTACCCTCTGGTAAACTAACATAGCTATGGTGAATCATGATGTTTGATAGCTCCTCAAACTCATATCTTAGCCATGGCTTCTGCAGATGATCGTCCGCCGGCACAGCACCTCAAACATTCGTCTTTCTGCTCTTTGTGCTTTGCAATCTCACCTCGGAGATGTGGGCACCCCAGGGGCCAATGGTTGAGAAACAAGAATGGCTACCCTCCTGGATTTTTTTACGCTATGGAAACCATGGCCCATTTTTTGTTTAGTTCGATGATTTACCTACTTTTTTAATGGTGATTCTCCGGTTTGCAAAGCACCGCAAACCGATGGTCACTATCATGATGATTCACAAGACTCAAATCCGAACCAAAAGTGTATAAATTATATATATATATACATAGCATAGCATGTAACCATAATCATTAAGTATGATTCTATGTAATATGAATATAATATGTAACATTAAATATATACTATTATATAATATTATATTATACTATACAATCATCCAGCTCACCAGCTCGGTCGTTGTTTTCCAAGCAGAGATGTCCCGGCGATGCTCCCACGATGGCCAGAACGTTGTGAAAGGGACGGATGGCGGGAGACATCAAGGAATCCTTAGAGACGACCTCAGGTTAGGGCGATGTCAGGGCGATTTTTTGGCCAATGCTGAGATATGACATTGGGATATGATATGTGTATATATGACCTCAGATAATAACATACATAATATCATATTTATATATGACCCGTATATAAAAATTATATAATATATGCTGAGATATTGACATATGTCAATAAGATAATAATTGACATGTGTATATATGATATATATATAATATATCATGAAATAAATCCAACAAAATGATATGCCCTCCTGATCTAAAAGCCCATCTAGAATAATTATAGGTTTTGTCTTCAACATAATAAAATGGCTTTGTTTCAAAATATGGTACCCCCAATTCCAATGGATATCAACATGTTCCCTATTAATATTAATATCGGTATCCCATATATTTTCAGACAAACCTCAATATCCTCTGGTAAACTAACATAGCTATTGAAAATGGCCATAGAAATAGTGGATTTTCCCATTCAAAATGCTGGATCTTTCCATAGCTATGTAAACGTTTACCAGAGGATAAATATCCAAAACATTCCAAAACCAAATCACTTCCTCCGCTCCACCCTTCGCAGACTCCGCAGACGCATCTCGCGCCCCAACTTCCTCCGCCAGTCGCCGCGCCGCGATGTCGCGTCGGATGTCCAGCACCGGCCGCCGCGCGCCTTTGGCCCCGCCGAAGCGACCAGCTGGACCGGAGCTGAGCCCGCTGCAGCGGTAGATGCTGACGCCACAGTCGGCGGCGAGCTGGTGAACCTGGCTGAAAGCATCCATTACCCTCTGGTTATGTCAAAATAGCTATTGAAAATGGTGATTTATAGTGGATTTTCCCAGCTATAAAATGGTGATGTTCGATAGTTATGTTAGTTTACCGGAGGGTAAAATTCGGAAAAAAATAGGACAATGTATATCGAGTTTTTAAATCAAATTATCCATAACCAAATATATCCATTATTCATCATATATATAGAGTTTAATGGGGTTTAAACCATCCATAATAGTTGGTGCCCCTCAGTTATGTTTGTTGGTTTAAACCCCATTAAACTCTATATAATATACATAGTTATAAGATGTTATAAGTATCACGAACCATAGTCATTGGAGTTACAAACCAACCTATGTTGCGGGGGCCCCACATTGTAGCAGAATTGTAATTGATCACCATTTTGCTAATTTTTATTTGACAAAAATATGTTGGGAACGTGGAAAAACTGTACGGGGAAATTCTCCTGGTTCATCCAAGCCATTATCATCCCCTGCTCTTTTGTTGATAAGGATGCCTATAATGACGTCATAGTAGTCCCCAGGATAGTAACCCCCAACAAAAACTCAACAAGCAATGTGTATATATATATATAATCATATATATATAATCATATATATATATATTGCGTAATCATATATATATATATTATGTATGTAAATATATATCTATATATATTTATATACATAGGGAGGTTGCAAAATCACCAAATCACCCAGCAAACACCGAAAATGACCACATCGTCGACAGTCGGGCCACGTCTTGCCAGTTGGATGGCAGCTCTTTTTCCAATTCCTCCAGGCGCTTCAGGCGATGCCTTTCCTCCTCCTAGCAGCCCAAGGCCGGCGAGGTTGGGCGAAAAAAATTGGTGAAATAGATGGTGAAATAGATACAATGTGGGGCCCCCAAGATAGCTAAGTTGGTATATAGCTCCAATAACTATGGTTTATGGTACTTATAACTATAGTTAATGGGGTTTATAAACCAACTTATAACTGGGGGGCCCCACATTGTAGATTTTAGTGGCCCCAAAAGAGGTAGAAAAGTGAATGTTATCACTAATGTTGGCACCCGATTAGTGTGATGGAACCCTCTTAGATGCAAGGTTTTCAAATAATTAGATGGCTTATTAAACCCTGATTAAAAAAAACATCCAAACAATTTTTCAAGGGGGTACCTCATGAGTGGCTCAGATACTCAATAATATAATTGTGTGGATGGTACTCTATTGTGCACAACAACTTTTGAGAATGAAAAAAAAACAAAACCCTTTCTCCACCTTTCTTTGGGTAAAGTTGCTCCCTTTACTTTAGAAAACCATATCCATGTCAAAGCTTGAAATGGAAGGTTTTCCAAATAATTAGATGCCTTATTAAACCCTTGTTAAAAAACAGCACCCAGACAATTTTTCAAGGTGGTACCTCATGAGTGGCTCAAGTCCTCAAAAATATAATTGTGTGGATGGTACTCTATTGTGCACAACAACTTTTGAGAATGAAAAAAAAACAAAACCCTTTCTCCACCGTTCTTTGGGTAAAGCTGGTCCCTTTACTTTAGAAAGCCATATCCATGTCAAAGCCTTGAAATGCAAGGTTTTCCAAATAATTAGATGCCTTATTAAACCCTTGTTAAAAAACAGCACCCAGACAATGTTTCAAGGTGGTACCTCATGAGTGGCTCAAGTCCTCAAAAATATAATTGTGTGGATGGTACTCTATTGTGCACACCAACTTTTCGGGTTGAAAAAAAACAAAAACCATGTCTACACCTTTCTTTGGGTAAAGCTGGTCCTTTTACTTTAGAAAGCCATATCCATGTCAAAGCCTTGACATGCAAGGTTCTCCAAATAATAAGATGCCTTATTAATCCCTTATTAAAAAAACAACTTCCAAACAATTTTTCAAGGTGATACCCCATGAATGGCTCAGATCATCAATAATATAATTGTTTGGATGGGACCCTATTGTGCACAACAACTTTTGGGAGTGAAAAAAAACAAAACCCTTTTGAAAGTAAATTGATGTCAATGGACAGTAAATTGAAATCAATTGAAAATCAATTGAAAGTAAATTGAAATCATTTGAAACCCAATTGAAAGTAAATTGAAATCAGTTGAAATCAATTGAAAGTAAATCGAAATCAATTGAAAGTAAATTGAAAGTAAATTGATATCAATTGAAAGTAAATTGAAATCAATTGAAATCAATTGAAAGTAAATTGAAGTCAATTGAAAGTAAATTGATTTCAATTGAAATCCTTACTTAAGTTGACTATCCTAAAAATTGTTAAGGGGGCCCAAAAAAACTGCGACTTATTCAGTATATTTCAGTATACTCAAATTGTTTGAGGGGTTTTTGCCCTCACACGAAAAATCAGTAGCCAACATGATTTTAGTAGGATTCTACTTTTTATCGGGGATTGATAAAATAACTTGGGATGAATGGAATATGTTTGGTGCTTTGAATCCCCCTGAAAAACATCCGTCAGTGGCGAGAAAATAATCAAATAAGAGGGAACATTTGATGATATATTTGAAATATGTGAAATATTATAATATCACAATTATCACATTTGTTTTGAAACAATATGTGTGAAACAACTAACCAGCCATTTGCTGAGTCCACAGAAAAGGCCGATGGTTTTGGGTTAAAGCGCTATGTTTGGATGGCGTGTGAGGTACCCAGTTTTGCTTTCATGTTTCACTTCAGAATGTCTGTCAAGGGAGTCGATCGTTCTAAGCCATATTCACATCATTTCACATCCATTCAATCTCCCATTCACTCCATTCACATCACATTTTCAAGTCCCATGGGAATCCGCGTTGAGAAATCATCCCCCATCGCGTTGATTCATCAGGGTCTCGGGCAAGCTGACCCTTCTCGCAGCTGTCCTTCTCGCGCGATTCCTTGAGGCCGTTGGCAATCCAAAGCTGCATCTGCATTAACAGCACTTTGGCTGTCAGCAACGCATCCTGACCTGCAGGAATTTTTGCGAATTGGATGGTTAGGGTTAGTTGTTGATCAGCATCTTAGATTACTAGAATTAGATAAATCAACACTTTAGGGATCTAGCTAACTATCAAATATATGCTATGTCATACTCGGAGGATCACCTCAATGGCAATAGTAGTCATATAGATAATCATAGTTATAATCATATATATATAGTTATAACTTATAACCCGATAATATATGGATCACCAATAGTTGAAACTTTGCCCTCAACCTTTCGGTTGCGTAAGACTTCCTCATATTTCCTCTACAACGTTCGCCTTTGGGTGTTGGCATTGCTTCAACTCTTTCCAAGCAAAAAATAGCTGGTGGCAAAGCAACCCGAATAAGATGAAAGTTGATTCGAATCATGCTCCAAGTAGGCTTGAAAATCGATAATATCCAAACAATAAACTGTTTGAACTGTTCTTACTGTTCAAACTGCTTAAACGGTTTAAACTGTTTAAATCGGACATATCGTGTTGTTATGGCGCTCCCGTTGGTCAAATTCCCATCTTTCATTCCAAATGGGCTTGTCTCAAACTTGGACAGCCCAAGTTATATATCCATGGCTTATCAGAGACCTCCATGAAAATCACCATTTTGGGCTACTTGGTGGCTCATCCCAGTAAGTAGGCTTAATCCACTTATAATTAATTAGGGTTATAAGCTACTTAGTAAGTGGGTTATAACCTACTTAGTAAGCGGGATACTTACTAAGTAGGTTATAACCCTAATTAATTATAAATTATAAGTGAATTAACCCTACTTACTGGGATGAGCCACCAAGTAGCCAAAAAAACAAAGCGGTTCCGCCTGCGGAGCCATGTGCCGTCCGAGCCGAAGAGGCTCCGACCGCGGCAAGGCCCGGAAGCGGGTCTGAAGCGCTGAGGTGACGATTCAAATGTTCCAAGGACAAGCCTCCAGCCAGCTTCCTTGGAGCCAAGTCTTTTCACCCTGGTTTTATGATTTTGGTGGCTGAAAAAAGTGATAAAAACCAAGAAGCATCCAAAAACATCCAAAAACTATGGTGGGTGATTTTACCATGAAATAGACGTTTTTTGAAGGTATATATGTACTGTATACCGAAAAAAAAAAAAAAACATTTTTTAAGCCTATGTAGTTGGATCCCACCAGTGCCCGGCAATCCCACATCCCCATTTTGGGGGATGGAAAAGAAAGACATCTTCGAAACACACAGATATGATCAATTGATATCAATTGGTTGAGATCATGATCTAAAGAAGAGCAAAATTGTGACCATCAGCCAAATTTCAGACCGCCAGCAGCCTAATTGGAAACAAACGAACACTCTTGATCACATAAGAAAAACGCAAGAAAACCACAACTTAGAATTCTAAAATCAAGAAAATCTGTGAAACCACCAGCCCTAGGGAGGAAACAAAATCAACGACACAGAAACGTTTTTCACCATCCGGGTTTCAGGATGTGATAGCGTCCCTCTTGCGCCAGATGTCGGGTGTCCAGCAGCAAGGGAAATTCGGATAGCCAGGCCTCGCAAAAGCTGCTCACATCCTTGGTCCAAGCCGCTGATCTCCAAATCCATGGCTATTTCACCATGAAAAATAATGGTTTTAACATGTTCTAACCAAGAAAAAAAATCTAGGGATTTCACCACATTTCATCAAGGATTCTTATGTGATGTATCATGATGTATCATGGTTTATGTGGAAAACAGGTCCCTGCCTCCTGTTGTGTTGTGATGTCTTGTGCAGCTTGCTGTCACTACGAGGCGCCGAGAAACTTACGGCTATCCTTAGCACCTACAGAGAAATATCCTCCATCATTTCTACAATGTGGGGCCCCCAAGATAGCTAAGCTGGTGAACATAACTCCAATAACTATGGTTTATGGTCATAATAACTATAGTATTCATGGGGTTTTTATAAACCAACGTTCACATCACTGGGGGGGCCCACATTTCTAGTGGGTATTCAACTAACTTCCCAACCACCAGCCAAATAGACCTGGAAATACCTGAGTTTCAGCCCAAAAACAACAGGCAGTTGTTTCCTCTGTCAAGTCACCTTTTGGTGGGGGATTGTTTTTGAGGATTTTTTGGGCTTATAAGCATCGTTTCACCACAACTTCAAGAAGTTTCAACAATAAACCTTGGAAAATTTCTGGTTAATCATCGATACTTCCCAATCTTTGCAATCTTGGAAGCCTATCCCCCCATTTCCTTCACCCCTTCGGTTAGTCTAGTTCATCAGCAACCCTGGCATTAAAGGTGCTGCCCCACTTGGTTTGCTAACTTGGTTTATACATCAACTAGGGCTTAATAAGTGCGGCAAGCTATAAAAACCAACAGTTTCAACTTGGTGGTGCAGTTGAGGTTGCTGGTTGTAACCCTGTTGGTTTAACCCCCATTTCTGTTGGGATATGGGGCCCAACAAAACTATGATAAAATCTATCCACTTGCAGTAGTTCACATCTTCATCATCTGCACTTCCAAGATCTTGAACTGAGTTATTTCAAAAAAAAATGAACACTTTCTCAACAACGGGGCACAAAAAAGCTTTTCGGTTTTCGGAGCTGAGCATCTTTGGGCAGATCTCCTACAGGGGTTGGTAACTGTCCCATTTTGGGAATATTGCACATCACCCAAAAATAGTAGCCATCTAGTAAAGACCAGAAATACCATTCATGGTTGGGTGATGTGAACAATGGGGACATCAGTCATGCCCATGGTCCTATGAAGCCATGGTAGAGATGCAGCAAATCCAAGAGCCCATTGTGCACCGCCAGCGCTTTGGCACTGCGTAGTGCTCGGATCAGTAGGTTGGCGTCGCAACTGTGGCGCTGACGCTTGGCTTTCGCCGGGTCCAACCTGAGATGAAAATAGATCTGGATGAATCATATTGAACAGACCCAAAAAGGATAGAAAAGTTGGACACCTATAGAAATTATGAAACTATATTGGAATATTGAATATGATTGTTTGCAAGACCCACTTGGATTTGCTTTAGGAATAATTAGCAAAAAAACCTATATTCCCTACAGATTCCCTAAGTAGTGGATTTCCCATTGGGAAAATTAACAGAAATCATCTTCACTAAATCCAGACACAAATAGATAGAGTTTGAAACCTGGAAATGATGCAGAAACAAAGAGAAATCATCATCGTTTTGGTTTACCCACATCATTCTCATCCCAAAATGATGTGGGCCAGCGAAATCCTGCACCACCAATTTCGGATGGTTGAAACATGTTGAAACCCATCCAAAATCATAGGCTGGTTGGTGGTTTTGAGCCACCCCTCTGAAATATATATATATATATGAGTTCGTCAGTTGGGATGATGACATTCCCAATGATGTCAACCCCGACATTATATGGAAAAATTAAGCCATGTTCCAGTCACCACCAACCAGTAGGAGATTCACGACCGTTTTCAACTGGTGCAGGATTTCGCTGGCCCATCACCCTGCCTGGAGTAGGTGAAGCCCTGCTCCAAATAGCTGTTGAAATCGAAACCTTGGCTCCGAACATGGAGAGCCCAACAATCCACAAAACTACCATTTTCATTGGGAAAATATGGGAAAATATGGGAAAATGATGAACCATTATGAACCATTATGAACCATTGTTTTTTTTGTGTGTGTACCGAATTCTCAGACAAAGCCATTTCTGCGTTTCTTTTTGGTGAAAAAGGACAGCGGGATATTCAAATGATTATATGAGCCATGGTCAAAACAATGGAATATGGATGTATATGAGCCATGGTCAATACTCACTATATGGTTGATGGTCATCCCATCCATAATAAGGATCCTTATAATGGTTATTATAAATCCCTATGAACCATTGGATGACTAGCCCCTATTAATGGTTATTAACCATGAGTATTGACCATAGCTCATATGGGGCATGCTTATCCGACCATCATTCATTAGGCTTCCCTAGACTGGGTATATAAATCCCTGTCAAGGAATTGATGAGCATTGCCCAAGATGGCAAAAAATAAGCCATGTTGTGACCATGGCTCTGGTTCGGATATATAGAATGGTATCCAAGTTCTATGTATTAATATATATATATATATTATATATGTGCTTGAACGCAAAGAAGTTCGAATATGTATTCATAGAACAAAGTCCAAATTTGGCAGGTGTATGCTACTTTGGGAGAGGGTGGAGCAATGATATGCCTGATATGCAACAACAAAAAGATAGACGTCAATTGATTGGTGCTGAAGCCATAAAATGCGATCAGGAATGCCATGGAGAATGTGGACTAGTTACATGATCGCTTCAGCCTCCGGTGCTCAAAAAACAAAAATGGTTAACCAGTCAATTGGGATCATCATATGGGCACTTTTTGAAACCATGTATAATACAGAGCAGAGGCTATAGAGACTCAGATTGTCATTCTCATCAATTCTCTCAACCAAGTTGTTTCGATCATGGTCCTGTAAGTACAAGTATCACATCCGACAAAAGAAAAGTCTGCTTCTAAAATTGGGTCCCAACAGCCATGCTCTCGCAAGAACTGTAAGGACTTGAAGTCAGAGACAAACAAGCGCTTGGAGGGCCAGAGGTTAAACTCATGTACTCGAAGTTCCCAGACGTCATCACGTTGATGAGCACAGCAGATTCCCAGTTGCAACGGCAAAAATGATGGGATGCTGGTGATACACCTGTAGAAAAAGGGTGGACAAGTCAGTCGGATGGAACAAAAGCTCAAAACCGCACCCCCAGTCGAGGAATTCCCAAGATTTGTAAGTACGGCTGAAAAACTACAGGATGGGCCCCCCCAGTGAAATGTTTGTTGGTGAACAGAAAACCCCATCTAAATATTAGGTTATTTAAGCGTATCATACACCGACTTGTTATAACATAGTTGCAAGCAAACTTCGCGTTCACGAACTGGGGACCCATCCTGTAGGCTGCTTCTCAATGTCTCTGTAACCTAGATCTGTCTGAAGCTGAGCCATGGTTCACATGATTGAATGCCCACAAGATGAACACCCATCCTACATTGTTGAAACATGTTTGGGCAAAGCCTGATCAGGACAACGAAAATCTTGCCCAAAATCCTTTTATTACTAGATACTTACTGGAGATTTTTATCATCCATGGTGATGGTTCTGCCCCACAAAATGGGAGAATCATCCCAAATAAACAGCCAAAAACTTTTTATGTTTTCAACAATAAAAAACAGTTTTATTGGCAAACCAACCATTTTAATGAGTACATCCGCGATAAACTATCATCAAGTTGGGCTAGATTCTTATTCAGACCAACAACACAACGTTTTTTTGCACCTGGTGTAGTACTCCTGCAAGGATGCACTTCGAGCGCTGGAACTGTCATCTGCATCCAGGAAGAGTCCAGTAAACTCCAAGTCCACGGCCACCTTCTCTGAATGTTTCCATAAAAAAATGTGGTTTCTGACCCATATGCTCCATGGTGCTGGTATATTTACATACAAAACTGGGTGATTTGTATGGCAAATGTTGGTAAATATACGGCCAAACACCTCGTCTTGCCCGCGCCTGTTGGCCCGCCTTCTTCGTATGAGCTGAAAACGTAGTAAAAATGTGATATTTTAGCATTATGGTTAACTTGATGTTCTAGATCAGAACGCACAGCAGAGGGACCTGTGCGGGTTCGTTCCACCACATCACCATCATCATCATCATCATCAATGAAGATCGTCAACGAATATAGAGGTTTAGCGCGGGTGGGAGAATTGAACCCTTATTGAAGATCTTCAATGAATGTAGAAGTTTAACGGGGGTGGAAGAATTAAACCCGCCCTTATTGTAGAAGTTTAACGGGGGTGGGAGAACTAAACCCTTATTGAAGGCCTTCAATGAATGTAGAAGTTTAACGCGAGTGGGAGAATTAAACCCCTATTGAAGATCTTCAATGAATGTAGAGGTTTAACACGGGTGGGAGAATTGAACCCGTATTGAAGATCTTCAATGAATGTAGAAGTTTAACGGGGGTGGGAGAATTAAACTCTTATTGATGGCCTTCAATGAATGTAGAAGTTTAACGCGAGTGGGAGAATCAAACCCTTATTGAAGATCTTCAATGAATGTAGAGGTTTAACGCGGGTGGGAGAATTGAACCCTTATTGAAGATCTTCAATGAATGTAGAAGTTTAACGGGGGTGGAAGAATTAAACCCGCCGTTATTGTAGAAGTTTAACGGGGGTGGGAGAACTAAACCCTTATTGAAGGCCTTCAATGAATGTAGAAGTTTAACGCGAGTGGGAGAATTAAACCCCTATTAAAGATCTTCAATGAATGTAGAGGTTTAGCGCGGGTGGGAGAATTGAACCCTTATTGAAGATCTTCAATGAATGTAGAAGTTTAACGGGGGTGGAAGAATTAAACCCGCCCTTATTGTAGAAGTTTAACGGGGGTGGGAGAACTAAACCCTTATTGAAGGCCTTCAATGAATGTAGAAGTTTAACGCGAGTGGGAGAATTAAACCCCTATTGAAGATCTTCAATGAATGTAGAGGTTTAACGCAGGTGGGAGAATTGAACCCTTATTGAAGATGTTCAATGAATGTAGAAGTTCACCAGGGGTGGGAGAATTAAACTCTTATTGAAGATCTTCAATGGATGTAAAATGAATGTAAAGTTTAACGGGGGTGGGACTTTTATATTCCCTAATACCTTTGTTGTTCTCCCCCGGACAAGAAGGCTGTGGGCGAAACGGGGTGTTTGCGCATTTTTTATATACCAGCACCATGGTTCGCATCTGGGTGATGGGAGAAAAGAAGGGATTCGTGAACTGCTTGGGAAATCACAAGTCTTCGGAATCCAGCGAATCTCCCATGTTTTTTCCATCCAAAAACCTGGAATTCCCCAGACCGAAATCTGGATCGACTGGGATGAAATCACAAACTGGGATGATAGAGTGAAAGTCAATGGGAAGGATGACATCATATATATTATGGAAAATAAAAAATCTTTGAAACCACCAACCAGATATGATATTCCCATTCTTGTTGAGTAAATACCCATGTTCCATCATTGTTTTGGTTAAATCTCCATAGATCATGATCGAATCATAGCAAGCCCAAAAGAAAGGAATTTGGTCAAATAATTACCCCGAACCATCCCGAACCACTGGTTTAGTATTGGATCTACTAGTCTAGCCATCAAAATCATCCGTCATGTCCCATTTTTAGAGGAGGATTCTCTGATGCCTCCTGACCCTGTCAAGTCACAAAGGCTGCTTCTTGAATGTCCACAGAGCATTGAGCGATGGCGCTCTCCCGGAGCTGTCGACTTTTGGAAGGACCACCCATCAGATGGCCACATCGCCGGGGATGACGGACGGGGTGAATCTGTCAGATCCTATACCAATGTGGTGCCCCCGTTTGATAGCTAACTTAGGGCTTAGAACTAAAATAACTAGGACTAGGATTTATGGTGGATATATCTATAGTATAAGCAACCAGGGGGCACCACTTTGTACGAATGAGAGAAACGAAGTTTCACGATGTGGGTATGAACTGGGGGCATGAACTGCTTGGCTACCAGCACTTTGCAATTCTATGCAATTCTCACATCTGGACAGCTTGACATCGAATTGTGCCTGGAAAACCAGCGCAGCGAGTTGTGAGTTTGGATGGTCTTGGAGGACGCCCCGCACTGTTGTCGAATCCCCTGGTGGAGTTTGTCGAATGCGGACCGCGGTGGCTGCCAGATCAAAGTTTAGTTTGGTATCCAGGAAAGCTTAGTTTGTCGAGGCACAAGGCAAACTAAAATCGAGCTTTGGCACAGTGCCGCAGCTGAAGGCGCAATTCCAGGAAGCTTCATCACTTTTTCTGGACTTTGCAGATCGCTGCTGAAGCTCTTCTCCTTTAAACCAAGCCTGAGAGACATGGGCCATGGCCTATTTCAAGCCACTTCCACCCTTTCAAGACAACATCTTCCTACCTATTGCACAGTCAGGTGGCAATGGCAAAGCCAGCGTGTCGTCAATACCAAACTACTCTACCCACGAAGAAGTGAAACAAGCCAATGGCCATGAAGATTGAAATCTCCAGCAAGTGCTCCACATTGTCGTTGCCATCAGCTGGCAGCAGCCGATTGTCGATGAACATAGACACGCTGTGGCAAACACAGTGAGCTGCAAAGAAGGCCACGATCGAGTTGTTCACCTGAGTGGTGACGAGCCAACTGGTGATCAGCGAACTGGAGTAGATCGTCATGTTCTATCCCCCTTAACGCTTTATAATATCTTAATACTCTGTTGTGGTCAAACCCCACCTTTTCGCCAGTTCCACCCCACCTTGGGATTTGCCGCGGTGAAGAACAGGGCCAGCGCGAAGGTCGCAAAGGTTCCGCGCCACAACAGCTCAGCATCGAGGTTATAGGGATGCCAGCGCACCCATCGCTGTGCCTGGCAACTCAGGGCGCCCGTCGTTAAACGGTGTTTTCTTGCGATCTAGACCCTGCCAAAATCGGACTAAACCAACCAGAAAATGGAGATATGGTATGTTTGGTGCGATTTTCTTCATTACCCAGCAAGATTCACGACCCTGACATGAGTTGGGAGTTGGAAGATTGCTTTCCATTGAACATCAGCGATTGACTCAGGGTCTATGTCAATATACTGGAGACTGGAGGTTATGGGGGGTTGACCAAACATCATGGGGATATCATGAGATACTTAAGATTTAATTGGGATATAGATCATAATCTGGTTGGTGGTTGACCTACCACTCTGAAAAATATGAAAGTCAGTTGGGATGATTATTCCATATTATTCCCAATATATGGAAAAATAAAAAATGTTCCAAACCACCAACCAGATGAGATACAGGGATATAGATCATAATAATTCACTCGTCTGAAAAAAATATGCCAACGATCTTGCGGTCCCCAGTAGTTCCCCCAATCCTAACCAGCATTCCAATGACCTTGCAGTGAGGTCGTTATCATTTAGATCCTTACAGAAACTCTCCGGAAAAATGTATAAAACTGTGAGGCTGGATCGGAATCATCATGCTAGTTTTACGGATGCAACATCACATTATCAATGAAACATCATGAAACCAAAAAGCAGTTTCATGAATTTCGCCCTCTCTTCTGTTAAAAAGGTGGCATTCCCACCTGTTCCCAGGATCCAAAGATGGGCATGAGGAGGAAGAAGGGAAAGCCCGAAAAAATGAAAGTGTAGATCTTCAGCCGCAATTTCGTGGCTTCAAACAGGTGCTGATAGGCTCCTTGGAAAAAGTCCTTGAGCCATCCAAAGCTGGATCCATAGGGCCAGGCCAAGCCCAAGACAGCAACAAGCAGGGCTAATGCCAGACCCATTTGTAACCATAGGCCTGCAGAACTGAGGTTTTAAATGAGGCCTCTCTGCATGGAATCTTGCTGCCATAAGTGCACCTTATTCATATGTCGGTCATTTCGTATTCAGACTTGGGGCATCAATGGACCCACAAATTCGATCGTATCTCAGAATTGAAGCATATCTACCCTCCGGTATTCAAACATGGCGACGGAGAATCCCCTATAGATGGGAGTCTATAGCTGGGAAAATCATCTATGGGAGATTGTCCATCGCCATCGCCACATTGAATCCTTTTGCGGGATCCAACTTAATGTTGATCCGGCCCATACCCAGCTGTTCCATGCTGTTCCACAATCTCAAATTGAATCTCTTTCCCATCATTATTCAATACCCCCCCTAGAAACCCTGGTTTCGTATTGGATCTATTCGTTTGAGCGGTGGCGAAAACCCCTATGTCATTCTCTTCTAATCCTACTTGTCTTCCGTGCTGCTTCCGCGACCACAGTTTCAGCTTCCGCGGATGATTGGCAAGTTGATTCTGCTTCCGTGGAGCTTCCGCGAAAACAAGCTCCTCATGAAGATTATAAGTTGAAATCGTCTTCTGCGGCCCTTCCGCAATCGGACGATCAACGTCTGCTTCCGCAAGCGCTCCGCGCGCTTCCGCGGACGTGGGATTCACTTCTGCGGGCCCAACTTAGTTTCATCCCCATATAACTTTCTTACTTGGAGGTTTTTGACGCTGCTCATTTTGGGTTCCCTGATAAAAATGGTGGTATCGAACATAGGGGCGGGCGGGATAAACCTGTGTGACATGGGTTTGTCTGAAAATACCCTGCCCCTAAATACAAAGGTGTGTCATCACCTTATTCATTGAATTGGCTATTTGGGGGTATACAAAATTCTCGGACACACCCAAATATCATGTCTGTTGTATAGTTCAATGTTGGTGATATATCATGATATATCCTTTGTGTCTCATAAAGTACATAGTCCCATATCAATTGTTGGTGGTATCCTGCAACCAAGCCCACATGTTGATTCACTGCCTGTAATGGCCAAAAGGACACTCTGAATAGACAGGAAGAAGATGACCATAAGCAGCAAAGGCTGCAGGGTGAGGGAGGTATTCCCCAGCCATTGCAGCAGAAAGGGGAAGCCAAAGCCGAAGAAAACCGTCAGTCGCATGTGATGGTAAGGATGGTTCACCGGATCTTTCAGGACCAGTTTCCTCGGCAAAGCTTGAGTTCGAAAATCAAACACCCTGGAGAAACGTGGCCAGAAAGTTATGGTAAAGGGATATTTTTTGGGTGGTTTTCCAAGCTTGAAGAGAAACAAGCGCACAAACAAAAGCAACAAAAGAACGAACACCGATCAAGGCCCAGATTCTCTGGAAGTGGATATGTGGCCATAAGGTGGAAAAGGCACAAGACAATCCCCAGAGCTGCCAAGCGCCAGAGGCCTTCATCCTCGTCGCCAGATGTGCTACTTTCAAGCCTCGAAATCAGCCAACGCACTGGCTGATTTTCGTGGGAAGGCCATGGTTCTTGGAAGCTTTTGGGGTGTTATATTTCCATGACCCATGTTTGAAGCCAGCATTCAAAAACGATGAATGTGATAAACCCAAGCACATAATACCTTGTTTCTTTTTCTCCTGGCCATGGCTATCCATGGCTTTTGAGAACAGCTTTGGCAACTTTGGGTACATGGAGTATGGTTTAAAATTTGCTTTACCACAAGCCCATCCCGCAGCAGAGTCCCAACTGCGTCGCCCGACCCGCTTTCCATCTCCACATCCTTCGGAGCATCCTTCCCAACCACGGTATACGCGGAAGCCATGGTGGGTATCCAGGATACAGACTGGGAAATGGCGCAGGAATGGCTGCGGTGAACACACAAAACACCAAGCCTTCGAGCATAACGTTGAGATGAAAGGCAACGGTTCAACCTGATTTTCTCAAAGAGCTTGATAGTTACAGATCCAAATGAGTCGTAACATGTCGTAACCAAGCAAATGGGGCTTTTAAATGCTATGAATGAATCAAAATATAAGTTGTCTAGTAGTTACTCCTATTCCCATGTAAGCAGCAATATAAGCACCAAAAGGTGACGTGTTGACTCCACACAAGGGGAACATGTGTCCTGACTCCTGTCCTGACTATTTGTGCCCACCCAATAGTCTCAAACTACTCATTCTGCCACCAGGATGATCGAAGTGAGGTTAGGACTGCTACAATGTGGGGCCCCCGTTCGATAGCTAAGTTGGTGAACATAACTCCAATAACTATGGTTTATGGTACGCAAATGACTATAGTATTCATGGGTTTTTTGTTAACCAACAAACATCACTGGGGGGCCCACATCGTAGAAGCTATGCATTTTTTCAGATTTCCTGGATTCTCCTCCCAGAAATGCGATGTCCCGGACAGTTGGGCGGAATCCTGAGTGGTTAAACAAACCGCTTTTCATCTGGGGATATCAACCATGTAACCATTTTTTATGGGGATAAAACCATCATAAACCAAGCCATTTTGATGGTTTATAGCACCTATAAAAATGGTGATGACTGGGGGATGGTTCATTATTGTTTCAACCACATTATATATATATATATATATATTCGTATTTATAACAGGTTAAAAAGCTATGGTTCTCTGGGTTTCTTTTTCCAACTGGACCAGCCCAACAAGCCAAACCATCCATCGCGCCCCAGGGGCTCTGAATGGCACTGAGCTGGGACTTGAGCTGCTTGATCTTGATGACCTCATGCCATGGGAGATCATGGAAGAAGACAGACACCGAAAAAATCATGGGAAGATGTTATGTGTAACCATGTAATCATTATTATTGTCTTGTTTAAAATAGGATATATATATATATATATGTGATATATAATGATTATCTATATATATATATATACATCGATACAAGTATCTATACATAGTATGACAAACATAGATCATCATTGTTACAATCAGCCAATCAATCAATCAACCAATCAATCAATCAATAAATCAATCAATCTATCAATCAATCAATCAATCAATGAATCAATCAATCAAATCAAATCAAATCAAATCAATCAATCAATCAATGGATCAATCAATCAAATCAAACAATCAATCAATCAACCAATCCATCAATCAACCAATCAATCAATCAATCAATCAATCAATCAAATCAATCAATCAATCAATCAACCAATCAATCAATCAATCAATCAAATCAATCAATCAATCAATCAATCAACCCAATCCAATCCAATCCAATCCAATCCAATCCAATCCAATCCAATCAATCAATCAATTCAATCAATAAAATCAATCAATCAATCAAATCAGAGATACTTGAAGCGATACGCTTAAAGATCATGGTTTCCATCATGGAGATCTCATGGGGAACTACATAGGATCCGTGGTAGCTCAAATCGAACCACAGCCCTGGCGCCCAAAGGCGGCCTTCTGGAAACTGGATGGCCCATTTTGGAATGACTCCCTCCTTCCATCATTTGTGAGATTTCGAGAAACTACTGGATATCAACAAGTCAACCTGGTGGTTTCAACATGTTTCAACCTTTCCTAATCTGAATTGGGATTCAGAATTCTAAGAGACGTTCAAATGAATATAGTTGGCAGGTTGCTGATATTGGGAGTGACAACCTTGCTACTCTGTTGTGGCCGATACCTACTGTGGTATTGGGCTTTGACCCACAGCCATTTTCTTAAGATGGAAGAACAGTGGAACTCCCGCATGAACATCTGCGGTGCCCAACGCCTTGGGTTTCACCTGTACTCGAGATTCTCAAGTCTTTTGAATATAAACCCTCCAGACATTTGATTACCAGAGAGGATACACCTTCCATGCTCAATCGCTTCATCGCCTCATGGCTTTTTCGAACATCGCTTGAGCGATCGCGAGCGAGTTTTACGCCATTCTTCTGCCGGCTGCAGTTCCGCCAATCTAAGAAGTGGTTATGTAACCATTGTTATAGGGATTATATCCCAACTTGTAGGGATTATATCCCAACCATGTTATAGTTGTAGGGATTATATCCCATAGTTATGTAACCATAGTTATAGTTATAATCACAGTTATGTCAATTAGTAAACCCAACTGCACCACCATGATATGTTTATAAATATACTAGCGTACTATGCTAAACTCTATTTCTCAAGTTTTATGTCATACAGGTACACATTTACACCTCATGTGTCAAAAAAATGGTCAAACAATGCAGTTGGATTTGTTATTGGATTTACAGTGCTTCAGCACATTAGAAGTAGGGCCCAAGAACCCAGCGGGAAGTACCCTCTGGTAATTTGTTACATAGCTATTGAAAATTGCACATTTATAGTTGATTTACCTATTAAAAATGGTAATTGTCCGCTTCGCAAACTGTAAACGTTGACCAGAGAAAAAAAATCTCCATTAATCACAACTTAAATAATTCTTGATCATTATGAAAACCACTATTAGCCATAGGAACCCACCATAATCTATAATTGATGATCATTATGAAACCCACTATTAACCACTATTAACAACTATTAACCACTATTCACCACTATTAACAACAACTAACAACTATTAACCACTATTAACCACTATTAACAACAACTAACAACTATTAACCACTATTAACCACTATTAACACCTATGAAAACCATAGGAAACCAAGTGCATCTGAGCTGCTCTTTCTTGTTTCTCCCTGGCCTTTGTATCCGCTTTCTGCATCGCATCGTGGGCGCGATCGTCGTTGGTACCTGGGTTTTCTTTAAAGTACCGGTGGTTAAGTCAACCATAAAACATACCCTATTATTAATAGTGGTTAATAGTGGTTAATAGTGGTTTCGAACTGGAAAATCAGCATGTTTAATAGATCTGGGTAAATTAGAATATTTTACTAACCTGAATAGTTGGGCCATTTGGGGATGATTCCCCTAACATAAACCATGATTCCAGTGAGGTCGCAGTGAGGTCGTTATAATTTACCCAGATAGATAAATCATGATAAATCAACTATTTCTATGGGCCATGTTAGCAAACTGTCAGAAATTACATCAAATTCCACCATGTTTAATAGATACTGTAAATCAACTAGTTATGGGCCATTTTCAATAGCAAACTGTCACAAATCACATCAAATTACCAGAGGCTAAAGTAATTTGATGCAATTGCAGTAGTCTTACTGGTGCTAAACGTAGGGTTGCTGGATGGGTTGCTGGATGGGTTGCTGGATGGGTTGCTGGGGGTTGCTGGGATGATGACATTACGAATGTGATGATCCATGGATCATTCGAAAATTCCCTGCGTAAAACGCACCAGTAAGTAGTTTTTTGGTGGTATTGTTAGGATCTCCGGGGATCTTAACCTGGCAAGATATCACTTTCGCTGGGGAGTTCAGAAGACCTTTAAAAAAATACGGTGAAACGGCCGGTAAGTTCATCAGACCTTGAAAAAAGGGTCACAAGTCGGGATTTTATTGGAATTTGATGCATCTATCGGGAAAATCTTCTCGAAAATCTGATGCATCCACTGTGATTCTTGAAAGTTGGATTTCATTTGGCATACGAGTACGGCGACTGTACTACAGCCCCAATATATGCATCAATTGTGGATAAACCCAATGTCATAAACGATCCTCAAAATCACCATCTTTATGGGTGGTAGAAACCATCCCCCACATTCGTTTCATGACTTTCATTGACTTTCATCCCATCAGCTATTCCCAAGTGATCGGTCTTGGCTTCCGCAAAATACCACCGGCTCCGTAAATCAGCCAATGGAAAAACCCTGGAAAAACTGGAGAAGCGGGAAGCAAAAAAAGAAAACGTATCGTATTCTATCCCCAGCACATTGATGTTTTCATGCCTATGTTTTCGTTGACGGTGTTTTTGCTGAATATCCATCATGTCTCCCAGCACCGAAGAATCTGTTGGTTTTTCGGTTCAGTCACCATGTTGGATCCCAATGATCTGCGCCGAGTGACTTAAGAAGGCATCAAAACGCTCCACGTCTTTATCCAGCATCTGCTTTGACTTGTTCAGTGCCTGTAGAACAACTAGGCCCGGGGGTGATCTCTTTGATCCTTTTAGCAAAGACCATGGACATGGATTTGTAACTAATTTACGGATCATTAATGGATATTAATGGATATTGATGGATAATGATGGATAATGGATAGTTGATTAAGTTAGTTGTAGCGGATAATTAGTGGATGCTTCATGGATGAATCATGGATAATGAGTTTTCATACCACCCATCCCTGGTGTTTTTTTTCTACGGCCCAATTTCATGAACCATGAGATACATTCCTCGGAATTATTGTGGATTATTGTGGAATTGGAAAACTGAATCATGGAACATTCTACATGGGCTTGGTGACTATGGCATTGGGTTTGCCACATTACAATCATTCCCAAAGCTCAAGACCACAGGAAGCTTGGGAAAAGAAAGCTGCAGGGGGCAGCAAAATCGTTCGTTATCTAAGTTGGTGAAGTTGGTGAACATAACTCCAATAACGTGTCGGTGGATGTTTTTGGGGAATAGGGGATAAACCACCGAAAAACACAACTGGGGGGCACCACACGAGACCACCGGGTCACATCAGGTCACATCAGCTCCGGCCTCTTCCTTGTCTTTGGCTCGGGCATCGAGCTTCAGAATCTCAGCCTTCTTCACATCTAAACTCATCTGGACTAAGAACATCTCACGTTTCTTGGCCACAAAGTCAGAGATGTTCTCCTGAGAACTTGCAGTCCCGGCTGCAGCTCATTCTCCCAATTATTTGAATCGATGTTTGCTGGTTCAAATTTCCATATTAGTCTTCTATCCCCCATCTTCACTAAGTTGGAATGCTCTCTCTCGTGGCTTTCAATCCTTTGTTCCTGTGTAGTTTCTTCCACTCCAGCAATCCACTTCGATCAGTGTCCCAGCGAACTAAACCTCCATTGACTTCGCTAAACCTTCATTTAATCATTAGAAATCCCATATAAGATCATAGGAATACTATAGAAATCCCATAGGAATCCAATGGAAATCGTCCAACGTTCATTGAGTGCACTGGTTCCGTCCTTGTCTCTTCGGGCATCTCGACCTCCAACTCCGGGTGACTCATGGGGTTTTGAGACCATAGATGCCGTAAGCTATGGATGATTGGGTTATAAACTATGGCTTAATGAGTTTTAGGTTCGACCAATCATTACAGCCAAGGTACAAATGCAAAAAAAAAATCATGACCCAGTAGCACAATGTAGCACATACATATGTATATATATATGTATACATATGACATGATGGGTAAGCCACACTAAATTTGGGAAGCTAACAGTTGAGCCATATCCAGCAGAATGATCTGTCTGAATCCAGCAACTGTTGGTGAAATCCCTGGGGTTTCACCAGCGATGAAACCCCTGGAAATCATAGGGAAACATCACCAAGCTCCTGGTTTCACATCCTGGTTTCACACATATCTACGGCATCTTTGAATATCATGGGGATATCATTGGGATATACAATGAAATACAAGATTTAATTGGGATATAGATCATAATCTTCCCAATATATATATATATGGAAAAATAAAAGTCATAAAAATCATGTTCCAAACCACCAACCAGATATCTCACTAACCATTATTAACCACTATTAACCACTATTAACCACCAACCAGATTGAGTTCAAATGTGTCGTCTAAAAAAATGTGATGACTAACGTCCAAACATTTTGTGTGGTTAAATCCCCATGTTTTTGATGGCTTTCACCATGGGGAAATATCTCCTGGTCTAACCAGTGGCTAATATCTTTATTTTGGATGGTGAAAGCTGGTTAAATATGTTAAATACATATTTGTTGTCATAGAAAAAAACCTAGTTTTTGTTGGTGAAATGCAAATCTGGTTGGTGGACTCCAGAAAAAAACATGTTTATATGGTGTAATAAATATATATATATATGATACCATTACAGTATATCATATTATATCCTTATCATACGTTCCCACAGTGTTCATTCTACATTCCATTGACCCAAAAAAAAACATTCCACCCATTTTTCGAGGCACCTAGGCCCTCAACAAGGCGGGCATCTGGACGTGCGGCGGACGCTTGGGCATCGTCGATATCCTAAAGTGAACAGGACATGTCATGGGATAACGGGATTAATTTACCCTCCGGTAAACAGCCACATAGCTATGGAAAGATCCACCATTTTTAATGGGAAAATCCACGAACTAAATCACCATTTTCAATAGCTATTTGACAAATTACCAGAGGGTAGGTAAATATTCAAATATACACTGGTAGGACAAAAGTTGCGCTTGTTGAGCTTCCCACAGTGAACATGGTTGGTTTCTTCTTCTGCACACCCTTTCCCCGTAGAATCCTAGCATGGAGCTTTGTCGTTCCCCGGTCGCATTCCCACCCTCCAAAAGCTTTAAAATCTTATATATTTAAAAGAGGGTGATAATTGACCGTCCCACACCTGCCACACAAAACGGACTTGAAAATGTGATCCGCGGTTGACCGAAATGGATGTTTTGTAAAGCTTTCAAGAAGCATAAACTTTGTTCCTCCTGAAGTAGTTATCAATGGATTGGTTTTCACGGGAAAATCTTCACCAGAAACCATCGATTTTCCCAAAAAAATCTGGGGTTTTCCGGTTCCAATTGTCCAACCAATAATATTGAATTTCATATTTCACCCTGAAAAGTTGTGGCCATTTTAACAGGAAGATTCCCACGACGTGCCACGATGTAAATCCACAACGTGAGGTCACAACGTGTCTGCCGAATCTGCCCGGGATATTCATGGGAATATTCATGGGATAAATGTTGGTAAATATACCATACATGGAGCATCTGGGATATATAGTGGATATGAATATCTATAGTGTGAAATATCGATAGGCATTAATATATTTATTATAGATATTCATGAATCGGATATTCATGGGATATAGTGGATATGATTGGCTATTGGGGTATAGTGGATATGTCTATGGGAATATCTATAGTGGATGTGAATCGGATATTAATGAGATTTATATGAATGGGTATTGAAATTTAACGGAGTATAGATAACCAAACCATAATGGGATATTAACGGGATTTGACTAAATCGTATTAATAGAATATTAAGGAATATCTATAATACCATCATGGATATAAATGGAATATGAATGGCAATATATATATATAGTCCACGTTTGATTCTCTAATTATACCATGGTCAAAAGATGAGATATTCATGGGATTTAACCAACCGCAATGGGATTATCATTGGAATTTAATGGGATTTAGATAACCAACGAAATATGATATATGGATTATGTCCCATGGTCAAAAATAGTGACTGTCTGTTTCATTGTGTATTTTTTTTAGTTCGATTATGGCATCGATTCCCATACTGGCAATCCGTGTTTTTTGTCAATCCCTATTAATAGATTGATGACAATCTCCCAAATATACATATGGTCTATGAATATGATATGTACATATATGTACTGTGTATCACACATAGTATCTGTCATATAGAGAGTCACACACACTAGACAAGAATGGATCATTATATGATCCGGCAGGAACTGAATCCTGAAACATGCAAACCAGCCTAGATTATTAGATGAATAAAAGAGCCACATGAGGTACTTCTCGAAAACGATGTAGGGCATCCGATATTGTCAAACGTAGTCATAACCAGATTCCATAGAGTTTTGACCAGCATGTTGAAATCCAAAATAATGTTTCGGCGATTGTTTCCCAAAATAACCCATAATTCGTCGGCGACAGGATCTCGGCGAAAATAGGTCAAAAACATAATACTGTCGGCGATATGGTTTCGGCGAAAATCTGAGGAAGGTTCTGATGCATGTAAATTTCAACATTGATTCCAGATTGCGACAACAGTGCAGCAAATTGTATAATATTGTGGTTGGGGTTCTAAGCTTGGCCCCTTGCTATGTCCGAAAAAAGCAGGTACGTGCAGTTGATCAGACTGCATATCCTCTCCAAACATCAGTAGCTTCGTTGGCCACGGACTGATGAATGGAGCCGTGGCCCCCTGCAAATGAAAAAGTTCCCTGCAAATGTAAAAACGTAAGAGTCAAAGAAGTTTTACATCTGTTCAGATGTTACACACACACCCCGCTTGTAGCGGGGTTGGATTTTGGAAGACCATCGCAGCAAATGTCGACAGGATTCAAATACAAAAAGCTGTTCGGGTACTAATGTACAGAGCTATGTTCAGTCACTCAGAAGGGAGGCTCGTCTCAGCTTGAAGTGTTTGGATCGCGTCACTGAAGCTCATGTCCTCAAGCATCCTCCACGTGTCATTGATTTCCCCAGATGCCATAGCAGCCCTCAAAGTGATTGAAAGTTGTTGGGCCAGGTCCTGGATCGTCGGAGTAAAGTGGGTTGCCTCCGTAGGTGCCGTGGTCTCAATGGGGACGTTATGAAAAGGATGATGGCCATGTAATAGAGGAATTTCAAAATGATGTCGCCAATAGTCCGCTGTGCGCAGGGACCACTCCCAGTTGCCCGAAAGACCATAAAAGTAGTGTTCAGGGTCACGACATCTGGAATGCCCTGACAAGGGGATCTCGTCAATGAATAGCTCCCTGGTGTTGTTGGAGTGGGTAATGATCTTGAATTGGATCTGGTGAACCACGCGGGAAGAGAAGTGAGCACGATGGAGGTAATTGTGTGCAGAACTTGACTCCGTCGGAAACGGGACGCCAGGAGGTGCGGGGCCTGAATATGTATCAGAACGGGCCATAGTACCAAGGTCAGGAGCAGTACTGTCAGCAACCAAAGGTGCAGACGTGGGGTTGGTAGTAGTGTCAGGAAGGCCAGAATGACATAGTGCAGAAGCCTGGGAGTCTGGTACTTGAACTGGGTTGGTAGGAGCGAGTCCACGGGTAGGATTCGAAGGCCAAGCCAAGCCCGCCACAGTCGCATCTCGTTTGTGCTCCATGGGTGAAACGATCAGAAATGCGAGAAATAGTGCAACAAAGGCTGAGGCATCAAAAATAGCAAATATAAGCCAAGCCAGAAAAAGGTAACAATCATAATAATGATGAAAGTGAAGTCCGGTCGCATCAGGGCAAGATCACTCCGGGGCTCATTTTGTAGCATTGCAGACGTAGTACGAAAGGCTGCGTGGTACCCGGAATGAGCAAAGAGGATTCACGGGAGTTGTACTGCCGAAGTCGCCATTCAGGTCGGTATTCTTCCAAGAGCTGCAAGATCGTCATGTCGTTGGAGACTTGAAATGTATCACCGTCGAAGGGTCAATCTGGATGTCCCATTGGGACCTCAATCTTTTTGAGATACAGAAGCGTAGCTCGCCAGTTGAAATGAGGCCAGCTTCAACTGGTTCCATCTGACGCGACCAGGTAAACAGAGCCTCAAGTTCGTAGCCACTAACATTTTTGAAATTTGAGCTAGCCATAGCCATGTAGTGTTCACGGTCAGGTTCGCTACGATGAGTCAATGCCTGTAAGGGAGAGAAGTCAATCAAGATAAGAACAGGTCGATTTGGAGGAGGGTTCACATGACCAGGTAGGCCTCGGGGTCCAGCAAGCCATCCAACATTTCGGGTGCCCATTGGTGTCTCAACCGTGGATGTAGCGCGATATGGATGGGGCCGAGAAGAATGAGCCATGGCGTCGAATATCGAGTGTCGAGGATAGAACGGAAAGCCCAAGCTGCAACAAAGGTTGATAATGACCAAAGAATAAAGCTCAAAGTACTGAAAATTTGAGGGAAACGGAGTACCTAGGAAGTAGTCACAAAACGACGGTAAGTCACTGTTCTTTTTCGATGCCGACAAATGATGTGGTGTATTACACACTGGAGTCTGACATATCCATCGGGTCCGTATCGTTCGCATCCAGCGGACCATGTACTTGTTGAGGAGGGACGGTAGGACGAGTGAGATGTAAAGTACGTTGTAATGTTGCCGGTGGTGACGAAGGTGGTGTAGAACGCCATGGTGGCCAATATAACGAGGTAGTAGTTCCTTGAGAGTGATGTTGTGCAGAACGTCCCCAGCATGACTGCAAAATATGGAGTTGGTCCGGTATCGCTTCATAAGGTTGGGAAACATAGACATTGGAGTGTTCAGGGTGTGGTAGAACAGGAACAGCAGTTGCCGTCGGGGAGGAGGATGATGATCGAATTGGTACGTCATAGTGTCGGCGCCAATGATTAGCCGTGGTACGTAGGGTCGCCTGATCAGTGGTGAGGTGCATGTTCTCCAGAAATGTTTCCACAGGTTTCCACGTTTCAATACCATCAAGTGTCCTTTCCACGACCCAAAGTTCATCCGGACGGTTAGACAACGGATAGCTCAGCTTCTTGATGAAGACGGAATGGACAGTTGTAGAGGTCGGGATTGTGCGTGCTTCACGGGGGATATACGATGCCGAAGTAGGATCATCAGGTGGTAGGTGTGGGACAGGGCCATGTATGGACGTAGGTGGGGAACGGTGTGAAACCGATCGAGCAGTATCATCCGTATGGGAAGTCATCGTGTACAATAGCAATAATATGGTTTCGAAATACGCTGGGCTAAAGCCAAAAAGCCGTGAGAAAAGTCAATGATGAAGGGATGAATAACGAACATCACCAAATGGAAAATAGAGAAGTGAAGGAGACCATGGAAAACCAAACCAGGGTGGCGGACATCATGACGAATGTTTCCTTTTTTCCTCATAGACGTGAGCATCGCCAAGATCTATCTTGAAGGCTAATCACTCAGCCGCTTTAGTGTATCTGGTGGCCGTGACGAATGGATGCCCACGGGGAATCACTTGAACATGTACAGCGAAGCCTGTGTCTTGTGCATCTGGATGGGGTGTCAGCAGCAAAGGTGAACACTCACGAGTCGTGAAGGCATCGAGATGTTGATGAGTTTTCCATGTCGGGTAAAACCAGTTCAAAACGTCCAGAAGAGAATGAGGGAGGTCATCAAGCATCTGAGCTCCTTGATCGGTGTCAATCATCATGTAGAAATCTGAAGCTGGTAGGTGTATCGACCATCGTTGTAGGAGCGTGTCGGTGATCACTGTTTTGAGGTCTGAAACGAAATGACTGCGAGCATAGTCCGGGTAGATCACCTTGAAC